GACACGGCTACTGTGCCTGCTTGAACCGTACTGGAGGTTGGACACCGCGATACCCTTCACGATCATATCATCACCTCCTTGCCTCTATATTCGCTGGGTGAAAGTCTCGGAATTCAGATCCACAACCGGGTTTTCTCCACGGATAACGGAACGCTCACCTTCCTTCTGGCTTGCAACGTCACCATCTGGCAAACCTCTGTGCGCCACAACTCGGTTGCCCCAGTAGGCGATAGTGCAGGACTCCCACTTCCACCGACCGCAGAGATCATCTGTTGCTGCAGGCGCTCTCGTAGGGGGTTAAGAGCATGGCGCTCTCTTGCCCCTTGAGTTCTGCGATGTGATCGACGAGTCGTGGGGTGTAGAAAAGAGACTTCAAATCCGCGACGGACCGTGTTCGGACCTGAGTCCTGGCTCAACGAAATGTTTGCACGGCCAAGGAATGCCTCAAGTCATCAAAGGACGTGGGCGCCGGGCTAGAGGATGTAATTGTCATAATTGGCAACAGATATACAGATATCAAGAAGTTGGACGGAGACCAACTCACCAAGCCGTGTACATGCCGTTGGAGGTGGTCTGACATTCCAGAAGCGCGCGATACGTGGAGCTCCCAAGCCTATCGCCGGCCGGGCGAGTGAGGCATGGACGCATTGCCACATAAGTACCAGCAGTGCCAGGTCGCCGCTGTCGCCATCTCCAGACGCAAGGTGTGCTCTGCTTTTGCCGCCATCAAGACCTTGCGGGATGCGGCTGCTATCTCTGGTGTATGCTGAAGGTCATAGCAGGGAATGACGCACTAAGCCGACCGGTCTTCAGAGTTTTCCAGAAGACATCCTTGCATTTCATGACCGACATTGTCTTTCCTGCCCGTTCCAGCTCCTTTGCTTGAGCCTGAGCCAGAACGATGGCCTTCACCATAGCCCGATCGACGAGGTCGGGATCACGTCGTGGCAGTGGAAGCTCTTCTGGCTCAATGACTTTTCGAACACGCGGTGGACTCGGTATGAATCTAGAGGACATGGACCCTGTAGCGACTTACACAAATACCTTCTTCAGCTGCCCAGTGTCCACCAGCCGATGACACAGCCTGCTGCGACCCAGCAACTCGTCAACACAAGCAAGCACATTGCCGGCGTGGCTCTGGCTTCGCCGGTCGGCTTGTTAGTCGGAGCTGCCTTCTGGGGTCTCGGCGCAGATACCAGTGGTCGGCTAACGGCGTTCAACACCAGTCTGTCCATCCGCGCCGCATTTGAGCTGATGGCTGGCGTCGTGCCCCGATATATCTCCTTTCCGCCAAGTCAGGCATCTCAGATCCCTGTAGCCTGTTCCGGCAAATTGAAGTGAGAGCAGAGTTGCCGTTGATTCATCGGATGCATGTGCTAATTATATACTGGATGCAACCAACATGATCGAGTTTCTTCTAGCAAGTCATTACTGGCTAAACCCAGTCTCACCTTAATGACAAGGCAGCTGACGTCGAACATCTGCACACACTGTCCGGGCGTAACTGTGCATTCGACCAGGTTGCTGGCCCGGGCCGATCATTGCTGCCGTCCGAGACATGTGGAAGGAGGACTGTCCAGATTCCAAAGAAACATTTATGGCAGAGATGTAGAAGTGACAGTATCAGTTAAACTTCATGAGAAGATGGTGAAGCATTGTGAAGCAGTAAATGACCAATAACTCACTTCACTCTCACATTCTAGTCATTTCGGCAGTCAGTCACGTAAGATTGCGTCATCGGCCATTGGTCAACACTGGAGGCAATGCGATGCAAGTCCCGACAACACATCGCTGCGACACTGTTTACACAGACACGTTCTCTACTGGACTGACACTGTATGATTATCGGAGATGCGATCACGCTGGTGATATCACCGCCTCCGCCATGAGCCCGCATTCCTTATCAAGACCCTATCCTTAACCTCTCCCTAGCAGGAGGCTGACCCGTTTGCCGCTGCGCCTGGCCAGGCAACAACATGGCGCCTACGAACCCGGGTATCGATGCTCTGGACTTTGATGCCAACCGGAGGCGCAGGCGACGCTCGTCAAGCGGCTCACGTCCCAGACCTGGAGACGACGACTTCGACTTCATGGGCCAAGTCGCCGAAGAAATCATCGAGCGGGACCGCATGAGGATGCGCAGGGAGGTTATCAGAGTCTTGAGCTTCGTCTCCGCCGTGCTCAGCTGGTACGATTCGCACCGTCTTCAGTGGCCTGTTGCAAAAACTCATGGCTGATTGTCTTACAGTTTATGTGCCGGATCAATCACATCCTTTTCCCTCTATGGAGCTCGATTCCTGCAAGACCTGCATTACACCCAATTCCGCGTCAACATCGTGTCAATCTCAGCCGAGCTGGGCTTGTACCTCGTGGTGCCATTGTTCGGCTATATATGCGATCGCTACTCGCCTCCGCCCCTCTCTTTGCTCTCCTCCATCCTCTTCGGCACCGGCTACCTTCTGGCAGCCTATACATACAAGTCGGGTCCGCCCCCAGATGCCGCGACCCATCCTGGAAATGGATGGCCTTTTGGCGTCATGGTCCTTGCCTTCGTCTTGATTGGCGCAGGCACTTGCTCCATGTACCTATCGGCCGTGGCAACGTGTGCGAAGAACTTCGCCAACGCAAAATACAGGGGTTTCATGCTTGCCGTTCCCATTGCGGCATTCGGATTGAGCGGGATGTGGGAATCTCAGGTCGGAGCGCATTTACTGTACGAGAGGCTTCCCAACGGTCACAAGGGAGAAGTGGATGTATTCAAATACTTCGTCTTCCTAGCGGGCACATTGATCGGGGTTGGATTACTGGGCACGCTGGGATTGCGAATTGTGGACGAAGAGGAACTCATCGAGCATGGGGTCGAAAACCTCGAGCGGAGTGGTCTGCTGGACGAAAGCGAATTCTACCGTGACACGTCCCGTGCGCCGACGCCAGTCAACTACGGCACCATTAGTAGCGACGAGGAAGAAGGCGACGGCTCCGGAGCCGACTCGGACGACGACCTCGACTCGCAAGCCGACCTCCTCCTGTCCGAGTCCCAACTCATCAAGAAACACGAAGAGACGCGCCGCCTCCGCCGGAAAAAGTACTGGCTCCTCAATCACGCGACTCACGCCTTTCTCACTGACCGTACAATGTGGCTTCTTGCCGTCGGATTCTTCCTTGTGACCGGTCCAGGTGAAGCGTACATCAATAACCTGGGCACGATTATCCCGACATTAACGCCGAAGGACTACAACTTTGTCGATGGCGATGGCAACATCATTGCTCCACCCGCAGGACAAGCAAGCAGTCATGTCTCTATCATCGCACTGGCATCAACCTTTGCCCGTTTATTCACAGGCACATTATCGGACCTGTTCGCACCGCCGTCAAACCCAGCCTCTCCGCCCAGCGCCAGGTTCCACTTCTCCCGCCTCTCGCTCCTCATCCCTTCTGCGTTCCTCCTTCTACTCTGCTTTTTGAACCTAGGCATCCGACCTTTGGTGTCGGCTCATCCGAGCTTGTTTCTCATCTCGTCGGCGCTGCTCGGCCTCGGCTACGGCGCCTGCTTCTCTCTCGTCCCCATCATCATCTCCGTGGTATGGGGCGTCGAGAACTTCGCGACAAATTGGGGCGTCGTGGCAATGATGCCTGCCGGTGGCGCCGCAGTATGGAGCGTCGTATACTCGGTCGCGTACTCTAGTGCGTCCAACAAAGAGGCAGACACGGCGGAGGGAGAATGCCATGGATATCTGTGCTTTGGCGCATGGGCATGGGGCTGTGCGGCCAGCGTCACCCTCGCCATCTGTTGCTGGTGCGTGGCGTGGAGGGTGTGGAAGGCGCGGAGAGTGGTCGTCTAGCGCATGGCCAACCGAGCTGAACAGGGAAACGACGAACAACTATGGAGGCGACGCTATACTCGCACACAAAGACCGAGCCAGAGAATGCAAATCGACGTGAACGTTTCGGTCACGCTGCTGGGAAATGCAGAGCAACACAGTGGGCGAGCAACGCCTGAATTTGAAGCTCAAGCTCAGAACGAAGCTCGCAACCAGGAGTCCTCGAGCAACCTTGGGGTCCAGCGCTCCAGCCGTGTAGAGCCCTGCGACGTGCGTGTCCGGATCCGATAGGATCCTCTGTGTGTTCATCCATCTATCTATACATTGATCGAATATTAGTACAGCGTATTCTCGGTCCGGCGACACCGATAGCTGGAGTCGCACTCCGAATCATATTAGCATAGCACAGCATACATCCTCAGGATACGGAGTATATACATATATATATATATATTTGCTTGGCTGTAAGAGTTGCTGCCACAGCGCATACAAAGTACACAGTACTTATCTGCATCTGTATCCCCCACTGTATCGCAGCATAGTATTAAGCCGCCTCTTTACGGAGTATATCCTTCTCATTTCTTCCCTCAGGCTCAGTTAGCAGAGATAGAGCGCATCATCGCCTCGTCCGCGATACCACTGACTAGTGGATAGAGGACCCTTATAAAGAATAGAGATCGTCCGACATGAGCTGAACTGGTATTCCTTCTACGAGGGGCACCGACGGGGTTCTAATTCAAGCACGCTGAGAGACACACATCAGTCACATCGCTCGCTATATTCGAGTCGCCGGTTCTCTCCCTCGGCCCTCCCCCTCAGACTCTTGCACAAAACTTGCTTGTTCAACTTAGTAGTCTATTCTCTGACACTCCTCTGCCTGAACGAAATAGTGGGTATCTCTGTCATTTTTTTCCATGTCCATGGCCATGTCCATGTCCATGTCCTTTTCCTAATTCCCTCTCCCTCTCTCTCTCTCATCGCCTCCGGGACCTGGCTTGTCCCAAGCTTTCTCGTGGCCAGGGCGTTGCATCGCATCGCATTGCATTGCACGATACGCATGCTTCCCCTGAGCAGCGTACAGTAATTAACTTCGAGGCGTGACATGATGTGATGTGATGTGATGGTCAAGATCCAAATAACCCCCGCCAACGCCATGCATATGGATAATAAAATCTAATCTTACACAAGATCCCAAGCCGCAACGCCGGTGAAACCCATTCCGACCCTGCCCTTTCCCTCGCGGAACTCTTTGACGCTGAGCCCACGACAGTCCTGCCTGTTGCCGAAACTCGTGATCGCGAAAAGGGTGACTGTCTGGCCCGGCGCGCCTAGGTCGCAGGCAGGGATGTCCGCGCACCACAAATCGCCGCCCTGCCCAGCCGGCCCGGGATAATACTCCAGCGGGACCAGATCCTTGTTTCGCCCATCGACTCCGCCGACCTGGACGACGAAGACCGGGGGCGGGCCCTTGCGCGTGTGGTGTTCGAGCGTCCAATGCGCGCAGCGCAGTCCGAATTGGAAGCGGACGACGGTCCCGGGCTGCTGGCGCGCGTTGATTTTCCGCGCGCGCGGGTGCACGGTTTTCTCGCCGATCGAGTAGTCCTCTTTGGCGTTGGTGAAGATGGTAGGTCCCTCGACCATATCCGGCCAACTGGCCGGGTCAATCACGATGTACTCTTCCCAGCTCATGCGGCGGCCGCCGGGCAGGAAGAAGTGGTCCTTGTTGCCTGGGAAGTGCTTGATGCCAAACTCCTCGTTCGACATGGTGAAGCATTCCGAGTGGAATTTCTTGACGTACGGCTGGCCTGGGCCCTGGACGTGGCCTGCGCCCCAGCACGCGTCGATCAGCTTCCACTCCCCGTTGTCGATCCTGACGGCATTCCACGCGTGGCCCGCATTGTAGGGTGGGAGTGGCGAGCCCGGGGCGAGCGAGCTGAACCCGTAGCCTTTGCCGTGGCCTGAAATAACGACGGATTCCAGGCCCGCGTAGGTCGCCAGGTTCGTGAACAGGGCGGCGTAACCTTCACAGACTGCCAGTCCGGTCTGCAGAGTTGACTGTGGCGTGGAGCCTCTCACGTTGTTGTTGAAGAAGCTGACGACATCGTAGGCAATGTTGTGATGCAGCCACGAAAAGATCGCTCGAGCTTTATCCGTTGGCGACGGAAATGGTGCAGTCAACTGTTGGGCCAATGTCTGGAGAGAAGTGACTTGAGTTCTGGGAAAGAGCGTGGCTTGGTGATCGGGTCCTGAAAAGTCTCGACAGACCAAACAGAGGTCGACGGTTGGCGACAGACTACCATTGGATGAAGGCGTGGCAAACTTTGGTTTCGTCGCCTGTATCGCCGAAAGATCTGGTCGCGAAGAAACCGGAACGGGAGGGGGAGCTGGCTGAGTGTGCGGCTGTCGAGTGACCTCAGCATCTCTTGGTGCGACCGGTGTATTTTCCCTCGATTGGCAAGGCAGGGAGGGTTGTCGCACAGGTAAAGATATAGGTAATCTTATCGGCGATTGCACCGGTTCTCTGACCGCCACAGGTCTCTGAGCGGTCTGCTGTTCTTTGGGAGTATTATAACCGAAAGCAGCCCTCTTTGCCTTCTCTATCGACTCGGCAGAGGGCATGGGAGGCATTTTCCGTATCGGGACATCCGCAGCAGGCTCTTGCTGAAAATTCTCATGTTTGGCTGAAGGTCGTCTCGGCGGAAGAGAGGGTCGAGGTGGTGGAGCAGGTCTGGCCTTTTGGGTCAAGGCGGACGTGACCACAGCCGTGGCCGAGGGGACTCGATTCGCATAGCCGGGGTGCTCGTCCGACTTTCTTGTAGCAGCCTGTGGGTTGGTGTTTCGGGGCGGCAGAGCGGGCAGTTGGCATTCTCCCCATGCTGGGGCTTTGACTCTGTTCAGCGATTCTGTCGACTTGGTCCGTATGGTCGACGTCTTGGTGGAAGATGTGTCATTTGTGCCACTTGAAAGGGTCGACGCTACCGAACCCCTCCTCTGTTCTTCCCGCGATGTATTCCGACTGGGGAGTGGCGGAGGTTGCTTTCTGACGGGAGGGGGAGGTGGAGGAGCAGGCAGATTGCCCGGCCTCGAGTCAAGGACTGATCCATTGACCTTTTCCGGCGGGATGTTGACGCTGTGCTGCTTGATCACCACGGGACGCTGTGCGGCAATAGGAGGAGGTTGAGACGAGGGTCGAGGCGGCTCTCCAGGAATGCGGCCAATATGGGCAGCGTTCAGTGCTTGGATGCGTTCCTTCAGGGTCAGAGGTTGGGGATCTTCGGCCATGCTGGCGGTGGGAGTGAACAGAAATGCTGGAGCCTAAGAGAGGGTGAAGAGCACACAAGGAAAGTCGTCATCGTCTTACGAGGCCATGTTCAACGAGCGGATGTGGATGAATGAGCGACGGCTGAGGGACAATTGAAGGGCGACATGCGACCGACACGAGACACGAAACACGCGGCGTTACGCAAGTCCATGATTGGCGAAAGGGGCGCCGGGTGAAGATGGGGATCACTGAGGGCGTCAATGGGTGGCACGCGTGGGTGGAGGGGGCGTTATGGGGGCGCTCGGGGCGTTACGGGGGAGCGCCGGGGGCTGGAGACGGAGAGTCCCAGCAGCCTGCATTTACTAACTGCGTCCTTCTCCGCTCTCACAGCGATTATCTCTGTGCTCCTGTGCACTCCGTACAGCTCTACAATTCAGATTTCCTCCTTCGGCTGGACCTGCAAGACCTTATCGTCGCCAAACACCACGCCCGCCATTTCCATCTGGACTCGCTGTACCGCTAAACCATTGATCCACTGTCCGAGCCTCCATCCCGCTTTGGCGACCTGCTCCTCGACGATGGGAACAGCGCCCTCGTAATATTCCTTTGACAAGTCCTCCGGGCCCTGCCAATCCCACTCACAGCACTCCTCGCATGGATCCGGCCCTGTGTTGGTGCCGACGTCCTTGAGGACATAGCTGCACACGTAGCTGTTCGCCTCAGACGCCCACGTCAAGGCACACTTCTGTGCTTTACTAATGTCAGTACACTCCTCGGAAAGGTCAAATATGCCTCCGTCAAGCTTGCTCTTGAGCTCCTGAGCCCATTTCAGCGAGAGTTTCTTGTCGTATCCATTGTCTGGGTCACTCCCGCTGGGCTTCTTGTAATCTCGAAGCTTTTGGATGATGAGCTTGTCCCAGACTTGATGCAGATCTTCCTCGCGGGAGCCCGCTTTACCCCATTGCACCATGAGTCTCGTACCGCCTCGGCACTTCTGCTCGGTGTGTAACGGTTGGGTAATGTCGCCCAGGAAATGGAGGAGGAACTTCAAGGCGGCGCTCTGGTCTTTCGTGCTCAACCTGGGGTTGTTGACTTGCTTGGTCTAGCCGCCAGAGGAGACTGTTAGCCGGCACTCAGACTTGAGCAGTTCAGACTGGCTGTGGTCTCACCAAGTTTGTGATGGCCCCGACGACACAGTTCTTTACAGAATCGCAATCGGCGTTGAAATTCACTTTGCACTTCTTGGGTGGTTCGTCCTTGGCATCAATGTAGTGCCATGGCTTGGACCAGGGCATTTTACTCTGAGTAGCAAAGCTGTCTGCCCACACGGCCCCGTCGGAAATGTCGAAATCGTCGTTGGGTTGCACGAGTTTGTTGAACAGGTTTTCAGCCTCGGTGGTAAAGTACATTTGTGAGAGATAGCCGACCGTCCGGTGACCATGCTCGCCCCAAGCGAGTACGCGGCTAATGGACAGCAAGAAAAAATACAGCAGCATGGCGACCGAGCCCATCTTGAAGCGGTAGCCGAAAGATTCTCTCGAAGGTTATCGAGAAGATGTGATGTTTGCATGCGTACCGGGCGCTTGTTGGGATGGGACAGGTTCTCACTAAGTAGCGCAGGGCTACTTCAGACAAGGCTAAGGAAAGGTCACAGCTGAACTCGCGACCCTCAAACACCCATATCCCCCTGCAGCCATTGCTTCGTGTGCGAGGGCCCGTGCCAGCACCGATCTCGCGCATTGGACCATGGAGGACAGCTGCCGACCAAAATCAGACAGGACCCGCGAGGATGTCGCCTGTTTGATGCCGTGGCTTTCAGGAATGGTGCGTTGTTTATCGAAACCGTATGATGTTGTGGAACGAGGCTGGACTCGTTGGCGAATGAGGAGCCAGCCGCCCCTGTTGCTGTGTCCCAGATGGCATTCTGCTCGTGTCGAACCCCGCAAGCGATGGATTTCAGCTGTCCAGCTCTTCAGATCTTGCTAGAATCGTGGGAGCTGGAGCTCAAATTCAGACACCGAACTCCCCGTTTGAGGTGAGTCTTGTCCGGTCGCTTGAGAACAGACCTATCCAACCACCGGATGGCTTGCTGCGTTTTGTCCGGGCACCACTGTGTTTCGATTCTGTCCGGCACCTATCGTGTAAATGGACTTGCTCATGGCGGCCGAGCATCATTTGATCGCTTCGTGGAGCTGAACCACCTTCTGAACACGAGATCACGAGAACGCTGTGACAGAAGGCTCGGCATGCACCGGGCCCAGCCAATCATGATCTATGTGAGTAGAGCAAGCATTGGAGGACTTGGACATTGTACCTCGTATCAGCACCGAAGAGACTCGTTGCACGGGAGTCAAGCAAGATAGAGGCCGTTAACGCTTCGGTGACTTAGCATGGCTGCGGAAGCGTCCTTTGATCTGCCAAGGCCGTCAGAGCCTGATCAGCTGCAGCTCGACGGTGAGGTCGGCGGGAGGAAAACAGTGCCAAGCACAGTCCTCCGGAAAGGTTGAGTACCGGGAATTGATCCAAGGATCTATGCTCGGCGTCAAAGGGCGAGAATTCTCCGGTTGTATGCACCCTCAGTAAACCAGTCGACACCTCACGACCTGCTCACGCACTCTTACCCAGCAAGGCTGACCTCCTTAAGCAAGCTGTGGGTTGGGCACGTTGGAGACGAATACGAGGTCAGGATCGCCATCATGTCTACCCCAACGTGGGGTCAATAATGACTGAGAACCGCGGGTGTCTCGCGGGGGACATTGGGATCTGTTGGTTCGACACTGAGCCAAGATCATAAACATTTCAGAGTGATCTGGTGAGAGAGCCTGAAAATGTTGGCGTCAGGGTCAAAGTTAAGCGGTACTAGGTAGGGTCGTTGACCTCTTGCGACAATGTCGACACGTCGAAATCACTCGCGCACGTGACTTTGTACGGAGGAGTGCGTCACGCGAAAGGCATTCTAGCGGTACCTCGTTGCTCGTATTGCGTGCCCGCTGCCCCACGAGTTCTTCGATCTGCCGAGCGACGTGGAGTACATACATGACAGGAGTGAGAAGAAAAATACATTGTATTTATATAGACGGTCCATACGGTGTCGACTAGGTGCAGATGAACATACACAGTACGAGTCACCTACAACGCACCGTACACTTTCGATCCTTATCCTACAGTCTCTAACTCGTAGTCCTCTCCTCCGCGCGCGCCAGACACCAGCTTGACTCGTCTCGACACTACTCTACGTACCAAGACTAGGTGGGCGAACGTCTGGTCCCTCGAACTTTGGCCTTCACCTTACTCTTGCTCTTGATTCTGATCGTGAACTTGGCCTCCTCTCCACCTTATCTGGGAAACACACCGATTGCAAACTCTAAACCAAAGCACCAACAAATCACAATGGCCTTCCACTCGATCTGCCTGATCGGCGCCTCAGGCAACCTCGGCACCCTCATCCTCAAACACCTGCTCGCCTCGCCGCAGAAATTCCAGATCAAAGTCCTCTCCCGGCAATCCTCAACGGCCACCTTCCCGGACTCGGTCACGGTGACCCGCGTCCCGGACGACTACCCAGCCGAGCAACTCGAGCAGGCCTTTCGGGGCGTGGACGTGGTCGTGGCCGCGGTCTCCATGCTCGGCATGGGCGAGCAGTACAAATTCATCGACGCCTGCGTGGCCGCCAACGTGAAACGGTACTTCCCCACGGAATTCGGCCTGGACGACCTGCCGGACTGGCTGCTGCAGCTGCGCGAGATGTTCAAGATCAAGCACGACGTGCGCGACTACTGCGTCGCCCGGGAGAGCGCGGGCCTCGAGTGGACGAGTGTCTGCTGCAACGCGTTTTTCGAAATGGGCGTCGCCTCGGGCTTCTTCCAGCTGCATTGGCAGGAGAAGAAGGCCGTGCTGCTGGACGGCGGGGACGCCAAGTTCGTGGCCACGACGCTCGATACCGTCGCCATCGCGGTCGTGCGCGCCATCGAGAGGCCCGACGTGTCCCGGAACAGGATCCTGCTGGTGCAGGACTTTAGGACGAGCCAGCGCCAGATTCTGGATGCCGTGCAGCAGCGCGTGCCGGGCTGGGAGGTGCAGAGTGTGGAGAGCGGGCCGTGGTTGGAGAGTGGGAAGGAAGCCGTCCGAAAGGGCGACAATAGTCAGTTGCCCAAGTTGACGTTTGGGACCTTCGGGCAGGGGAATCAGTATGAGGGACGGCCGGAATACGCAAACGACGTCTTGGAGCTCCCCACAAAGTCGTTCTCAGAGGCCATGGATATGTTCTGGGACGAGTACAAGGGGCTTGTGAATGCCTAGGATCCCATCCGTACCGGACAGGATTCTAGCGATTGACCGGCGCCGGCGCGTGCCGGTCCAGGAATCTCACATTTCATCGTACTGTACAGGGTACATAGCTTTACATGTGAAGGCGGTCGGCCTGCCGCTGCCGTTGTCCTTCACCCGAACAAGCCGCAAGTACACGTTGGGTTGTGACCATCGTAGGGCTTTCCACAGTGATAACAGAACTCCTCACCGCACCGACATCTCATATGGTTGCAACCGAAATTCTTCTCTATGAGCTGTCCGCAGGGGCAGAACTTCCACCCCGATCTTCTAATCAGAGCATTGAGCTTCCTGTCTTGCCTGCACACCCCGCCGTGGTCCTTCCTCTTGCAGAGCATACACATGGCTCTGTCGCAGAAGGGGCACCGGGAGTAATCTTCCCGAATAAACCGGCGTGGAATGTAGGTGAGACAATCCTCCCAGGGGCAGTAAGTCGGGTTTGGCGCATTACGTTCCTGCAGCCACAGGCAAAAGGCTTCCATAAAGTCATCCGTGAAATCACACCGTTGCCGGATTAGCTTGACGGGGATGCTTTGGCCACAGCAAGTCATCTCTTCGTGGGATAGGAATGTGCTAACAACGCCCTCTGTTACGCGTCCGTGTTAGCTAAAGAGGGTCCCGTTGACAGATCTACCAAGGAGACACAGTGCTTACCGCGAAGACAATCGTCACAAAATGAATGCTTGCATTGCAGATTTGCTGTGTCAATCCGGAAAAATGATTCAAGACAGGCCGAACAATCGACTATATCGAAAGGTGACTCCCCCGCAGGCCTGTTTGTGGACTTGACGTCCGTCTTAGCCCTAGCGCGAAGAGCCAAATCCTTCAAGATCTCGGCTCTGGTGGCAGGCTTCTCTTCTGGTGCATGGTCGGGACCGTCGCTCTGCTGGCTTTCCGGGTGTAAAGATCGGTAGATCGTGTGGAACTCCTCAATAGTATCGAACAGGGAGACAGTCTCGGGGCAGTGGACTGCACGCATGCAAGCTCCCAAGTAGACAGCGGCCTGCTGGACTTCTGGCTTCAAGCTTTCTACCAAGTCGTCTACTCCGAGCATCTCAGGCGGTGATTGCGGGTAATCGTTCAAGACTCGAAGGAGGAACGAGAAAGCAAAAGCCGGCAGCTTGAGCGATAGTGTTGTATGGTGTTCATTGGAGAAGCTGGCGACAAGGACTCCGTCCCCGTAGATAGCATTGAGGGCAGCGACCTCGTCGGCCAGGGCAGGGTTGTGGATTAACATGGCGAAGTGCCGAATCAAGGCTGTGGAGAGATTTCGATCTTGATGCTCTCCAGGTGAGTCTGGGGAGCTTGCGATTTAAAGAGGGATCGCTAGGGTGAAAGCCGCTTCTTTGCGTGCTCCGAAGACATATCTCGGTAGGATTCATGACGGCACCAGGAATGGCCCATTTGGTAGCCGGTGGTCATTGTGGCTTCACCGCCGCCATGCTGACTGGGGAAAGTGGTGGCTCAGTCACCGCTAAGGTTTTGAGCAATGAGTCACCAGCAGTAACAAGGGAGGCAGAGTGATTCATTCTAGAGCCGAAGGAACGCAGTCGCCGGCAAGGATCGGACGCGACGTTCAGATCAAGCACGCGCGGTGCTCTAGCCGGACTGTACCATGGCTCGGAGAGGGAGAAGTGAAGCAGAATTGACATGATCATTCGTGATGGATGTGCATCTCATGGGGAAGGTGGGGAAGCCAAGGACACGCAGGAAGGCGCCGCCACACGGAAAGGTGTGGCATCTCATTGGCCCGCCATTCGGAGCGAGGTTGACGGCCACAAACACATCCGATTTCTTGCTCTCATTAATTGTGCGACCGGCCTGTGCTCCTCTCCTTAGCTCTTCTCGACCGGCTCCAGAGCCACCTCCTGCTCGTCAACGCCACCCTTCTCTGCTCCCTCAGGATCGCCCCTCAGCCTCGCCTGCAGCACATGTCTGTATTCCTTCTTGGCAAAAAGCAGATCGATCTCCTCCAAGCTTAGCCCCTTTGTTTCTCTGACACAGAAGTAGACAAAAGGGATCGCTAGGACGTTGAAGACGCAAAACAGGAGATAGAACTTCCAACCGGACGACTGAATACCCATTGGTCCGAATTTGACCACGATAAAGGTGATGATCCACTGGGTAAATACTCCCATGGAAGTGCCCTAGATGGAATTCGTCAGTCTGCGATAGGGAGCACTTACGCAGGGGCGAAGACCTACAATATGGCGGACGTGAAGCGGTGCGATCTCCGGCACGTACTGCAGCCACATCAGCATGGCACTCGAGCGAGTGATGGGCGTACTCACTATCCATGGCGCATCACACCAAGAGGCCCCAAAGCAGAACTCGAACAAGAAGATGCTGACCACAGCAAGCTTGTTCGACGAGTCGTTGTTGACACCGAGACCGATCGTGAACAGAATCATGAAAAGCGAGCAGAATACGGCTCCCCATAGCATGACTGTTCTCCTACCAAATTTCTCCATGGTGTAGATCGTCGAGCAGGTTCCTCCAAGGAAGAGTAGCGTCACGCCACCGCTCGTGATGGCCGCCTGGTTCTGCGACATTCCGAGTGAATTGATGAACAGATAGGTCGCATAGTATGACACGATGTTGTTCCTGTTCTCACGATGCCATGATCAGTCTCGATGCTTGAGGTGCATTCGGCAGGGAGATCTCTCTCTACGTCCGCCCGCCAGCTGGGGAGAAGAGTCGACTCACCCGTCCATCTGCTGGAAGAACTGCACGAGGACACCGAGCCACAAGCGCCAAGTCGTGTTGACGGGAGAATTGTCGTAGAAGAGGTTCTTGATGGTGAAGTTGTATTCTTTCTCTGCCTCAAGAGCGGTGAACACGTCCGATCGTTGCTTGGCCACCTCAGCGCTGTCGACCGGCACAGAGTAGATGCGAGCCATGACATGATCGGCGTCATCAATGTGGCCTTGGGCGTACAGATACCTGGGTGACTCGGGCAGAAAGAATATAGTCGCAAATGTCAAGAGGATGAAGACCACCTGGAACGCGATGGGCAGGCGCCAGACAGCCTCCGTGTTGGGATGGTTACGAATCATCCCATAGTCGACTGCGTGAGTACGTCAGTTTGTGTATCCCGAAAACCAGAAATTGATCAGCTGTGGGAAAGGAGGGAGGTGCGGTGGAAGGCATTCTAGTTATGCCGGAGTCTGGGTCCCTTGATTTGAAGCTCAGGGACCAGGGCAACTTACACCAATAAGCGATCGTAAGGCCGAGAATCACTATTGACAGCTGGGTTGCGATCAAGGCTCCTCGAGTCTTTGCTTTGGACGTCTCAGCAACCCAGATTGGGACCATCTGTTGGCATCGATAAGTCAGTTTGCTTCCCATCGCGTGGGGAGGAATACATGTGGAGACGGTCTGAACGAGGACTTACCGTCGTATTCAGGCCCATGCCTAAGCCAGCAATGACACGGCCAGAGATCAGATATGCCGTACCATGTGCTCCGGCTTGTAGCCCAGCACCAAAGCAAACAAGGACACCTCCAATCACAATGAACAGGCGCCGACCGAGCATCTGGCCAACGAACCCACAAACGATACAACCTGTCAGACAGCCGATGTCGTATATTGCGACGATGGTCCCTTGTAGGTCGGCAGCTTGAGGGTCGATGTGGTTTGCTGAGAGAAAATTTGGCAGCGCAATGAGCCCACCGAGGACACCTTGATCATAGCCTGGCGAGATGTCAACTGAGGCTCATCTTACAGCATTCAGACGTGGAAGTACCGAAGAGGGTGAATGCCCATGCGGAGCATAGTGTGATGCCCGCCTGTAGCCAGAAACCGTTCAGCGATTGAGCGTAGCCTCTATTGAAGGCTGACATGATGTCGAAATGTCCTGGTATCCGTCGAACAGATTTCTCGCGGCGAGATTTCAGGAAAACTTAGAGTCAACGAACGGTCCATGGTTCGATGATATGTGCGTCGCCGATCTGATCATGTCCGGGATTCGTTTTCCTATGTGGACGCCTGGCGGCATTGGAGTAAGTTTGACATCCTAGCCGAAAGTGTGGGAAACTCGACGGTCCATTTGGGTCTCCAGCTAGGTGCATTGGCCAGCTGTTCAGACGGTTCGACGGCATGGAAAACGGGGCGTACTACAAGGTATACATCCCCAAAATCTACCAGGAGAAGCCCGCATTATGCGGGGCTTTTGTGGAGTGCGCAAGTACCGGTGAGCTTTTGATAGTGGAGCTTGTTACGGAAGCTTCTTTGTGGTCGTCGCGCGGATAGCCTATGAGAACCATTCAGTGTGTCGTGTTTCGTCGAGGGTTGAAGCCGAATTCCGGTATAGGCCGGTAAACAGCCGTGCCAGCAGCTGGGGAGGCTTCACTTCGAAGGCGTGTTGACCGAGGTATTGAGCCAGATGAAATGTGCCTTCGCCTAGCTGCCAGAAAGAACATGGTAACGGCCAGCTCCAATGGGCCTGATGCCGGAGAACGTGCGAGAAGTATCAACATATATACCGCAGCCAAAGGGCATACGTCTTTTCATGCGGCGATGAGATGACTTGCTCCGCCACCACTGTTTCCAGCCTCGTCAAGCCTCGTCATCAGGACGGGCAGTAATGAGTCTGTTCCAATGACTATCTGATATCGTGGAAACCGCCGTCGTTCACCACCAAAGAGCCGTTCATGTAGCTGCTTTCATCGCTGAGCAAGAAGCTGAGCACGTTGGCTTGTTCTTCGGCAAATGCCATCCTGCGAAGGGCGATCGCCTTGCTCACTGCTGAGTCTTCGTTCTCCTTTGAGCCGATGATGCCTTCCTTGCCCTGAGTCGAAAGCAGTCATGTTAGAAGTCTGTTCTCTCCGATAAGGGCCTTGTTGATGCGGGTGCTTGAACAAGAAAGACCCGTTACACAAGGAGCACTGACCATACTATGTTCTATCATCTTGGTCAATGTCCAGCCAGGGCACAGAGCATTGACCCTAATACCGTCGGGCCCATAGAACTTGGCTCCATTCTTCGTCACTGCAGCCGCAGCGTACTTACTGGGAGTATACGCAGCCAGTCCAGCAGCCTGGAGGCCGGAAATTGAGACAACGTTCGCGATAGCCCCACGTTGGCCTGGAATCTTGTGTGGACAAGCTGGTTCAAAGGAGATTGGTCGGGGTTCCTGAGTTCTCATCTGGAAGGCTTGATATTTCTGTGAAAGCCATAGGCCCCTGGTGTTGATAGCGTGCGTCCTATAGCAGTCAGAAACCGAGTAATTCGAGAGTGTCGACCAGGAGCATACTTCTCGAACAGCTCCGTCGTGATGCTCTCCTCCTCCGCCCAGACAGATTCACAGATGCCCGCACAGTTGGCCGCATAGTCGATGCGGCCCGTCCATTCAGTGGCTGCTGCGACGGCATCTTTGACCTGCTGTTCCTGGGTTATGTCGACCTTGAGAAACTTGGTTTTCACATTCCATTTCTTCGCCACCTCATCCGCGACGGTACTCCCTTCCTGCTCGTTCATGTCCACTATGACAGTCCATATGCCCCGGCTAGCGAGTTTATGAGCGGTGGCTTTCCCTATGCCGCCGCTACCACCAGAGATAAAAGCCACGCGCGCTGCTGTGCTCGTCATGTTTGAAGTGTCGACAACGAAAACGAGAGTTACAAGCTCAAGAAATCCGAAGCACCCTACCTTTTGAAGAGGACACAGAAAGCCCACCCACCGCCAATCGCGATGAATGGGGCAGACTCGCAACTCTGTCGTGCCGTCTGCATCGAGGTGGGATTCCGTCTGTCTTCCGAGCTAGCAGGGAGACAGATCAGCTGCGGCGGACGGTAGCAAGGAGCGGAGATGTTGACGAGTCTTGGTACGTACGCCTCGGGGCAATCTCTGTAGGAGCGCTGCGAGACTCTGCACTGTAGCCGCGCAGGGACCGCAGCCGGTGGCCCACTTAGCACAACCACCCTGCGGAGTACAGACCGTCCGTAGGTACCTACCTAGGTACTTTAGGCATGCCCGAACTTCGCTAGGCTTTCTGTTATTTAGGCGTATGGGCTCTATTAAGCCACTCCCCCTCTCCATGGATTTCCCCCGTGCTCAACAGTGCTCAGAAGAACAACATCACTCCGATGATTCATCCACCATGACGGGCAGCATACAGGACCGAGGCAGTTCGTGGTCATTTAGTGAAAGGGACATGCTGCACTGCCGGATGCCGCACCCTTGAAGGTTGCATTAGTCGACCTCCTCTCCACGATATGAACCTCCGTCCACGGGAATCGAAACCCGTCGGCTATCAGGGTTCACTTGATTCTTTGTGTAACGACATGTCAGCGGCACCTAGGTAAGTCGCTTATGCAAATGCGATAACTCGGTCTTCCGCGACTCTTTGAATCTATCCAGACGTGGGTGCCCATTGAGCTTCAGATAGACCTGGCGATTGTGTGTTTCACGGGGGTTTCTTCTGTTGGAGCACACTCGTTGACCACGGCCGGCAATGGCGCAGCAAGCAGTCGACCTCGATGCTCTTATCATCGGGGCAGGATTCAGCGGGATATATCAGCTCTACCGGCTGAGGCAGATGGGCTTATCAGTCAAGGTGATAGATATGGCCGGCGATGTGGGAGGGACGTGGTATTGGAATCGATACCCCGGTGCAATGAGCGACACCGAGAGCTTTGTATACCGATTCTCATGGGACAAGGAAGACCTGCGGACCTACCCCTGGACACATCACTATGTCAAACAGCCTGAAGTCCTGGCCTATCTCCAACATGTCGTCGAACGACACGACCTCCGGAAAGACATGCAGTTCAACACGGAGTTGTTATCCGCTAGATGGGACGATACATCCAAATTCTGGCGCGTGGAATTGAGCACGGGCAAGACTCTCAGGGTACGATATCTCGTCACGGCGCTGGGCCTCCTGTCTAAAGCCAACTACCCGGATATACCAGGCATCGACACGTTCCAGGGCCAAAAGGTCCACACGGCAAAATGGCCGCCGGGACTCGATGTCACGGGCAAACGCGTCGGCATTATAGGCTGTGGTTCGACCGGCGTCCAAGTCATCACCGATATCGCCAGCAAGGTCAAATCGCTGACCTGCTTCCAACGACACCCTCAATACAGCGTGCCCAGCGGCGATCGGCCCGTCGACCCTGCCTACCGGCAGTGGGTCAACGAGAACTACGACGCCATATTCGAGCAAGTAAAGAACAGCGTCGTTGGGTTCGGCTTCGTCGAATCCACACGGCCTTACGCGTCCGTCTCGTCGCCCGAGGAACGCGAAGCCATTTTCGAATCCCTCTGGCGCCAGGGCAACGGCTTCCGCTTCATGTTCGGCGGCTTCAACGACATCGCCACCGACAAGGTCGCCAACGAAGCGGCCTGCGCCTTCATCCGCAAGAAGATCCGCGAAATCGTCAAGGACCCCGAAAAGGCCCGCAAGTTGCAACCGCACGATTACTACGCGCGGCGACCTCTCTGCGACGGCGGCTACTTCGAGCAGTTCAACCGAGAGAACGTAGATGTCGTCCACCTCCAAGAAACCCCCATCACCCGCATCACGGAAAAGGGCGTCCAGACGACGGCTCAACTGTACGAACTCGACGTCCTGATCTTTGCGACGGGCTTTGACGCCATCGAGGGCAATTACAACCGCGTGCGCATCCAGGGCCGCGACGGCGTCTCGCTCAAGGAATACTGGGCCCCCACAGGCCCGACGAGCTACCTGGGCGTGTCGGTGCCGGGGTTCCCCAACCTCTTCCTGATCACAGGTCCTCAGGGCCCGTTTACCAACCTGCCGCCGGCGATTGAGGCGCACGTCGACCTCATCTCCGGCCTCATTGCTCGCGCGGAGAAAGGCCGCAGGGAGAACAAGGTCCCCGTCATCGAAGCCACAAGGGAGGCCGAGCAAGAATGGTGTGCCGAGTGTGAGCGGGTCGCCGAGGGCAGTCTCTTCAAAGAAACGGCAAGTTGGATCTTTGGCCAAAATGTCCCGGGCAAGAAGTATGCCTTGCGATTCTACTTTGGCGGGCTGAAGGCCTTCTACGAGGCGGTGCAGAAAGTCATTGATAACGATTATGCTGGGTTCAAGCCTTTGCAACCGGCTGGAAACGAGGCTCAACAAGGGCTTCGCGGCGAAGTGGGTGACCAGAAACCTCTCGTAGCACGGCTATAGAACGGTAAACGAACAAGTCGTGACCGGCAGCAACGAGTCCACGATTGCTAGGTAGTGTATACCGATCAGAAGGCAGGGAAGGGTACGGAAGAACGTTGATCGTTTTAAAGGATGTATTCGGTTTATCCATCGTCATTTCTCGCAAAGTGTAATCAGTTTGGCCACGCCTAGAATGAATCGTGTGAAGCATCGTGATGCTCTCGTAACAGAGAATTAAGCATGCAGTTCATGAAGCAATCGTGAGCTGAGTCCTCTGTATCCCACCAGTTTCCCAAAAACCATCAATCTCAGCAACGTCGTCAATGCGCCGCTCTGTCATCTCGCTCTCGGACGGCCGTTCCGACGAGGTTTAGTAGCGGCTTCCACTGCCACCCCAGCTGCTGCCACCACTGCCGTGGTGCTTCTTCTTCTTGTCCTTCAGGAAGTCTTCAGCAACACTGCCGAGAAGGGCACCTCCGACAGTACCGAGGAAACCATGACCTGATGATTTTCCTAGGAAGTGACCACCAAAGCCACCACCAATAGCGCCCAGCAGACCGCGCTCTCCTTCAGTCATAGGAGGAGCGTTAGGATCGTAGTTGGGGGCATTGGGATCGCTCGACTGAGGGGAGAACTGGTGATTTTGCGCTTGGGGCGGTACGCCTTGACCTTGTTGGCCCTGTCCGCCATGAGACATTTGTTGTTGGTAGGCCTGGTTTTGGGCGTAGGCGTCGTTGCTGCCGTATTGCTGTTGTTGGGGCTGGCCATAGTAGCCTGCATTGCCCTGTGGGTTGCTGGCGTCGTAGGCACCGAATTGGTACGTTTGCTGACCGTGCTGGAAGCCGCCCTGTTGGGGAGGGCCGAAGGAATCTTGTCGGCGAGGAGGACCAAAGCCTTGGTCTTGAGGTGGATATTGCTGGTAGCCCTGCTGAGGGGGGTATTGCTGGCCTTGGTCATAACCTTGCTGCGGCGGATAACCCTGTTGTTGCCCATAGCCTTGCTGCGGATATTGCGAGCCATATCCCTGGCCGCCGTAGGAATCGTAGGGTCCAGACATTGTAGGCGAGACGGACTCGAAGACGGTAAGACTGTAATGAGTAGGTCGCTTGGATCAGAGGATGTTGCTGGCGGGGCGCTTGATTTGGTGTATGAAGGGAAGATGAGGTAGACGTGAGAAGGACAGATATATAATGTCACAGCTGAAATGAACAGGGAGAGAGCTTGCGCAGCTTGCAGAATCCCAGCCACGCAAGCTGCGCTCGGGAGTGATGGTGCACTCAAACTCAACTCAGCAGTCATTCACTCTCTCGTCCAACCGCCTGAGCTGAGCCCCGCGGCACGACCCCTCCTTCACTAATCAAGGCCCCTAGCCATTTCCGGGCGTCTCGTGGCCTCTAAGTGGTCATACGGCTCTTAGCTCAGCTGCACTCGAGACCCATGTGCCCCCGGATGGCATCGGCTTGAGGTGCTGCTGCAGCCTGGAACAAGTGCCTAGCGGTCAGATCCCTCGTTTCCATCCGAGTGCCTTTCGTTTAGCCAGAATCACCAAAAGCCCTCCCTAGGACGTCTCGGTTGCTCCGACTTGGCCGGACGTTCCCGCTTGTTCTTCGTAACCCGAACCCCAAATTGTGGCGAAGCGATGGCGCAGAGTCACGTGGATGTCGTCATAGGTCAAACACTGTGGCGCATACTCATTGCGTCGGACATCATCGGCAGCCTCGGCCGCCTTCCGTATCGGGCTCTTTCTGTCTCCCAACGCGTCTCCAATCATGAACGACTCCATCGTATCGTAGAGTCCGTTGACAGAGGGTACGGACTCCGCAATCGACGCGGTAATCCGCTCTTCGCATTTCGAAAGCATTGAAGTGCATCTTCCCTCTTGTCAAGAGCATCTCCCTGATGACCTGGGTTGTCCTGCTGACCACATAAAACATGGCGACCACGACGACCACGGCGACGTATGACTACAAAGAAGCCTCGGCAATTGCTCGTAAGAGAAGAGCCGCCAGTATTGCTGCTTTCTATCAGACTCCTGGCTGGAAAGAAGAAGAGCTGCCCCAAAACCTGACAGAATTTGCCCTAAAATCCGGTTACTACACTGACGACGAGCTTCAGATAATCCAGGCAGAAGCAGATGTTATCCTTGACAAGATCAAAACAAAGGCATGGTCAGCGCTCGAAGTCACCAAAGCACACTGCAAAGCATCAGCATTGGCTCAGGAACTGACGAATTGCGTGACCGAAGTCCTGTACCCGGAAGCAATCGAGAGAGCAACGTATCTCGATGATTACCTGGCAAGAACCGGACACACGATCGGGCCCTTGCATGGTCTACCAATTTCCCTCAAGGATTGCTTCATAACAGCTCCGCATCCTTCCAGCAATGGAATGGCCGCGTTTGCCAACGAGCCCTTGCACAAGGACTCCCTGCTGGTCACTATGTTGCGCGACCTCGGTGCAGTGTTCTATGTCAAGACAAATGTCCCAGTTGCCATGATGATGGCGGAGACCAACAACAATGTCTGGGGAGAAACTCGAAACCCGCTGCACAAGCACCTCAGTCCTGGTGGTTCAAGTGGAGGAGAAGGCGCCCTGATTGCCTTCAAGGCGTCCCCATTAGGTGTCGGGACTGATATCGGTGGAAGCGTCCGCATCCCCGCTGCATGGTGCAATCTTTATGGCCTGAAACCCAGCTTCGGTCGCTACCCGCATTACGGTGTGAAGCCGGGCATAGCCGGACAGGAGTATATCCTAGCAGTCAGTGGCCCGATGTCGCGGTCTCTGAAGACATTACAGCTATACTCGGAGGCGCTCTTGTCTGAAGCAGTAAGCCCCTGGGAATACGACCACAAGGCCTTGCCCATCCCCTGGAGGAAGAACGTCATCCAACCACCAGGTCGAAAACTCAGGTTCGGATTGATTGGTGTCGAAGATGGACTTGTCCATGTTCATCCACCTGTTGAACGTGCATTGAAGATGACACAGGATGCTCTTGAGAAGCAAGGACATGAGGTTATCCCCTGGTCCACAGAAGACCATGAAGCCATCGTCAAGGTATACCCTGCGTCTTTTCTTTTGATGTGGCCTGTTTCTGACCCACCCAGAATCTGCAAGCCGCATTTTTCGACCTTGGTGGCGCCGCAATCATGGACATTGTGAAGCCATACGGCGAACCGATCTTTCCAAGCATGGAGGGCTACGCCTTGGCCGCCGCTGCTGGTGAAGGGGAGCTCGGACCGACGAAAATGCGAATGATGAACATACGACGGAACGAGTTGCAGAAAGCGTACCTCGACAGATGGAACGCTACTGCTACACACGGAAAACCACGACTGGATGGGTTGATCTGCGCAACATCTCCCTGGGCTGCTCCTCGTCTGGGCGAAACGCAGAGGAGCGGTCTATACGTTGGCTACACTGGCTTCGTCAACTTTCTTGGTATGCATGACGACTTCCTCGCTGTGTCAGGTTTGGTATTAACTGTGCGCGCAGATTTCACCGCTTGTACCTTCCCCGTCACCTTTGCGGATAAAGAGCTTGACAAGGCCCGAGACATGGAGACCTTCAGGCCGTTGAGCGATATCGACGGCAGGATCCAGAAAGATTACGACGCTGAGTTCTACCACGGCGCACCGGTTGCGTTGCAAATCGTGGGAAAACGTCTTGAAGAAGAAAAGGTCCTCGAGATGTGCGGAGTCATTGCCGATGCCCTCAAAGCGGCCTCTTGAGTTCCTACGGGCTTCGTCTAGGTCAAGTCACTCCCAGCAGATGCAGCATGTCATTGGTCGATCCTTGCAAGGAATGCTGATCGTGCCAATCGCAATGCGAACCAAGACTCAGCCTCAGCCTCATCCGCGATGACTCCCATCAAAGAGATGCTTCCTGATTTTACCTCCTTGCCTCAGGGACAGATACATTCGTTCAGACTCTCGAGTTCCCTTTGATATTGAAGTTCAGTTCTGTATATCGTCCTCGAAACGTCAAATTGCCATTCGACAGTCATGCTCCCTGGTAAGGCTGTTGTCTCATCACACTCCAGCAAGGCGTCTACCCCGCCACCACATGCATGATACAGGGCGGCACTAATGCCTTGCGATCACATATGGTCTGGCAAAGGATACGGAGTCTGTTCAAGGACTATGAAAGGGTTGCCTTCTTCTTGTAAGCAACCACCGACCGCCTCCTTTGTTTTTCAAGCGCAGCGTCCCTTCCTCTTCACCTCACTGCTGGTTACCATTCTGACCATGTTCCCAACCTCCCCTTTGCTCGACCGATTTATTATTTCTATCCTGTCCAGCCTGATCTTCACGTCCTGTGCACAAGCCTGCTCGACATTGTCCTTCGCCTCAGTCTACCAGTCGTACCCCGATTGCGCGGCATCGTGCCTCGCCTGCCCAGACACCGACTATGTGAACAACTTTGCCCATAACTGCAACTACACGAATGGAGATTGCTGTCGAAGCAAGTTCCATACCGTGATAGCCGAGTCGTGGGCCTGTGTCCAGCAGAGCTGTGATGGCATGGACCTCGCGCAGGAGGCATTCGACATATTCGCAAAGCACTGTGAGCATGTCGACGCGCCGTTGGCGAGTGTGGACATTCCGCAAGGATACGCGTCGAGGACGGACGGTGAGCCTCTTCTATATCATTTTTCACCTTCGTCGTCGTCGTCCCTGCCACGAAACGCACACCAACCGACCGACCGACCGACTGACTGACCAACCATTCATATTGGATTTGCGTGGAACTGACTATTCGTGCGGCTTCTCCCGACCAGACGGATCGCCCGGGTCCCCTGGCGCGAACCCCGACACCGACGGCACAGCGTCGTCCCCCTCCTCCTCTGGCCCCCTCTCCACCGGTACAATGGTCGGAATTGCGACCGGCTCTGTCGTTGCCGCCGCGGGAATCGTCGGCGCCATCTTCAAATGTCTCTCGTACAGGCATAAGAAAAAGCAAAACACGTCCAGCAACGGCGGCGGCGGGCAAAACCCAGCAACCACAAACAACCAACTGGTCCAATGGCAGCCCGCATGGCAGGGCATGCCACCGGGCGCACTCACAGGCGACGCCGACGCCCGCGCCACGTACAAGAGGAAGGAATTCGCCTTCGCAGGCGTGCGGCGCGTGAAGGAGACGTTCGAGGTCACCAGACAGCCCACACCCCCTGCTGGGGCGGTTCTGGGCAGAGCGAGAGGGAGAGGGAGGATCCTGGGTGAGGTGTGAGTTGAATATACTCCGTAAAATTCTCCGAAAGATCAAAGTAAACAAATAGATGGATGCATGGCTTGGTGGTTTTTGCCGAATGGCGCAAAGGAGGATTGGGTTCTCCCTTCTGACTCGTACGAGTTATGCTGATATGCTGATATGTTGATATGATGATATGATGACCCGGTTTGGAATTGCTGCCAGATCAGGTACAGTAATTGATTAGATTTGATATACTCCGTATATGCCAAGTACTCCGTACTCCGGACGCGTCTGCATATGCAAGTATACGTGTGGTAGGATGGCGGCGAGCACTGACGATAGCAACTGGACTCAGAAATTGCAAAGTTCAGTCGATTTGATGGACGTTTCGAGTCGATTTTTATTCCAGAGTCAGGGCATACAGCCGGCACGTTTGTACTAGAGGGTTTGTGCTGATCTGCTCGACGTTCAGAATTTGGAGCTGAAAAGCCTCGCACACAACTCTCATGCCCGAGCCCTTTCCCGATGCATTGGGGAAGCAAGAGAAGAAATAGTCCATGTCTGCAGGTTAAAGGGTAGAACATCACTTGTGAGGATTTGGGTGGTGCGAGGGACATAATCATGCATACGCCACTGCTCCCATCTACCATACCCGTATTGCTGTACACCAACAGACCTGACCAGTTCCCCTTTTCTAGAGGATCTTTTTGCTCCACCATCATGGTACTTCGTGAGTAGCTCTAAACTCCCAGCCCTGTCTTGAAACCGGAAGGCCTCAAAATGCTGCTTCAAACCAAGTCCAACCAACCATGGCCCCACTGCGGCGAGTACAGGGGCGTCGACAAGCCTGGAGTCATGAACATCTACATTCGTCGTAGCCGTTCCGACGCAGCTTGCAAGATGCAACTTGCACCAAAAAGAACATCTACACAGTGCTGACTTCGACACGTCCCTCGTTACCGGGGGTCTTTCCGAGGGTGGGGAGGAGATATCTGCACTTCAATTAGCTTGTTTCCGACGCAGGCAAAGGCGTCAACTCACGTAATATCGTCCCAAGGATGTCTGTATAGACCAGTGCGAAGCTATAGATATGTTAGCATATGTTCTGAATAGATGACCGAGAGCCGGGCTGGCCAAAAGGTGCAAAGACTTACTCTCTTCTGATCCAAAAAGTGGGCAATCAGACCGATGGAACGACCCAAGACGAAGAGACCATTGAGAATGCCAATGGAGAGATACTGCTCAGCCTCTTCAGCAGAGAATGAACCACCCTCACGGAGCAAGTCAACAAAGCAGACGGCAATGCATCCATCGACGTTCAAGATCAGGTTATCCTTCTTGGACGTGGTGACAGTCTCGACGGCAATGGCATAGTCAAGGAGCTTGTGAGACGGGAAATGCTTGAGGACAAAGTCCTTGACAAGCTCGACACGCAAGTCAGGGTTGTTGCGGGACTTGATTCGGTGACCGATACCAGGGACTTGACCAGAGTTAGTGGGGAGCTTTCAAGGATTGCGGATCTTGGCTTACTGAGCTTGTTCTCCTTTCTCATGGTGTCGACGAATTCTCTGGGAGACCAGCCCTTGTCCATGGCCTTAGTGAATTCCTCGGCGGCACCGTCAAGAGCGCCACCGAATCGGGAGCCGATGGTCAACAGACCAGCGACGAGCGAGGAGATCAAATCTTTACCGGCACGCGCGGTAATAATGGTGTTCATTGCCCCAGACACGGCCGGACCGTGATCGGCAGTCAACATGAGGACCATCTCCAAGAATTTGCTGGCATAGGGCGGGAGTCTGCGACGGAACCACAGGAGTGACATGACACCACCGATACCGATCTCTTCCTTGAAGACATCTGAGATGGGCATACCTGCGTAGAGCAACTCCTGACCTCTGTCGTCTGAAATGGTGGAGATGAAGGATGCGGGCTTTCGGATAAGGCCTAGTTCTTGCGCCCAGGCGTAGTCCATCGGGATCTTGGGCACTGCCGGCTCGGGAGCAGGTGTGATGGTGCCTTGCTTGACCAGCTTTTGGTAGAGCTCGCTAAGGACCTTGGGCATGTCCTCGAAGGTGTCTGGGACATAGAAACCTGCTTCTCTCATCTTCTGGTTCTTGACGAGCGCAGTTTCGAGCTGAGAGTTGGCAGAGGCACCGGCATGTCCGAACTGGACTTCAGTCTTGAACATGCTGGCGCAAGTACCAATAGCCCAGGCGACGATTGGCTTCGTGATCTCGCCATTCTTCACGGCTTCGATGACTCGATATTCCTCGACACCACCAACCTCGCCAAGCAGGAGGAGAATCTTGCACTCAGGCTCTTGTTGATATCGGATCAGGTGGTCGATGAACGACGTTCCGGGGTATCTGTCACCACCGATGGCAATGCCCTCGTAGACACCATCGGTGTTCTGGGAAATAATGTTGTTCAGCTCGTTGGACATACCACCCGACTTGGAGACATAGCCGACTGAACCCTTGCGGTAAAGCTTGGAGGCGACAATGTTGTCCATCATACCACCAGTGTTACCAATTTTGTAAGCACCAGGCTTGATACCGCCAACGGTAGCAGGTCCAATAATTGTGATGCCCTTCTCCTTTGACTTGACCATGATCTCACGGGCACGTCGCTCCGGGACACCCTCCGCAATGATTGCGATCGAGCGGATTTGGGGGATTTCCATCAATTCCATTGTTGAGCTGTAGACGGATCGCGAAGAGGCGAAGTTAACAATGGTGTCAACGTCAGGATGCTTCTCGAAGGCCTTCTCCACCGACTGGTAGACGGGTAGCAGAGTCTCGCTGGTACCCCAGTACATCTTGCTCACGAACTGGCCGCCGAAGGTATAGATGATACCGGCCACAGAGGGTGTCGTTCTTTTGCAGATGAAGTCGAAGTCAAGCATACCCTGGACAGCCTTGGGTTGCATGCCACTGATACCTGTTAGAACGTGTCCTTGTTCGATAGTCTTGTCTGGCTTACTAGACGAAACATCTTGTCTTGTTGTGGAAGAGAGCGTTTTGTGAAGGGCTCAGCGCCCGTGAAGGAGGCGCAAATCTGCGAATGTTGTCGTTGGCTGAGAAGGGAGTTTCGTGATCATCTGGAAGGTCGCCATTTGCAACTTGGATTTTGGGCACGCCGTTGGCAGCGCCACTGGTAGCGGTAGGCATGGCGGGGTGAGGTTTGTCAGGGGAGTTTTCGCGGACTGGCAGACCCATGATGTTAGTCGGAGGAGACGCAGACAAGACAATGCGAAATGTGACGATGGACAACAGAAGAGAGTAGAGTCTAGTCTTCTTGCTGTCCTCGAGTACAATAACGCAGGGCGGTCCTGGGAAAAGTAGGGGAGGGTATGCCGGTGAATGAATGGGGAACGTCAACAGGACTCACACTGGACTGATTAGGATGTTGGGTGATGTATTTGTCCGTCAAAGGAGAGGCTGGAAATTAGACAGCGGTTGAAACTCAGCAGGGAGAGAATCACAATCGCCGACGTGAGGGAGGAAAAGGTGAGCTTGGTGAATTCAAGCCGACGCTGCTGAGGGATGAGTTGGGTGTTCACTTTCTCGGACCAGAATGTGGAGTGCGAAGATGATGCTGAGGGACCACAGGCTCGCGCTGACTGGATTGGGGATCGTCTGTTGAGGCAGGTCCGGCTAGCTTAGCTGCACCGAAGCTCCTGCGCGGCGCCCGAAAATAGGAATGGTGGCCCCCAATATTCAACGAGTCCAGCTTCACCCGCTGTCACTGAGGCTCGCTTTCCGGCGGTGAGATTTTTTGGTGGGCTCCCTCTGTGCTTGTGCCATGAATGGCCACATAAGCCTTTTCAGCTACACTCGCTATGCCGCACTATCTGCCGCCACTATCCCCTTTGTGCAGGCTATGTCGCAGAAAGGCTGAGACCCCTATCGCATATCCGCCGAGTAACATGCTGGATGGCAGCGAAAGCGGGCCTGAAGACAATCGTTCCTCTATCGATTGGAGCAAACTCGATCTTCTCGCGTGCTCTCGCCATTCGGAGTCCGGCCCCCCGTAACAAGTGCCTGTCGTATCTCGTAAGGCGAGGTGACAGATGTGCTTGTTGCCCACAAGGGAACCACGGCAACTATCAATTCTACCCGATATATTCGCCGACTACGCAAGGAGATTGTTCATCGGTGCTCGAGAACAAACTAAAAGGGTATGACGCTCGGCGTTTGTGCGACCTCGGCGCAGCGCTCGAAAAACATTGAACCAGCAGACAATGTGTTGGAGGTCAATCGGCTCGAAGAAAAAAATGTGTCCACGTCACAGGGTACAATTGGCGGTGACCGAGGGTTGGGATTGTCGGTCAAACACTATGGAGTGCAGGCGATGGTCATGGGCGCGGGCGGTTTGTCCCTGGCGTTGGCGCGGGTCAGTAGCACAGCTGTACGAGTAGCTCCACGCCTAATCTGCGTGCTGAGTGCCCCTCGATAAGTTTAGCCCGCCTAGCGGGACGACCCCTGCTCCCAACGAAGGCCTGAGATCCACCAAAAAGTGCGAGACAGTTTTGTATCCTCCGGAGGCCAACAGAGTGTGTGAGCATTGATTTGGAGGCCCCGGCTGTTCACACTGTCGAACTCACTCACCTACAGTTGCTCATTTGCACTCTCGCCTTCGGCAACCTAGACGTGGTCGTTGCTACTTCTCTTCCACTTTAGATCCTGTTCTATCTCAAAAGTCGAGCCAGACTCTCTTCCTCCATTCCTTTCCCCTGATTATTTACCCCACACCTCACCGCCGCCAACAATGTCAGCAAAGTCGATTCTCGAAGCCGACGGCAAGGCCATTCTCAACTACCACCTTACCCGCGCTCCTGTCATCAAACCTACTCCTCTGAAGGCAGCCGCCGTGCACAACCCTCCTCCAAAACTGGCCTCGATCTTCTTTCCCGAGGACGAGTCACCGAAGACCGTGTTGGACCAAGCTGAGGCTACATACCCATGGCTCCTCCAACCGGGCTCAAAATTTGTTGCAAAGCCCGATCAGCTGATCAAGAGAAGAGGGAAAAGCGGTCTTCTGGCCTTGAACAAGACTTGGAAAGACGCAAGAGCGTGGATTGAGGAGAGAGCCCGCAAGGAGCAAAAGGTCGAGCACGTTACGGGCGTTCTCTGCCAGTTTCTCGTGGAACCCTTTGTGCCTCACCCCCAAGATACTGAATATTACATCAACATCAACTCCGTCCGAGATGTAAGTCGGTGCACCCGGCAGTCGCTTCTCGCAGACTAACTGATTGGCAGGGCGACTGGATTCTTTTCACACACGAGGGTGGTGTCGACGTTGGCGACGTGGACGCAAAGGCCAAGAAGATCCTGATCCCAGTCGACCTGAAGAAGTTCCCCTCAAATCAAGAGCTGGCCGAGACTCTCTTGCCTGACGTGCCCAAGGGCGTCCACAATGTTTTGATCGACTTCATTGTCCGACTCTACTCCGTCTACGTTGACTGCCAATTCACCTACCTCGAGATCAACCCGTTGGTTGTTATTCCGAACGCTGCTGCCACCTCCGCTGAGGTGCACTTCCTCGATCTTGCCGCTAAGCTTGATCAGACCGCCGACTTCGAGTGTGGTGTGAAATGGGCCATTGCCCGAAGCCCCGCTGCTCTTGGTCTACCCGGGGTCAAGTCCGACGGAAAAGTCACCATCGACGTTGGCCCACCCATGGACTTCCCTGCGCCGTTCGGTCGTGAGCTTAGCAAGGAAGAGAAGTACATCGCGGACATGGATGCGAAGACCGGCGCTTCACTCAAACTGACCGTCCTGAATGCCAAGGGCCGCATCTGGACTTTGGTCGCTGGTGGTGGTGCCTCTGTCGTGTATGCCGACGCCATTGCCTCCGCCGGTTTTGTCAGCGAGTTGGCCAACTACGGTGAATACTCCGGCGCTCCGACCGAGACTCAGACGTACAACTACGCTAGAACGGTTCTCGACCTCATGCTCCGGGCACCAATGCACCCTGACGGCAAGGTCCTTTTCATTGGTGGTGGCATTGCCAACTTCACCAACGTTGCTTCTACCTTCAAGGGTGTCATCCGGGCCCTGAGAGAAGTCGCACCAGTCCTGAACGAGCACAAGACCCAGATCTGGGTCCGTCGTGCTGGTCCCAACTACCAGGAAGGTCTCAAGAACATCAAAGGTGTGGGAGAAGAGCTTGGTCTTGATATCCATGTGTACGGCCCTGAGATGCATGTCTCAGGTATTGTGCCGTTGGCCCTTCTCGGCAAGAAGTCTACTATTCCTGAGTTTGGCGCATAGACAATCAAGGACGGCAACTCAGCTTTGCTCCGTGTATTGACTTTGATCTAGAGCACACCAAAAAATTTCAGGCATGAAGTTTTGATGACGGGTTGGCTGGCATCAGCGGGTGGGCAACGGGTAACGAGAGGTGCTGGCTTGGGTGTTTCTCTTACCGGAGTTGAACTTTGGAAGCTCGCCTGGCAGTAGAAGCGTTATGTATGTATCGGTTGTGGTGTATGACAATCGGCGACGGGTCAGTCCGCATAGAAAACAAAATACCACTAGCACTCGAACACAAGTACCAGAGGCAGAAGATGAGGGTTATGACTCCTGTCGCATGAAAACTGGATCCACTTGGTGTCGGTCACCTTCTATCATCTGACGAGGTGGGTAGAGGGTAGCCCCCTCGCCATACCCGCAACAACCCATTGTTTCGGTGAAACGGTTGATTGTTGCTCTCCGTAATCAGGAAACCTGTTATTTTGACCGCCTTAGACTGAGAGAACCTCCCATCTCCTTCGTGCCACATCATAAAAACGCCCAGCCATATCAAAAGCCCTTTCCGGTCTCTGCCCGCCTCGTACGGAACCACACTCTCATGCCAACGAGTTACTCGACAAGCACAACCCGTCCACCTCCAAGTTCATCGATATACGCCATTTTGCCACAGCCCTGACTCCGACCCTTGCGTCCGTAATGCATCTCCTCTTTCGCATCACCGCCTTCTTCTTCTCTGAGCAGCACGGCGAGGACTTCAATGGGCGGTTGCAGGCCCAGAGTATTGGCTCGCCGCCAGCGGGTCAGACGGGGGACACCGATACAAGGGCCGTACTGGGATGAGAGGTCGAAGTGTCGGAGGATCTTTTCGTGGAGGGGGAGGGTCTCTTGGTGTACTGCAGAGGCATGTTAGTACCAAGGTAAAGTAGTACACGGCGCCTTTGGGTTCCGAAGGTGATGCAGACCCCCAAGACCCCCTACAAGACACGGGAAGGGACAGACGAGGAAGAGAGAATGGGGTGGGAATGTGACCATACCTCTGGGAGCAAGCCTCGAGTCTTCTTCCTTCTGCCAGTACTTCTTGAGTTGCGCATCTGTGATCTTCTCCGCGGCTCTCTCTCTCTCGTCCTTGCCCTTGACGGCTTTGATTCTCCGTCTCGCTACGGCTTTGGATGGTTCTGGTTCTTTCTCGACGATCTGCTCGGTCTCCGGTTGTTCGTTATTCTCGATCTTCTGCTGCGCTGGTCCCGGTTCTGGTTCGTCTTTGACTGTCACATCCACGACTTCCGGCTCTGGTTGTTCCTGCTGTAGAGTGTCTTCGATCTGAGAGATTTTCTTGGCGCTGGCGACTTCTTCATCCCTCTGTGCGTGTGCGCTCGTCTTCGTTACCCGATTGTTGAACGAGAGTCTGGACTGGCCGCCCGAACTGGCTCTGGCAGTGGCGGATTTGCGCCCCCGAGGCATGTTTGGCTGATTGATTGCGTTACGGACTGATGAACAGAGTAGAGCAATAATCTAGATATGCCGCGTAGTGGTAAATGTGACTTTGGCGCAAATATAGTATGTGAATTGGGGTCGAGGTCCGCGAACTTCGAGGTGAAAGGGAGATGAATCGCGGGTGAATGACGTTCATGAGGAGCGCTGCCTCAGCAACCAGCCTGGAGTCCACTTTCGGGTAGAATTTAATGCCGCTGTGGGACAATGTGGCTTCATTGAATTTTAATTGGCTTTTGAGCGCGCGCCATCCTCAATCCTGGAAAAGCGGCGCTGTCCTTTCGTGTTCCTGGCTTAATTGGATGCAGAGGTGTTGAGTGGTACTTCGTGACTTCGCACTTGTACTGTCCTTGCTGGAAGCAGAGAAGTCTCTTACAATCAACAATGTCTGGCCTGATTGTTTAGCATATCATTCCTGAGGCTTCCCTCGGCTTACTGCAACGCGGCATTGAACACCTCGTTCGGACCCTTACCTGAACCAGTAGACATCCAATTGGACCTGAGGGCTCCTCTGCTCCGCGAAGGCGGCATGTTTTCCGAGGAAGTAGAAATCGGATTCCAGAAGACTGAGAGGAAATCTGAGTGCTCAAACTTAACACATGCCCGCGCGCAGTGCCACAATGAGGAGCAGCTAATCCCTGCCGCCTCCGGTGGCTATGCCATCATGCCCTTCTTGCTTGGTGATTGTCCACAGCAGAAGGCTTCTACTACGTGAGGAAACGTGGAATCGCCAGCGATTTAGACCATGTTCAGCAACCACAAGTCCCGTCGGGTCTTCGACCACAGCTCCAGCGTGACCGGCAGCCTGAGAAGATGTCGACCTGAGGCGGATGTACTCGAAACCCGTTGAACAACCAACTTGAGAACGCCATAACTAGCTCCAACTGATGACCACTACTCACACGCTTCTAAATGTCTGAACAGGCCTGGCGACTGCTTGAGACTTCTTGTTCTCCTCGTATGCATTTTCGACGAATTTATCGTGAAGCATGTTTCATCCCTAACGAAAGATTAGGGATGAACACAGGCATCAACGACGTGCTGGACCTAATGAAACATAGCTGGATCTTTTGTACCTCGTAATGATAACAATGCCAGACGGTAGATCAGGCGCATGGGACCCCTTTTCGGTAGCCAACGCTTCCACACAAATTGGCGAAGACTCGAGAACGAGAAGTTGATCCTGCAATTTTCTCTAGTTGATAGAATCTAGACTGTCTCGATTCTCAACTGTTCAGGGTGCCGATTTTGGTGTGAAAGTCAATGATTTCTGGGTGACGTTCTTGGTCAGGCATCAGAGCCCTCTGATAGGCGGAATCAGCGGAGTTTCAACAGGCAGGTTTCTGTGGCACCTCGCACTCCGAGTTCAACCTCCATGCTGCACGGTTCAAGTCGTATCTAACCATGCCCATTCCCCTGCTGGCGGAGGGTTTCGGCAGGGGCTTCTCTGGTATCCCTTATGCCTGGGCTGCCGTCCAAGGTGCGGTCGTCATTGGCGTCATCGCTCTTCTGAAATTGTACTTTGGCGGAGCGACATGTCGCTCCGAACGAGTAATGCACGGGAAGGTGGTCCTGGTTACGGTGAGAAGATCCTTCCAAAACAGATTCGATCCCTAACCGGCGTTCATAGGGGGGAACTTCGGGCATCGGCGCAGCCGTGGTACAAGAACTCGCCACACGAGGAGCGCAAATTATTCTCCTGACCCATCATGCTCCCTCTGATCCGTTTCTGGTCGACTATATCGAGGACGTGCGGACGATCACGAATAACGAGCTTGTCTATGCCGAGCAGGTAGACCTTTCTTCCCTCCACTCAATCCGTCTTTTCGCGACCAAATGGGTGGACAATGCGCCTCCGAGAAGATTGGACATGATTATTCTGTGCGCAAATATCATGACTCCCTACTTTGGTACGGGTCAGACAACAATGGACGGACTGGAGGCGGAGTGGATGATCAATTATCTCAGCACTTTCCACCTGTTGAGCATTCTGTCACCAGCCATCAGAGCACAACCTCCCGATCGAGATGTGAGGATTCTTTTCAGCACCTGTAGCAGCTATATTGGTGGGAAGTTGGATTACAAGACTACCGAAGTGGCCACCAAATCAGGAACTTCTTCATACGCAAGGAGTAAGCTGGCAGTCATGGCTTTCGCAAACGCTTTCCAGAAGCACCTAGACGCATACAAGAGACCGGACAATCAACCCAACAATGCGCGAGTGCTGATTATTGACCCTGGCTATTCTCGGACTCCAGGAACCAGGAGATGGCTTTCTGGCGGTGCAATTTGGGGATTGCTCGTGTATTTGCTCAGTTGGCCTTTGTGGTGGCTCATCCTCAAGTCACCGTCACAGGGTGCTCAGAGTTACCTGCTGGCCGCTATGGATGCAGAATATGGTCGGGTTCCTGGCGGCCGGTTGATCAAAGAATGCAGAGAATACCAGCCTCTGCGGTCAGACGTCGAAAGTGAGGAGGTCGCCAAACAGCTGTGGGAATTCAGTGAAAAGCAGATTGAACAGCTGGAGAAGCAAGGCGCCGTCAAGAGAGCTCTCGCAAAGAAAGAAGCAGAGGAGGGAAAGACTGCTAGTGAGTCTGCCACTAACAGTACGACTACTGGAGGGAAGAAAGACCCTACCCCGGGATCGCGAAGAAGTCGAAAAACGAAATGAAAATGGCTCGCACGGCGTATTCGTATACCTCTACACGTGGAAGTTTAAACCCAGCAATCAGGAGTTCCGGAGACTTGGATGCCTGAATTGGCAAGCCACAGCCAAGCCTTGTCACGTCGCTGGGCAAGACAATATGAATACACTGGGTGCGCGATAGTTTTGCAAGCTTGGGTGGAGGCCTGCTTAGGACCGTCTTGCCCTTCGTCGCTGGGCCTTGGTTCGTCTCTTTCCATGACAACGGCAAATATCCGTACCTCAAGGAACAGCCTTGGCCACCTGAAGCGCCTCTGGGCCAGCAACACCTTTCCAAACTCTTTCCCAGTACCTATTACAAAGCAACTTTGTTGCCTGACGGGTGCCTTCGTGAGTTGCTTCGCAGCCGCCCAAGACGTTGAGATATAAGACTACTGGGGTGTTTCCACATCTGAACCATGGATCATCAATCCACTGCAATCCCTCTTCCCGTCTCTCCAAGCACATTTTCCCGCTTTGCACGACTCCCACTCGAACACGATGACTACCCGTCCCGAATCCATTTCTGGTGGATGCCTTTGCGGCTCGATTCGATACAAAATCGCGTTTCCTGAAGACGCTGCATGGCCAGCTCAAGTAAGGTGTCATTCCTCGCCCGGATAGCCCAATCTGATGTTGTCAGGCTGCAACGTGCCAATGCTCCATTTGCCGCAAATGGTCGGGATCATTGATCTCGCATGAGATATTGATACATCCGTCCCAGTTAATCGGCGACATTTCGAAATCACCAACATACCGGGAATATCAGTCGACCCAGTCCGCAATCCGATCTTTCTGTTCTCAGTGTGGAAGCGGCCTCACGTGGCGGATCATTGGCATGGACGATATGTTGGTGCTCTTCACAGGGACCATTGACGAGGAATATCTGCTCGGCACCAAAGTCGAAGGGAGCGAGCAGCAGACCGAGTTAGGTGTGAAGTTCACTCGTGAAGGAGGATTCTACAAAGAATTGACTACGCCTACCATGGGTCATCTGTTCTGGAACAACGTGATTCCCGGGATCACTGATCACGACACTGGAGGAACGAAGTTTTTGCAATCATTTCCGCAGGAGTAACGGCTCGAGTGATGGAGCGAATGTGCCGGCGGAAAGCTGGTACACAATACGGAATCTCCGCGCATACAGCTCGTCCCCACATCTTGGTCGCCCAGGTACAGAAGACGTTCTGGAGGAGTTGCACGATTTGGAGCATCTGAGATTATCCAGCAGTCCTGAGCCGGTGGAAGACGTCGAGTTGTGAGCGTAGCCAACCTGGCCTTGACAGTCCCAGGATCAGCTGCACCACGCGCGTTATTGCCATGATATTTCGAGTGATTTCTATCACATCTGCCCCAAGATACTATGTCCTCACTACGCATGGGCTACATCCTCCGGAGCACTGGCTACTCGCGATATTGGCCAATGCTATCTGACACCAGTGCACCCTAACACTTCTTCAGGCGCAGTCTCCCCTTTATCATTTCTATTTTTGAGTGAAAATTTCGCAATGCCATACAGATCATTCCCAAAGTAAGAGCCTGCTTCCACCGGCGCGCGGAAGAATATGAGGCCGAGATACTAAGTGCTTGAATCTTCTTGTTAATTGGCTTTCCACCTCAGAGTCTTTCTTTTGACGCTTCGCCGTATCTTTATGGGCAGCGCATCTGTGGCGCCTGGCAGCGAGTCCGCTGTACTCCGTACCGTCGATGATACTCGGCTGATACATCCTCCACCGGAATGGCCCCACGAGCCGTTCAAGTTTTCAGTCTCACCAGCTCATGTTCGATGGGCCAATGAATCTGTGTGGGATTCCATGCCTAACTCTCGCCATAATGTTCGGCTCTGCTCTCTGCGGTGGTGATTCCGCTCTCTGCACAAACACGGAATCTGGGTCAATCGTGGTTGGCTGTGGCCACGTCTCCTCCACATCCTCATCATGCTCCCCTCACATTGCAATTCCGGGGGGTGCGACGATACCGTCGCGCACTGATATAGTCCTCGAATACTGTTGAGCGAAGCAGATTCTTCCTCCCAAGATTTGTGTAAAAAGTGACTCTTTTTGATTGCCGTCCAGACGTCCGTCCGCGCTTCCTCCACGATGATTGACAAGACCGTCGATTTTGTACTGGGGCATGCCCATGAGTCGCCAGTAACATTCCTGGCATACGTCGCGGCAGCATCGGCCCTACTCTACCTCCTGATCGGCGAAGTCCAAAGGCACCAAGTACGCATTCCGGGCTTCGATGGACCCTCGGGCCTCCCCATGATTGGGAACATCCACCAAATCAGAGTCAACGCGGCCGAGCAGTACCGTCTATGGGCCCAGAAATATGGCTCCGTCTACCAGATCATGCTGGGCAATGTGCCCGTCATCGTGGTGAATTCGTCGAAAGCGGCGCGAGAGATCTTCGGCGCAAATTCACAGGCCCTCTCGTCGAGACCGGAGTTTTACACGTTTCACAAAGTGGTCAGCTCGACCAGCGGGACGACGATCGGCACGTCGCCTTTCTCGGAGAGTCTGAAGCGGCGGAGAAAGGGCGCGGCGAGCGCACTGAACAAACCCAGCGTGGCGACCTACGTGCCGCACATCGACGTCGAGACACGGGACTTTCTGAATGAATTTCTCCTCTACGGCGACGGCGGCCGCAAACCCGTGGACCCGATGCCCATGATCCAGCGGCTCTCCCTGTCGCTGGCATTGACGTTGAACTGGGGAACCCGAATGGCGTCTCAAAACGACGAGTTGTTCGGCGAGATCACGCACGTCGAGGAGGAGGTATCCAAGTTCCGCTCCACGACCGGCAATCTGCAAGACTACATTCCGCTTCTGCGCCTGAATCCCTTCAATTTCGGAAAAGCGCGGGCGCGAGAAATGCGGCAGCGCCGCGACGTCTACCTGAAGAAACTGAACGACGACCTGGACGATCGGATGGCGAAAGGAACACACCAACCGTGCATCCAGGCCAACGTCATCCTGGACCGGGAAGCCAAACTCAACAAGGAGGAACTGATTTCCATCTCCCTCACCATGCTCTCGGGCGGTCTCGACACGCTGACGACCCTGGTCGCCTGGTCCATGGCTCTCCTGGCCCAGCGACCGGACATCCAGAAGAAAGCCCACGACGAGATCCGCAAGGTTTATCCGCCGGAGCAGGTCCTCTGCGATGCGAACGACGACCAATCCATCTCTTACATCGTGGCGCTCGTCAAAGAACTCCTCCGGTATTACACGGTGCTGCGCCTGTCCTTGCCTCGAGCCACGGTCAAGGACATCACATATAACGGCCGCGTCATCCCTGCGAAATCCGTCATTTTCCTCAACGCCTGGGCATGTAACATGGACCCGGAGGTGTGGACGGACCCATTCACCTTCCGCCCGGAGCGTTGGCTTGAACATCCCGATGCGCCGCTTTTCACATACGGTCTCGGCTACAGGATGTGCGCGGGCTCTCTGCTGGCCAACCGAGAGATGTACACCATCTACTGTCGATTGCTTAGCGCCTTTGAGCTGATGGATGTGCGAGCGGAAGGGGGCAAAGAGATGGAAACACATCCTGTAAAGGGTGTGGAGGATCAGACACAGCTGGTCAGTGTTCCGAGGCGGTACAGGCTTAGAGTCGTGCCCAGAGACGAGGCTGGCCTGAGAAAGGCACTGGCTGATTATGATGAGAAGCATTGATCCGCGGTCATTACTGGCATTCATCCTGGGAGCCGGCGTCAGGTGCATCATTACCCTCTATAGGTCCTGGTCGATATGCATAGTCAGTCTATTTGAGCTTCGTACTCCTTCCGCGTTTTGTATCCGATCTAGCCGTCCCACACTGCCTCTCAATATATGTCTCTTGACGTTCGCCGCCCCCGGTCTATCGTTCTGAGGTGAGCCAAGACCCTGCATTGCAAGATATTCCGCAAATAGGTAACCTCGACATGTCGGCCGGCTCATTTCATGGTCGGCTTCACGTGGCCGTTCGCCTCCATTGAATTCGTTCTATGCCTCTTCAGGCCTTCCTCTGCCAGCTTCCTCACCGTGTTTCTTCCCTCGTAGATGTCCTGTGTCTCTTCAAGGATATCATGCCAGCTGTTGAAAAGTGTAAAGGGAATGCCCTCTCTCTCGCAATAGACCACCAGATCCTTCCCTTCCCTCGCGAACAGCAGATCCGTCTCTCGAGCTGCACTCAAATCAGACACACCATCGCCGGCATACAACAACGTCGGTCTCTGGTCGTGCGGCATCTTCGCGATCGCCTCCGCATAGGGTCGAATCGTCAGGGACTTGTCGTGACCAAAGCCAGATTCGTCGTGGAACAAGATCGTCCACCCGTCAGGTTTGTCCAGCGAGTTGCCAGGCGGTCGGATCTGCGTCTCGTTGGCCACAATTTCGATGTCCTTCATCAGATCCTCGCCGAGCAAGTGGTTCAACAGGGTCTCCAACACGGGCACCATCCCACTGCTCAGCACAATGACAGGCACTTTCTTCTCCCTGGCCCAGACCATAAAATCCTTGAACCCCGGATCAAGGGTGATATTCTCCTTCAGAATCTCCAGGACTTCGGGGAAGGGCATGTTCCAGGAGTCGAGCATCTGTTGGAAGGTGTTGCGGAAGGTGTCTGTTTCATCGATCACGGCGTGGAAGAGCTTCCGCCGTTGTTCGAGGCCCATGCCATAGTTGTCGGTGATGAAGTCGTTGGTGTCCTGGAGGGTGATAGTGCCGTCGAAATCGGTGAAGAAGATCACCTTCGGATTTGCTTCGAGGGTCTGCGGGAACGGCATGTCGACGATGGTCCTGTGTTCTCCTTCGACAGCAAGTTTGAGATATGGGGAAGAGAATGACGAGCTGGTGAAGAAAAAGGGTCGAGCTTTCTCGGAGCAAGAATGATCAATCGCCGATATCAAATTTCGTTCACAATGAAATCAGCCAGCGCATACACGTGGGGAGAAATCCACCAGGGCCAACGGTTGCCCCCTCCTCGTCCTCGTCTCGAGGCCTTTCAACATTTTCCTGGGCCTGGCGGGAACATGCCCGATGCGGTATCCCGTGCGCGCCGTCGAGTCCGATTTCCGCCATCGCCAATGACGTCGACGGTTGAGCAGTTTTGAGTGGGTTTCTCGTTCGGCTTACCTTCCCCAAGCTGTTTGGAGGGAGCCGATCATTTGGAGCTCGCTTTGGAGCAGTTCAATGCCCAATGCGACGGTTGCTCTGCCGTCGTAGAAGCCGAGCTCTGACTGTCGCCAGTGAACTCGACGGCCAGTCGACATGCACCAAGCTCCTCTGCGACTGTCCCAGACGCTATGGTCGGCCTTCCGAGCAGCGAAACCCGTTCATAAGCCACTGCGACAACCTCGACAATATTCCCTGTTGGCACGGCCATCCCGGCAGGCATGGACCTGCCAAAGGCCGAGCATAGCTGTTCAAGCTCGGTTCTATAGCGACAAGAAGTCCAAAGTGGACCGCGACGTGGAGGATGCAAAGAACCGGATAGAGGACAGTCTCGACTCGAGGGCAGATGCCGCCGCCCGAACCGAGCAGACGCTGAAGAACCCCTCGGACGAGACGATCGTCCACACCATTCCCGAGGCGTCTTCAATAGTGCACACCTCGAGACATGAAGAGCCGAAACCACCAAAACCAGAGTCACATTCCCAGCGAGAAGCTCGGCCCGCGGATGAGCCTCTCCCCGACTCGATCGCAGCCCGGTATGCCAACCTCCAGAAACGGTTCGGGCACTTCATGGACAACTTCCAAACGCACATCTTCACCGCCTCGCGCCGGCTGAACGATCTGACTGGCTATTCCGGGATCGAGGCCCTCAAAAACGACATTGAACACCAAGAATCCGTCGTCCAGCAGTGCAGACAAGAGGTCAAGGCGTCGAGGGAGAAATACTCGGAAGCCATTGCTCAGCGGTCAAGCACACAAAGAGAAGTCAACGATCTGCTGCACAGGAAACATACCTGGACATCTGGCGATCTGGAGCGCTTCACCAGTCTATACAGGAGCGACCATGCAAACGAGCAGGCCGAGGCCGCGGCGCAGAAGAACGTGAGCGACGCGGAACAACGGTACGAGGAAGCCAGCACGAAGCTCGCGAAAGCGATATTGGCGCGGTACCACGAGGAGCAGATCTGGAGCGACAAGATAAGACAGATGTCCACGTGGGGAACGTGGGGACTGATGGGGATCAACGTGCTGTTGTTTGTGATTTTCCAGGTCGTGCTGGAACCGTGGCGCAGGAGACGCTTGGTCAAGGGCTTCGAGGAGAAGGTCGAGCTTGCAATCAAGGAGTCGGAGGAGGCAAGAGCGGCGACGGCCGTGCAGCCGATCCAAAGCGCCGCGCTGCCTCCCGACGACGACGACGACGTGCCCGTGCCAGTGGGGGCCAAAGTCGACGCCGTCGCGGATAACATCGCGGGACAGATCGTCGACGCCATCACCGGAACGGCGTCGGAAGACGCTCCCACTGCAGCCGCGATACCCACAGAGCCGGAGCCGACGCCCCTACCGTCCCAAACAAGCATCGAAGCCGCGGCCGAGTCTCTCACCGCAGAAGAACTCGCGGCAGAAGAGGACCTCCCCCCGGCTGCCCAACCTACCTTCCCTGCTTCCGGGCCGGACGAGAATGGTTCATCACTGCGCTGGACGTCCGCGAACTCCGCACTGGCCAAATACGAAGACTCCCTGAGATCACTGTTCAGCGAGGACCGCAAGATCCTGGTCTCCCAATGGGACCTGACCAAAGTGGCCATGGAGGGCGTGGCCGGCGGCGTGGCGGTCATGGGGTTGCTCTTCGTGCTGCTACGGCCACGGTAGACGTGGTCTTCCGAGCTTGTGTTCTTCGTGCTGCTATGGCCACGGTAGCCTAGCCGTGGTCTTTCCGACGGAAAGCTTTTGTGTGTTCTTCCGTCCTCAGTGTGGCAGTGGCAGTGGCAGTGGCACCGGACGAGGGGCTCAGCTGTTTGCTAACAAGCGAACCCCCTCCAGAGATGGACTCGAGTGCCGTCGCGGCGGCACCTTTGTGTATATACAGTAGCATGTCTGTCTGAGCCAATAGATAGCATAGCGCGCGTGGCACTGGGTATTAGTAGACATGACCGGAATGTACGATATGCGTCGCCCTGTAGCAGGGGCCAATGTGTCAGAATATCTAATCCGAGAACATCGACGCGAAACTGTGAAGCAAGTAGGAAAGCAAGGCAAGCGAGCAAGATGGCCATATAACTGCACGAGGCGATCTGCTGAGGTTTGTGGCTTTGGCTTTTGTTTATCGCAATGTCCTTCTTGCGCACCGCAACACGCGGCACCAATTGCTATCAATGGAATGTCGAACGGTCTTCGCCACCACACCATCACGTCCCCCCAGCATCATGCTGGCTAGTATATACAGTATCTTTCCGTTCTGTGCGTGGCACTGGAATGATCTCGCCCACGCGCCTCATCTATCCGATCACCAACTTGTCTTCCTCGGGGAAATCATACTCTGGGACCTCCAGGTTCAAGGGCGCGGGCCCCTTCCTCACCCGCCCGGAGATATCGTAATGCGAGCCATGGCAGGGGCAGAACCAGCCTCCAAAATCACCGGCCTCGCCGATGGGCACACACCCGAGATGCGTGCACACGCCCAGCATGACCAGCCATTCGGGTTTCTTGACGCGGTCCGAGTCCTTTTCTGGGTCGCGCAGGACGGATGAACTGCAGAGTAGATCACATAACATCAGTACTAGATTCGGTTGTCATATCATGTCATATCACGCCATGCTTCGATCTGAAATGAGGACGACAGGGATGCGATGGGGTGATTAAAGCAATGGGAAGGGGACAGGCGCATGGAGAGCGTACTCGATAGATTCAGCCTCCTTGATCTCGTCTTCGGTGCGGTGGCGGATGAAGACAGGTTTTCCACGCCACTTGATGATGACGTTCTTGCCCTCGGGGATGGCGGCGAGATCGATCTCGACTTTAGCCTGGGCGAGGACATCGGCCGAAGCGGACATGTTTTCTAGGAAGTCTGCGTTGTGTGGAGATAGAAGTTAGCTTTAAAATTGTGCTTCTACTCTCTGTCTCTTTGAGTCGGACTGATGCTCAAGGATTTGGCCGAGCCGGGCTGGGCTGGGCTGGGCTTGAGATGTGTTTCTTCCTTCGTACCTTGTACCGTGTTCTTTGCGCCCGCGGCGGCCAACAGTCCCATACTCCCGGCCATGAAGTACTGGAACACGCGGTTCGAGATCTCAGGGCTGTTGGACGCATAGCCCTTGAAGCTGGGGATCTTGCGTGTGTCGTAGTGCTGGCCCTTCGACCTGCCGAAGGGGCTGTCGAAGCTGCTTGCCCCCGGCGCCTCGGCGCCTGAGGCTGCTGATCTTCTCTGGGGGGCGTTGGAAGCTGTGATGCTGGCGACACGGGTCGATTGAGAGGCGGGTGAGCTGCTGCTGGGAAGCGTGTGTCGGGTCCAGTTACGTAGGGCTGAGCCTGCGCAGGCTGGCACGGGACGCATCTTGACGGGATTTGGGAGAGGAGAGAGGTGGTGGTGGTCGTGGGAGGAGCTTGAGAAGACGTTGAAAGCTGGTCGGGTGGAAAGATGCGCAATGGGAGAAAAGTCGCCGACCTTGTTCGGTGGAGCTGCTGCCGCTGATTGTCTGGGACGTGATTGGCTGGATGGCGTCCGGGGAATGCGTCACAATCACTAATACTCGACAGTACCTGACCATGCCGTGATGGTTCCTTTCGAGCGACGCTTCTCACACCAAGCATCGCGATGCGAATCATTTCACAGCCGATCGAGATGACAAGACGGAACAGTTCTACAGTCCTCTGCATGTAGCTCGCGGTGAAGCTTTTGTGCTGCAATCAGCTCTATTGAACGCCTGCAGTGCTATCATGTCATGATCTCCGTATTCTCCGTTCGGACGCACCGTGCCTCCGTGCTCTACGTGCCGGAACTCTCATCAAGTGTTGGCGAAGACTGGTTCATCAATTGTCGCCGCGACTCGTCGCCTCTAGCCACTCATCTCGATGTCTCTAATCGGATCTGGATGGCTGTGCGTTCGAGAGTGCGAGGACTGAGGTCTTTTCGGGCCATCAGCTCCTGAGCCATTTACTCCGTTGACGCCATTCTGATAACCGTTCTTCATCATGGTGAGGATCGAGGCTCCATTTTCGCCACTGACACCATTAACAGGTCCTGCGGGAGCCGCTTTTTCTTCTGCTTCTCGGGCCTTCTCCTCTCTGTATTGGCGATACGTCTTGGTTTTTGGTACTGTGTCCGACAGAAACTCAAGGTTGTCGATTCTCGATACAGCGGTGGCTTGATACCTGTCAGCTGGAGACCACTTACGCGTCGACGTCGTAGCTACCTATGTCTTTGTAGGCTATATTCCTCCGGGGCTTCCGTTCTGACTTGACCACCGTGTGTGCTTGTTCGGTCAGGTAGCGGACGAAGATCTCCTGGCAAGAAGTGAGCAGCTATGCTTACACATATAGCGTGAGGCCTACTGTGGCAACGGCTACGGCAAAGGATGCCGAATTAGAGCACTGAGCAATATCTTCATCCTGTGCAATAATCTTCTTGACTCGGGCAACTGGACAATGTCAATATTTGAACTCGTGAACACAGAGTAGACGTGTGACAACTGACGGGGCAAAGCTGTCGAGCCAGTTATTTCCTGCGGTGGCTCAATAGGGGCATTGTTGTAGGGCATGGCTGGTGTATCAGATCCAAGTCTCTGTAACGGCTGGCGAGCACTTGCGGCTGATGTTCAGGACACACAGCCGGTGTGAAGCAAGCAATCGAGCGGCTCGCCTTCCGGTCAGCGCTGAACCTATGTCCTTGTCGTAGAAGTCGCGTGAGAGGGAGTCGCTGGCGAAGGATGTCGCGTTCGTCGTGTCTGTGGCGTAGAAGAACCCTTATGTATTGCAACCTTGAGCCGTGTATATAACAACGCGTGCTCGCAAGATTCAAGTAACGCGCAAACTTCATATGCGCCGTCGTGAGCGCGTCCCAAAATGGCAAGGCGAACGAGTTGCGGATTTGGAGGAACGTCGGTTTGTTGAGACTCGCTGGGGATCACTTCTCAACGTCCACAGCCCGTGACAGGAATGTGACGCTCGTTATCTGCTACCTCGACCATGACAACTGGTCTGATGTTATGACCTCGCGCGTTTCAACCTCCTCCGCCACCCCCTCTTCGCGCCGACCGTCGGCCTCAGCTAGGCGATTCTCAAGGCGCCTCTCCTCGATCTCCGGTCTTGAGGATGGCGCCAGCTCTCCCCCCGTCCCTCCCGCGGCGCAGGCCATTACAGAAGAGATTGCGGAGATAAAGCGCTATGAGGACTTTACGACGATTGACTGGGTTCAGGATGCCGCCCAGGAACATCTCAGGAGACGGGCCAGGCGGAAAGAATCAAAGTTCTTCGAAAGAGACGGAGTGTTGGGATGGCGCAGGAAGGTCTGGGAGGCCTATGATGCTGCGCAGGCCTGGATAGTCATCACTCTTGTGGGAATTGTCATCGGGCTCATTGCTGCTGCCCTCAACATCATCACTGAGTGGCTGTCTGATATCAAAGTGGGATACTGCACAACGGCATGGTATCTGAACGAAGGCTTTTGCTGCTATGGCTCGGAGGAAGGGTGCGACGAATGGAAGAGGTGGACTTCCTTCACGTTCGCCAACTATCTCGTCTACACTGTCTTTGCCGTTCTTCTGGCCTTTGTATCCGCCTACTTGGTCAAATCTTACGCTCCGTACGCGGCGGGTTCTGGCATCTCCGAGATCAAGTGCATTATTGCCGGCTTCATCATGAAAGGCTTTCTCGGGTTCTGGACCCTGCTCATCAAAGCCATCTGCCTCCCTCTCGCCATCGCTTCTGGACTGTCCGTCGGCAAAGAGGGCCCGAGTGTGCACTACGCAACCTGCGTCGGGAACGTCATCTCGCGCTTCTTTGACAAGTACAAAAAGAGCGCCTCGAAGACCAGGGAGATCCTGACGGCGAGCGCCGGAGCTGGGGTGGCTGTTGCATTTGGCAGCCCCATTGGAGGGGTTCTATTTTCTCTGGAAGAGATGTCTTCGCACTTCCCACTGAAGACACTATGGCGGAGCTACTTCTGTGCCCTTGTCGCCACTGCAGTTCTGAGTGCCATGAACCCTTTCCGGACAGGACAGCTCGTCATGTTCTCGGTCAAGTACGATAGAGATTGGCACTTTTTCGAGATTGTCTTCTACATCGTCCTCGGTATATTCGGCGGGCTATACGGTGCTTTTGTTATCAAAGGGCATCTGAAGGTTCAAGCATTCAGAAAGAAGTACCTGGGGAAATATGCAATCCCAGAGGCCGTCATACTGGCTGGCGCCACAGCTCTGCTTTGCTATCCGAACATGTTTCTACGACGAGACATGACAGAGATGATGGAAATGCTGTTTCGAGAATGTGAGGGCGACTATGATTTTGACGGACTGTGCGAAGCAAAGAACCGACTGTCTCTTATCGGATCCTTGTTTCTCGCAACATTTATGCGCATTGGCCTTGTCATACTTTCTTATGGTTGCAAAGTACCAGCAGGCATATTCGTCCCTTCCATGGCTGTCGGCGCCTCATTTGGACGGATGCTTGGGATCATTGTGCAATGGTTGCATGAATCCTTCCCTGACTCCCAATTCTTCTCAGCTTGTCAGCCTGATGTCCCGTGCATCACTCCTGGCACATACGCGTTTCTCGGCGCCGGTGCGGCGCTGAGCGGAATCATGCATCTCACCATCTCGGTCACGGTGATCATGTTCGAGCTCACCGGCGCATTGACGTTCATCCTTCCAACCATGATCGTGGTGGGCGTCACGAAGGCGGTTGGCGATCGATTCAGCAAAGCCGGCATCGCAGATCAGATGATCTGGTTCAATGGCTTTCCATTCCTCGACAATAAGGAAGAACATATCTTCGGTGTTCCTGTTTCGCAAGTTATGACCAGCAGCATGAGCATGCTCTTCGCCACCGGGATGGAAGTTAAAGCTGCACAGAAATTGCTCGATGACACGTCATATTCTGGCTTCCCCATCGTTGAAGATAAAGACTCGAAAATCCTTGTCGGCTACATTGGCAGGACTGAACTGCAATTTGCGATCGGTCGCGCTAAGAAGCAAGGCTCTCTCTCCGCAGACGCGAAGTGCATATTTGCAGCCGATCGTGATGATGGTAGCGAGACGCCAGCGCCTCTCAGTCCAGCCGTGACCTTTGACGCCATGGCAGTGCAAAGCGTGGACTTCACTGCATTTGTTGACGCGACTCCGATCACGGTCCATCCCCGCTTGCCTCTGGAGACAGTGATGGAACTATTCAAGAAGATGGGACCCCGGGTTATCCTGGTAGACCATCACGGTCGACTCGAAGGTCTCGTCACTGTCAAGGATTGTCTCAAATATCAGTTCAAGGTCGAGGCGCAGGAGCACGCTGCCTCAATCAGCCATGACAGCGCGCCACAGCAAGATCGGTTTGTCGACGTACTCGGCAGGATCGGTGATGTGCTTTCAGACATGATCAACAACTTGTCCCGTGGCAAGCTCAAGCTTAGCCCTCGGACTGGCAATGGATGGGCGAGAGTCGTGGGAAATGACAGAAGCCAGAATTTTGCAGACGACTATAACAATGAGCGTGAGATACTTGATGGGACTGAAGATGGGCATGAGCCAGACGGCGTCGAGCTTCGCTCACGATGAAATAGATAACGCAAACTATACCATGATCCCTCTGCAATAATGCCGCACCCGGTCTTCACTTTTTGTAAGGCTTCTTCACTTCACTTCTTCCTCCGCTTGGCGTTAACAATTTCGATTATAAAATGCGAACGAGCAATAATTTCTGCCAAATCATGTTCGTCTCCTGTCCTGTTGTCCGTCAATTTCATACAGTGAGCCTTCCTAAATCACAATGGACTCCTTCTCCGGCATACCGACTCGGAACAAAAACACTGCTCCTCAATCAGATCCCACAGAGCCGAGCACGAGTTTCACTCTTCCAATCATCGGTGTCACCAGCAATGAGCGCGTGCCAGATGTCAGCATCCAAGAAACAGCGACGGCGACAGCAAGCGCAATGGAAGTAGAAGCCGAAACACCACCAACAAACGCAGCACCTGCTGCTAGCACATCAGCGACAGCGACTACACCAGGAACCTCGCAGTTGATCATGACACGTATAGTACAGGGCCAGTCCGTGACAGACGAGTACTTCTTTCTGGCAGCCGAGTGCAGATCGATGAAAATCCTCTTCAACCTGTTGCAGAAACACCTAAAGTCCACGCACCCAAAGACCTGGGGTGCTCTCAAAGGAAAATTACCTCCGGATGGGCGGCCCAGCAAGTTCCTCCTCCAGAAGACCCGCGGAAAGGGCAACCAGAAATTCATCCAGTCAGATTGGATCAGACCAGGCACCTACTCGAACTGGTACAACAATGAAATCAACCATGGCGACCGAAAGATTCCCTACCGCAAGGTGGAAATCCACTTCTCCGAGTCCCATCTTGAAGAATACATCGGCCCAATTTCCGGCCTTACCGAGGAGGACTTGGAGGAAGCACGCGAGCGAAAGGCCGTCCCGCTGGTCAAGCGACCTTACAAGCGCATCGCCTACGTCATAGAGCAGAAGCGCCTGGATGGCATTCGTGACCAGGAGATCGCCGACAGCATGGCCATGGGCGCGGCGGCCACTCCAGAGCCAAGACGCTACTTGCCAACGACGGCGAAGTGGGCTTGCAGCTCGTTGGCGTGGTTTTCGACCTTGAAATCCGCCGACTACATCGCCGTGGATTGGGAGGATGGAGACGAGGAGGACGAGGAGGACGAGGAGAGTAAGGAGGAGGAGGATGATGAGCCCGAGGTCGACACCAGGGAGTATTGGGACGGGGATGCGTGGGACGATAAGATGGAGGTCGACGAGGACAAGGGCAAGGGCAAGGCCCAGAGATACGACAATGAGTACGACGACGACGACGCCATGGAATTCTAGGCGGTCGTCAGATTAAGTCGGCGGAGACCGAGCCAAACGAGCCGTCGATAGAGGCGGGGATGACGCGCCGCGTTGTCGACGGCGCGTATCAGGCGCAGCGGGTGGAGTTCTCCCCCACTTAAGCCAACCGTGGCTTGATAATAAATTCTTTTATACACCTTGTTTCTGAACTAGTACTCGTACCCAGCGCCCGGTATGCCAGACTCGGGCACTGAAGATGAAGACTACTTCCTCCCGCTACAAGACCAGCGCGTCTTCGGCGCCGGCATCAAGCGCAAGAGAATCAACTTTGTGCGGGCGTCGACTGTGGACCCAACCACTACCCTGCCACCGTCCACTGCGAGTCCATCGGCAAGCGATGTCTCCTCGCGCTATCTCTCCATCGTGCTGCCTGGATCACGCACAGAGCAGGGCTCTCAGCCAAAGAAATCCACGACGGCGCGGGCGAACGAGTCTTCTCCCGAACGCTGCCCCGTGTGCGCCGAACCCCTCACATCGACGTCCTCGTCTCCGTCAACCCACGAATCCTCACTAGCCCACCAAGTCTGCCTCCAACACGTACATCCCCCGTCTCACCTCCCGCGGTCCCACGTCGGTGTCCGCTACCTGTCGTCCTACGGCTGGGACCCCGACGCACGAAGGGGACTCGGCGCCCGCGAAGAAGGCATCACCGCGCCCATCAAGGCCACGAGGAAGAACGATACGGCCGGGTTGAGGGAGAGGATTGATCGCGATGATGACGAACATGACCACGCTGTACGTACGAGGACGACCACGAATGCGAAGAAGAAACGCCTGAAAGGGCACGAGACGCAAGAGACCGTGGCGCCGGCATCGGCCAAGTCGGATGCGAAGCAGGTCCGCATCAGGGATGCGGAGGCGAGGAAGCGGGCTGAGAGGTTGAGGGCGAACTTCTACGGTCCTGACCTCGAGAGATATCTTGGGCCGGAGCCGTCGACGGCCTAGACTGCATATCCTCCTAGGGCGGCGTTGCTTAATTCGTGCAGAGACATGGATTGGGGACAAATGCAAGCAAAAGAGAAAGTTGAATGACCACCGTCCAGTGGCAATCCTCAACCTTGACCGTGTCCCAGACTTCGAGATTAGTCTGGTGGCAAGTTGATCTCTTTCCAATGCTGCATTGCCGGATCTGTGGTGTAGAGTTACGTCACGTTCGGATCCAGGATTGCCGCACGACCACGGCTGTCCATGCAGTGTCGGTGGACCGTAAGACTGGCGAACGTCTGCGGTGCCGAGCGTGCTAGGAGCGTGGCAAGTGTGGCAACGTGGCAAGTGTGTCTGATTGTCTGAACATCATGCTTCCAGGATACGGACTATGCATTCGGATTTCTCCCGGCTATACAACGGCAACGAACCACCCTCTCCAATTCCAGTCCCAGGTCGACTGTGAGACACACACACACATACACCGACGCCACGCTCCGCTAAAAGGTCATGCTCTTCCTCACGAGGCTGCCAGTGCGCTTCTAATGCTTCTTGAACAGCCCCAGATGGTGCTTCTTCTCCTTATCCTTCTTCAATTTAGCGGGAAACCCTTCGTCGGGCGAAGCGTACGGTTTCGGCATTGGCGCCGGTTGGGCTGGTCGAGCGGGCCCAGGCGCTGTGCCGACGCCAGGGCGGACGCCGTTGTGTGGGGCACCGCCCCTGCCGCCTCCTAGATTCATATTTGCCATTGCTGAAGTGGGCGGAGCAGGGGCACGGCCATTAGGCCCGGGTTGAGGAGGTTTCGGCTGCTGAGCCTGCGGAGGAGGTTCACTCATCCAAGCAGGCAACCTCGGTGGCGCGCGGTCCATGGGCAGGTCGAGCTGTTTCCTTCCTGCACTTAGCAGACTTACTTGGCGGAGGAAAGATTTGGGTGTGAGCATATGGGTCGTTGCCAGGAAGATTTCTTTCCCGGCCATGCGGGAGACTTCGTAGCAAGCTCTCGCCTCGGCATAGGTTGCGCCGCCACCCATGAAGACAATAATACGTTGACGCGGCTTGTTTGTCTGCGATCGCGCTTGTGCCCAGGTTGGTTTCCCTGCGTTGCGCAACGAACTCTGCGAAAGATTCATTTGGCTGTTAGGGTCGTTGAGGTGAGGTTTTATGGGCGGGAAGACGTTTGCGTCTAACGTGCCTTGACATTGTTCCTCGAGCATGTATCGAAGGGCGGGTTCGAAGCGGGAGAGGCTCACTTCTTCCATATTGCTAGTACTGTCTCGAAGCTTAGGAGGGAACAAGGGTGGTGGAGGCGGCGTCGTGTCCTTGAGCTGCTTTTCGACCCGGGCACCCAATGTTATTAGGTTGTAGATGATCTCGCCATCCATGGGGGAGAGTTCGCCGTGGCAACGCAGCTTCTCGATGTCGCCTCGCAGAATGCCGTGCTTGTACAGAACGTACAATATCAGTAACCGGACTCGATCTTCGTGCACAACACTGTCGTCATCCAGCAGCCTGACAACTTGATCTGCCAAATTTTTGGGCTTCTTGTTGTCCTCGTCCACGCCGGTCGCCAACGATTGCTCGACTGAGACGACATCCAACAATTTGTGGTCTGCGAATATTTTGGCGCACTTCTCGGCCATGTCGATGTGTAGCGAGAAGGCTTCTTTGCCTTCTTGGAATTCCGGCAGTCCAGCCAACATGTCCTTGATGGTGTTGATACTCGCCGGCTGGCCGTCATTATCGGCAAATTGAGGATTCTTTGCCTGGAATTTCTTGAACTCCTCACTCAGCTGCACCAGCAGATCTTTCATGTGCATGTGCCGGTGAGCCACCCAAAGGTTGTCCTTTTCGGTGATTTCGACCTCCTTCTCTTCTTGGTCAGGTTGACCACGGCGGATGATGTTGCGGTATGTGATCTTGTCATCGTCGTCTCGGATGGGCAGAAGGTCCATGGCCATTGCTTGGTATGTCAGTTCATGGACAAATGGTGACATTAGATCCATCGAGCGGTCCGTGATCAATAGCACCGCCCGTGGCCTATTTCCTTGGTTCTGGGGAGGAAAGTCGTTTCGAGGATCCCGGGCGTAGTCGTCCAACGCGCTCTGGACAAAGCTGGCGAGATGATAGCATAGCACATCTGCCGCATGTCTCTCGTGCTCCCTGGGCTTGTAGAACCGTATCAAAGGGTATTCGCCCAGGGACACGCACATAGACACCAGTTTCTGCGTTATTGCGTCCAGGTGGTTCTTAACCAGCGAGTCGCAGGCTGAATGGAAGAGGAGATGAAAACTCCATGGCTCTCGAAATGTGACTAGATTTGCCTCTCTTGGGAAGTACTCGACATTGAGCGTTCGTGAGTCGGCGATTAACTGTGCTCTGGACTCGGAGCGAAAGAGTTCCTCTCCCAAACCCCTTGGTAACTGCGAGGTCCATATCAAGTACGCTCGGCGGTATCTCCTGCGACTCAAGTCGGCCTTAAGACACTCGACTATGTGCGGTAGAGGTGAGAGGAGGTAGATGGCGTCGGTGTCGGACGAGCCTTGCCTGCGGTCTTCGATGGACTCGATATTGATAATGTTGCAGTTGAGTATATCATCTTCCTTAGTGGCATTGTATATCAGCCGCTTACTCTGCTCGTCGAGGATCAGAATTTTCCAGTCGCGCCCGCTGGTCGCACGGATCGTGTCGAGTATGATATTCCGCTGGATGTCGAGGATTGAGGAAGTCATGGCGGGGGCGGAGAGCCGGCTGGCTGAGGCGTCTTCACATGCTCGAGCATACAGTCACACCAGATGGGCGGATGTCTTGATATAGGCCTGTTCAGAGCTCTGTTTTCCTGTCACCAGCGAGTGGTGGTGGGTGGTGTTGTCATAGAGAGACGGTGCGAGCCCGAGTCCGAGTTACAGTTGTGTTGGTCTACTCCGTGCGCAGTCTTGATGGAACTGCTTCAGCCTCGAGATGGTGGAGTGGAGACAAGGCTGCATCTGTCTATGACATTTACTCGTCGGCTGGCGAAAGATTTACGCCTGGTCCAACATCTGCTTCCTGCTGCCTGTCCTCTTTTAGCCCTTAGCGACCGCGCCCCTCGCGATCTCCCTGGCATGCTTGCTCTCTCCGTTCGGCGAGGGCAATGCCTGTTCTGTTCATTCCGGGCCGCCTTTACGGCAGTGCCCAAGCGACGACCTGAGTTCCAACGCGAATCCTTCTCCAGCACGCCCAGGCGCAGAGAGCGGACACAGCAGAGATCCTCGCCAGCTTTTCGCTCAGTAACGTCCGACAAGAAGCCTACCCGCCCAGGTCGACGTCCAGCAAGGCACCTAGCGATCTCACCAGAACAGGCGAGTGGCCGAGTGCACGCCAGCTTGAATACGTTAAAGAAGCAATTGGAAACCACAACCGTGAGCCCAGACTCCGACGTCACGCAACTAGCCGCACTCGACCCCTTAGGGACGTACTGGCCGGCGTTCAGAGGGCACGTCCTTGACAACATTGAGTCACCCGGGCAGGCTGGGCGGGCAGGATTCGATGGGTTAATGCATGACATCGGAGTTGCCCAGCAGGGGGATCACAAGACAGAACTACCGAGAGTCCTGCACTTCGGCTTCATTGATTATGTTTTGATGAGAAAGGCACAAGACGTTCCGGAGGAGGGTTCTGCACTGGCAGAGCTAAAATTTCCAACTGAGTGGTATACCAACGCCCGGCAGGTCCAGAGAGATGTTCATCTGCACATTGGTCCCACAAATTCAGGGAAAACATATACGGCCTTGAAAAGGCTGGAAGAGAGCGGTGATGGATTCTATGCAGGGCCTCTCCGCTTGCTGGCGCATGAGGTATACTCGAGGTTCAAAGCCAAGGGGGTATCATGCGATCTCGTAACTGGAGATGACGTGAGGCTGGAGGAAGATCCGGATACAAGGCTCAGCGCATCGACAGTCGAGATGGTCGACGTCGGTAAGCGCTGCGAGGTCGCCGTCATCGACGAGATCCAGATGATGGCCGACCAAGAGCGTGGGTGGGCCTGGACTCGAGCGTTTCTGGGTGCCAACGCGAAGGAAGTCCATATTTGCGGTGAATCTCGGGTCCTCCCACTCGTGAGGGAGCTCACGGCATCAACCGGGGATATTCTCCACGTGCACGAGTACAAGAGATTGAACCCTCTCAAAGTCATGACCAAGAGTCTGCGAGGGGACTTGAAGAACCTGCGAAAGGGCGACTGTATTGTGGCCTTTTCCGTCATGAACATCCACGCCTTGAAGAAGCAGATCGAGTTGGATACTGGTCGTCGGTGTGCTATCGTGTATGGTAGCCTCCCGCCTGAGACTCGCGCTCAACAAGCCGCGCTGTTCAATGATCCAACCAACGACTACGACTTCCTGGTTGCCAGCGACGCCATTGGGATGGGCTTGAACTTGTGAGTTGACTCCGGCTGCAAACTGGAAGAGTTTACTAACTGCGAGACAGGAGCGTGAAGCGCATCATCTTCCACAGCGTGACGAAGTGGAACGGCACGGCACTCGTCAACTTATCAACTCCTCAAATCAAGCAGATCGGCGGCCGAGCAGGTCGATTTCGAAACGCACATCAAGCCATGAACAACATGTCACCTGGCTCCGAAGCCAATGTTGGCCTCGTCACGACCCTGAACGATGAAGATTTGCCTTCGGTTAGGGCTGCTATGCAGACAGAAGCTGCGCCAATCAAAAGAGCCGGCATGCTCCCACCAGGCGAAGCCATGGAGGAGTTTGAGAGCCGTCTGCCGAAGGGCACCCCATTCGAATACATCCTTCGTCGTCTTTGCGGCAAGGCGGCAATGCATGACCGATTCCGCGTTTGCAGCATTCGTGATCAGAGTCTGATTTCTCGAACGATCGAATCTGTTCAGGGATTGAGTCTGAACCAGCGCATGATCCTGACCGCTGCACCGGCTACCACGACTTCAGCGGCAATGCACACGGTCATGAGAGCGTTTGCCCAATGCGTGGCAGATCGCAAGCAGGTAACGATTGTGGACGTCCCTGAGGTCAACTTGGAGGTGCTTGAAAAGCCAATTTCCGGTGATCGAGCATACCTCGAAAGCTTAGAGGATCTCCACAAGGCTCTGGTCCTGTACCTGTGGCTCAGCTACCGGTTCCTGGGCATCTTCAAGGGCCGAGAAATGGCAACGCACGCGAAGGAGATGGCCGAGGAGCGCATCAATACTTGCCTCTTGGAGTTCTCTGCGAATCCCGATCTGCGCAAGAGAGTACTGTCGTACAAGAAGCGGATGACACTCCCTCAAATACAGACCGAAGAAGACGCCACAACAGACGAGGAGTCGGAGCTAGACGTCCCAGGAGAGGATACAGTGCTCCCGGTTGACTGGACTCGTGGGTCGGAGAGTATCGAGTTTGATGATGAGACCCAGGCCTCTCAACCCATCGGTGCAGCTCAAGGGTGAGCGTCGGCCGATCTGAGGTACTCATTAGCTCCGCCTCTCCCCAGGTCATCAGCAAATCCGAGACAGGCAATGAAAGTCTAGAATCCAGGGAGTGTACGTTGGGAGAGGTCTCAAATAGGGATGACGATGTTCATTCTGCTTCTGCTACTGCGACCCTATCATGTACCAATACTTGTTTTGCAGCCATCAGATTTTGGATACCTCGCCAGGCTTTTTGCTGAAGGCCCCCATTTCTTGGTCCGGACGCGGGGAGCCGACTATTGCTGAGTCACCTGTCTATCAGTTGTCATCTGGCTCGAAGCAGCCGCCTCGCGGGCAAGCTGGTCTTCTGTCTTCTTGTTGCCGTGCAGCTAAGCGACCGGTTAGCTCTGTGTCAGGATCGACGGCACTTGGTGGAAAGGACTGCCACTGACAATCAATCGGTTCAGAAAGCTCCCTGGCTTTCCGTAATCCTGGTTCTCCCTCTCAGCATCCTCGGCTTCCTTGTTCACGTAGTCCACAGTCTCTTCATCAGCTGAGTCGTGTTCGTCAAAGTTGGCTGCTGAAGATGTCAGCTAGAGTGTGTCAAGTGGTCGTGGTAGACAGCGGTGTGATAGAATGAGGATTGAGAGACCACAGATGGGTTGGATGTGTCAGGAGGGGTCTTGTATGAATAACCATAGAAGCTCTCCAGATGGATGCAACTACTGAATGAGAGTACATACCTTCCTTGTCTTTGTGACTGAGACGACGCTTGATCTTCGCACGAATGCTGTCCATGATGAACAGAAGAAGAAATTGTTAGGAGAATGGTCTTGTAGAAAGATTGATTCGAGGGTTCTGGGAGGTGTCGTGTATTTGTAGAGAGTGAGAGAGATACTAGAGAGTGAAAGATCGATGAGGGCGGGGTGAAAATCGTACCATTTTTATGAGCTGCAATTCAGGGCAGCAAGAAGCAGGAGGGAGGAAAGAGGGGCATGACGCCGGGCACTGACCATGCATCCTCGCAGCCATGGGGCTGGACCCAGAGAGAACTTCCCCATTCACATTTGGCCATCTGCCAGAAGCACAATCGGATCTTCAAGCCAGTGTCACCTACGAGGTAGCCACCGAGTTTACGCCACCCTCGGTCAGCCGATCGGGCCAGTGCAAGCGAGGCGGCTGACACGCGAGGCGAGGCCTGTTCTTTTTTGGAGAGCCGCGTGGAGATCTCGACGTGCCGCCTGCTCGAGATTTCCACCACCTCGCCAACGGTCACCAGGCCTGGCTGGACCAAGTCATCGGACAATTCCTCGCGCACCAGCACCGGCTGACCGCCATGGACGACTTCACCTCCCTCGAGCTGCTCTCGCTTGTCTCCAAAGTCACCTCCGAGCTCCACAACCACTTAGGCATCAGCGACAAGACTCTCGCAGAGTTCGTCATTGACCAGCACGAGAAATGCGGCGGAGATCTTGGGAAGTTCAAGGAGGTCCTGGCGGCCATGGGCGCCGACTTTCCAAACAGCCTGGTGGAGAGCGTCGATCGATTGATCCTGACTATGCACCCCAAGCACAAGAAGAACCAGAAATCGGCCGCACAAGAGAATGGACAGTCAGATATGAACGAGCTGGATGCCATCGGGCGCAAGGCGAGGGTATTCAAGGGTCTCGCTGTGCCCGATCGTGAACAGGAATGGAGCGATTCCGAGGATGATGTGGCTGCCCAAAAGGCCGCAAGCAACGTCCGACCCGGCGCAGATGAGGATGACACCTTTGCGCTCCTGGAAGGTTTAGCAGCCAAACCGAAAAACTGCACAAATAGCACGGCCGAAAGAAACAGGAAAAGAAGTCACAGCCCCGACCGTGAGGAGTACTCCAGAGATAGGGAACACAGACGGAAATACTGGTCCCGGAGTCCTAGTCCTCGCGAAGACAAGCGCTCGCGCCGACATCGAGATGAGGACCATGCCGACAGAAGGAATGGGCACAGAGATCGGTACGACGAGAAACGGAATGGCCATCACAAAAGCAGGCGGCGCGAGTACGACGATGATTTCAGCATGCCACCTCCGCAAGAAGTCGACGAACAGCCCATACTATACAAGGTCTACGACGCTGTGGTTAACGGGATCAAAGACTTCGGAGCTTTTGCCAACTTGCAAGGGGTCAAAGGTAGTCCTAGCGGACTGATTCACGTCTCAGCCATCCAAGAGGGTGCACGGGTTAATCATCCCTCAGATCTCCTGTCACGCGGCCAGCCCGTCAAGGTCAAGGTGGTCAAGATGGAGAACAACAAAATCAGCCTGTCAATGAAAGAGGTTGATCAAGTCACCGGACAGGACATGGTACCGTCGCGGAGGATAGCCTCTGGCGCCAACATGGAACGCCTAAACGGTTTGCCCTCCGATGATCGTTACGGAAACCTGGGCAGCAGTGTGCCTGTACTTGAGGACGGATACAACTCGAGGCCTGGCAAGAACAAAAAGAGAATGACGTCTCCGGAGCGCTGGGAAATCAAGCAACTCATCGCGTCAGGCGCAATCTCAGCAGCAGACTATCCTGACATCGATGAGGAGTACAATGCGACACTGAATGGTGAAGGTCAGTTTGAAGAGGAGGAAGAAATTGACATCGAGGTCAGGGAGGAAGAACCACCATTCCTGGCTGGGCAGACAAAGCAATCTCTTGAACTATCCCCCATCCGCGTTGTGAAAGCTCCTGAAGGGTCACTGAACAGAGCGGCCCAAGCGGGCACGAATCTAGCCAAGGAAAGAAGAGAGCTCAAACAACAGGAAGCTGCCGATAAAGCCGCAGAAGAGGCTTCCAAGGTCGATCTCAACGCTCAGTGGCAGGACCCCATGATTGCCCCTGAACAGCGCAAGTTTGCTTCAGATCTTCGACAAGCACAGCAGCAATCATCAAAAGCAATCGAAGCCGTGCCAGAGTGGAAGCGGGTAATGCAGGGCAAGAATCAGTCCTTTGGCAAAAGGACAGACATGACGATTAAGCAGCAAAGAGAGTCCCTTCCAGTCTTCAAATTCCGCAAGCAACTGCTCGAAGCCGTCGCCGCAAACCAGTTGCTGATCGTAGTTGGTGATACTGGTTCTGGCAAAACGACTCAGGTGACGCAGTATCTGGCTGAAGCTGGCTATGCGAATAATGGCATGATTGGCTGTACACAGCCTCGTCGGGTTGCTGCCATGTCGGTCGCCAAACGTGTCTCCGAGGAAGTTGGGTGTGAGCTAGGCAAGGAGGTCGGCTATACCATTCGTTTTGAAGACCGGACTTCGCCTGATACCAAGATCAAATACATGACGGATGGTATGCTTCAGCGAGAGATCTTGCTAGACCCAGACCTCAAGCGGTATACCGTCATCATGCTGGATGAGGCACACGAAAGGACGATCGCTACCGACGTTCTATTTGGCCTGCTCAAGAAGACGCTCAAACGACGGCCAGACCTCAAGCTAATTGTCACATCCGCCACCCTCGATGCCGACAAGTTCTCCGAATATTTCAACCAATGCCCGATCTTCTCCATCCCTGGTCGCACATTTCCTGTGGAGATTATGTATTCGAGAGAGCCAGAGGAAGATTACCTGGACGCAGCATTGACTACCGTCATGCAAATCCACCTGACGGAACCGCCCGGTGATATCCTACTGTTCTTGACTGGCCAGGAGGAAATCGACACGAGCTGTGAGGTCTTGTACGAACGGATGAAGGCCCTGGGACCTAGTGTTCCGGAGCTAGTCATCTTGCCTGTATACTCAGCCCTGCCCAGCGAGATGCAAACGAGAATCTTCGATCCCGCGCCACCTGGAGGCCGGAAGGTCGTCATCGCGACCAATATTGCCGAGACCTCAATCACCATCGACGGCATCTATTATGTCATCGACCCTGGCTTCGTCAAGCAAAACGCTTATGACCCAAAGCTAGGAATGGACTCGTTGGTCGTCACGCCTATCTCTCAAGCACAAGCCAAACAGAGAGCAGGTCGGGCCGGGAGAACAGGTCCAGGCAAATGCTTCCGGTTATACACTGAGGCAGCTTACCAGTCTGAAATGCTTCCTACCAGCATACCCGAGATCCAGCGCCAGAATCTTTCCAATACCATCCTCATGCTCAAAGCAATGGGTATCAACGATCTCTTACACTTCGACTTCATGGATCCGCCACCCACCAACACTATGTTAACCGCACTAGAAGAGCTTTACGCGCTCTCTGCTCTCGACGACGAAGGCTTACTCACCCGCCTAGGTCGCAAAATGGCCGACTTCCCCATGGAACCCTCGCTCTCAAAAGCCCTCATCGCCTCCGAAGACATGGGTTGTTCTGAAGAAATGCTAACCATCGTGGCCATGCTGTCGGTTCAAACGGTCTTCTACCGCCCGAAGGAGAAACAGCAACAAGCCGACCAGAAGAAGGCCAAATTCAACGACCCACATGGTGATCATCTTACCTTACTGAACGTCTACAACGCATGGAAGACATCCCGCTACTCTGATCCATGGTGCTTCGAGAATTTCATCCAGAAACGGCAGATTGGGCGCGCAAGAGACGTGCGACAACAGCTCGTCACTATAATGCAAAGGTACAAGCATCAGATCGTCTCTTGCGGCCGTAACACCATCAAAGTCCGACAAGCGCTGTGCTCCGGCTTCTTCAGGAACTCGGCAAGAAAAGATCCTCAAGAAGGGTACAAGACACTTATTGAGGGCACGCCAGTGTACATGCACCCAAGTTCTGCCTTGTTTGGAAAGCCCGCGGAGCATGTCATCTTCCATACGCTTGTGTTAACCACTAAGGAGTATATGCATTGTGCGACCGTGATTGAACCCAAGGTATGTTTCGACAATCCCGATCCTTTGCCCTACCTCTACTTACTGACATGTTTGCTAGTGGCTTGTCGAAGCAGCACCCACATTCTTCAAAGTCGCACCCACGGACCGGCTGAGTAAACGCAAGAAGGCAGAGAGGATCCAGCCATTGCATAACAAGTTTGCTAATGGGGATGACGATTGGCGGTTGAGTGCACAGAAGAGGCAGGGTAGAGGGGGTGGAGGTGGGACCTGGGGATAGTCATCGGTTCCAGGGTGCGACGTTTGGCTTGGAAGCCAATGTGCAATGGGATTTGAGATATTGTCATAAGAGACGTGAGATACCCAGTAGAACAATCAGCAAAGATCTTCCCGGTGCTGTAAGTCAATCCAGCCTGCGCAGTAGATACAAACATGGACATAAATCAACGGTGCCTCGTGCTCGAGAGCATAGCCGGACCGGAAGCATTCGCTCGTAACCCAGGTGGGTAGGTACTTGTGGGAAATCACATTCAGAATGACAATGGGGTCGCCTCGTCAAGCACTCTGCGTAGGGATCCCCGGTGTACCCGTCATTCCCACGCGGAGCGACTTGTCCTTGAATATATTCTTCAGCGGCTTCAACACTGGCGGTGCGGTGACCACGTCCTGCAAACTGCGTTGCCTCAGCTCGCCTTCTTCGCGCCTCTTCTTTTCCAGGATCTTCCACGGATCCGCGTCATCGACGTCCTTTCCCGTTCCTTTCTTCCGCCTCTTCTTGCCCAACGGGTTCGAAAGGTCGACCCCGGCGCCCAACCACACCAGGTGATCTTCCTCCCTCTTGTCCGCGAGTTCGTCGGCGAGTTCTTCCTCCTTGGCTTTCAACTTCTGCTCCGTGTTCCGCCATTCCTTCTGCATGCGAGCGAGGCGTTTGTTGTGCTTGCTCAGCGGCGTTTTGATCTTCTCGAGGCCCGCGATTTGCGCGAGCTTGGTCTTATGCTTCGGCACCGAGGTGAGTGGTAAGGACTGGTCGACTCGGGCGCTGAACGAGGAGAGCGACTCATTGGGTTTGATTTTCAGACTCGGCGCTCTATCTGCGGCTAGAGCGGCGCCATCGTTTAACTTGGGACCGGAATGCTCTCCCGCTGAAGATTGAGGCGGTGCAATTGAAGTCGGCTTCGACGTCGAAGTCGAGTTCAACTTTGCATCTCCTTTACGTCGCTTCTTCGAGGGAGCTATCCCGTCGTCGAGGCCCGAACGTATTCTCTTGCCGTCCTGGAAGGCGAGGAGTCGTTTGAACGCCTTGGGCGTGTCGTCTTCTCGATATTGGTTCTTCTGATGCTCCTTTTTCTGCTTTCTTTCTTCTCGTTTGCGCTTCTTCTCTAGATCCGAGGTGAATATTGGGTCGGCCTTTTGGTGCACGGCGAGGGTCTTCGCACGGTGAGTGGGCGGCAGATCATAGTTCGAAGGGTCATCGTCGCGCTTGCGCTTGTGTTTGTGGGGCATTTGGAATTGGCTTCTAAGTTATCGCCGGTTTCTTGGGCAGGGTTACCGTGTTAGGCGGATGGTGGCTGGTCAAGCGGTTTTCAGAAGTCCTTGGATCTCGCGAGCACTGTCAAGAGCCGCAAGAAAAAATGTCGGCAAGGCTGAGCGTGGAGATTCACGAGAAGTTTTACCCCGCATTCAGCCTCGTACGAATACGAGATACGGCCACCAGCCTTGGCCTCTTGGCGTGCGTGTCTCTTTGACCACCTTTGACTAGTCACTCTTCATTCTTCCTCTTTCCTCCATTCAGGAGCATTTTACCTTTGGTCAGTAATATACGGCCCTTGAGGTCGAGCCTTGATTTTTGCAAGGCGCCAAACACCGTCTCCTAGAGAATGCGATGTCCGTAATTTGGATCAGGTTTCACTTGATGATGAACGGTTCGACAAATACTTTACTCGAGACATCGATTCCAACAATTCCTCGCAGATGGGCTCAGAAAACGCACATCTTGTAGGAAGTCGCGATCTACTCAAAATGCCGCTGATTAAAGTCCAAGTCTACTCTATCAACATGTTTGACATGATCCTCTAGTCACTGCTCAACCTCACAACATTCCCAGTGAGGTTCCCTGATTCAACCTTTTATCAAATTACCATCCCGCCTCGCCTCGTGTCTCAGCAGTCTTTTGCACTACCAACCGTCCACATCTGGTCGCTCCCAGATTTATCAATTTCTGCACCAAGCCAGCAAGTTTCGTCGATCTTGCTTCACTCCAGCTGAATGCGAAAGTATCCACGGAGCTTCCCAAACTCAGGATCTCTGCCATAACTCATGTTATCTTGGATGCTCACCATTGTTTGCCCACATTGAGCCTCCCATTGGTAGAACTGGCTCTTCGCATCGGGCGTCGAGAGGTCTAGCTTCGGAAAGCGTACTGTCAAATACACCGCTGCATATCAGAATGTCAGTCCTCAATCTCCATAAAGCTTGGAGCACTCCGAGGGAATCGCCCAATCTTACCACAGATGAACAGTGAGATCCCGTCAGCATGTCTATATCGGTTGTAGACGGAACTTGAATGCTGAGCCAGAGCAATGGAACGCACAACACCGTACACCCCTTGCTGCTGACCAAGCGATCCATCAAAATCATCGGCTACGTGGCACCTATGAGCAAACATTCACATCTCAGTAGGAGATGCCGTACCGTCTAGATGGTGATGAGCCATTTCGTGCAACACTGTGCCGGTGAGGTTAGGCGACAGCATCTTCCCTAAAGCCCCACGGCTATACAGGTCTGGTCGAAAGTCTCTGGTGCTGGGCTCAGCGATCTGCGCCTGACACATTGATTCCACCAACTCCTGCAAGGTTTGCGACCTCCCACTGTCAAGGTATCCGGTGTGAAACGTATAGCAACCGGTTAAGCGGCCGGCCCATGTCTTTTCTGGGGAAAACCATGCATACGCATCACGGTAAGCATTTGTGGAGAACTTGACTCCTGTATCTCGGAAATCCGTTGTCTTTCCATGACCATTTGCATAGGCTTGTGGTGTCGCTTGGATGTCCCAACAGAAGTTCTCACATATGCTAAGCTCTAATCAGAAGGTTAGTGCAGAAATCAAAGTCATTGCCACTGACCTACTCCATATCATCTCCAGCACAGTCTGCACATGGTATTCCGGCGAGAAATAGGCAGACAAAAGGTTTTGCATGGCCGGCGTATGAGAACGCTCTCGAAGTGCGCGCTCGACCACTCTCAGGACCCAGTATGCCTCGCGCCTGGCAAGAAGGATGCGATGAATGTACCGTGACGTGTCGTAGCTCACTTCGACTGGCGCAGTCATGAAATCCGGCAACCATCGCGGGTCCACCTGAGTGTTGAAGGTAGCCATTGTTGATCTGAGGTGGCTGAAAGCGAGAGGTTTGGTCAATGGGGGAGACAAGAAGCGATAAGGGTTCGCAAGGGCTTTTGTGAAATGTTCATATGGTCTTTCGAAGTTCAGATCGTGCAAGGCACTTGAGGAGATCTCTGTTTGCTTGCTTCAACTCATGATGCCGTGGGCACTGGGCGCTATTATAGCAGGTCTTCGCTGGACAGGTCCCAGGGAGGTGCGACATGTCGCTGCCGAGGGCTTTGAAGCTTGTGGCAGAGAAACAAAGGTGATGCTGGAATTGAGACGTGTCTTGATTCTTCAAGTCCGACTTCAATTGACTTACGACGGAGATTTGAGACTGACAAAGGCAGCATGGATCATCAAATCAGTGCTGTTCTGAGGTTGGAACTCGCAGAACCAGATTCCAAACAGTCAGCCCAAGATCGGAATAATCACAATTGCACCCAGCGCGAGCATGACAAAGGACACGAAAGACCCCCGAGCCGCGCAGACCATATTCGGTGGAACATATGTGCGAGACAGCGAATGCGAAGACAAAGCCATGGCCGGCAACAAGGCTGAAAATGAGACGGCCAAATATGAGGAAGTACCATCTATACTGGCAGCCCATAATGTCCGGACTCAAACAAGTTGAAGAAAGTCGTCGAGACAAGGTCACAACTGCCATATCGAGCTCGCATCATTGGCAGTGACTATCGAGAACCAGCCGTACAATCGTACTGCCCAGAGGTCATAGAGCCCATGGGAAACTCGCAGTCCAGACCGCCAATGCTGGATGGCATTCTTGTCTGCAGTGGTTGCTGATCGTCGAGGCTGAACGGTTGGGAAGGACGGGACTTTATAACATCTGGAATGGAGCAACGGGCGTGGGACGGTGTTTTTGATGAGTAGTGTCAGAGTTTGGCAAGAATATGTTTTCTAACTCCATCTCCGAACCCGCATCTAGTTGGTGTACAGATTCACGCCCCAGACGGCAGAATAATCATTCGTCCTTCCTTTCCCGTTCGGTACCTCGAGGCTGTCGAGCACCGCCATGACTTCAGGCGACAACCTCCGCACAGCGAGGTTGGACTTGATGCGAGCTGCGATGCCGTAGCGGTGTTTAGTACGACAATGCCAAGGTGCAACCAAGGGTCTTGCTACAATCGTACTGACCTTCTGTCTGACTCTTGCCCAATGGAACTGTACCTCGCTGTACCGCCCAGCTCTGCAACAGCTGGCCCACGTCCATCTCACACTGCTCCGCAAGCTTCTTGACGGTCGAATCTTTCAGCAGCGTCGCTCCATCAGCCTTTTGACCAGCAAACGGCGAGTAACACGTCGTGAGGATGCCGTGTCCTCTAGAGAAACCGATCAACTCGTTCTGCGGCAGCCACGGATGGACTTCAACCTGGTTGCACGATATAGGGATGTCTTCGGCGTGCGGTAGGATTTCCTTGAGCTCCGAGATTGAGAAGTTAGAGACCCCGACGGCGCGCGTCTTGCCGGACGACACAAGCCGCTGCATCGATTTCCACGTAGGAACGAAACTCCCCTTCTGACCTGACGACGACCAGTCAGTAATAGCCAGGACCAGCACCTATTCACGCTTGCACCTCACCTGCTTGGCTTGCAATATTGGCACACGTGTGTCCCCAATCGATGACTGGGCTGTCTGTCCCTGGCCGCAGCAATATTCCCTTCTCGGCCCAGGAAGCCATCTTGCCTGTGTCAGCATGCTCCAGCGCTTCTCGGGATATAGGCTTGAAAGCAACGGGCCAGTGAGCCAATAGTAAGTCGACGTATTCGAGGCCCATCAGCTTCAGCGACTGGTCGAGACAGAGCTCGACGTTCTCCGGGGCAGCGAAATGCGGCCAGAACTTGGTCGTCACGAAGATTTCGGATCTGGGGACGCCCGATTCGCGAATCGCAGCTCCCACTTCTTCATCAACCTGGACGAGAGGGGTGTTGAGTCAGTACTCATCCCACTCGAGACGGTTGTCAGCGTGTGTCATACCCCGTACTTCCAAGCACAGTCTAGATGTCGGTATCCCAGCTTGAGAGCCGTCAGAACGGCGGCCTTGCACCAACCAGAATCGCCTGCCGCCCAGGTTCCAAACCCGACGGACGGCATTCCGATGGTCTTCCCGCCCGCGACTTTGATGAGGAAATGTTTGGGGAGCGCCATCTTTGGCACCTGCACCGAGTAACTTTGCTTACTACAGAGCTCACTATAACGAAGATCTTTTTCTGCTCGCTTCACTTGCGGCTGAAATTTTGCACTTAAAAGGAACCATCCCCCCCGGCTGCTCGCAAAGATAAGTCGTGTGCAGCGCGTACTGTGTATGGTGATGACAAAGTACAGTTAACGGCCTTCGTACCGGGAAAGCTTAATATGTAGCAAAGTCGAAGATACCATCGTCGTAGCGGGTAAAAGCAAAAGATCCATGTTAAGACGGCGACACCGCCTGGCGGAAAAAGTGATTGGCGGACTCTACAAGCTGCATCTCGGCTGAAGCAGGATGTACGGAGTATATACTAATTAGAAGTCGTAACAACACCTCGAAATGGAACTAACTGGAGGTGTAGCTTGAAGTGCCCGCTCACTTTTCGCCGATGCCCCCATGTTTTTGAGGTTCATTCTGACTTACTCTGCACGTCGTTTTGTTCTTCTGACTACAGATAACCGGTTTTCTCATGGTCAACCGCTTCCCATATCATATATCATTCCCTCTTGCATTCTTTGTGGCCGCTTGCCCCAATACGATGCTCTGAAAAGAAGCAGCTCCTAGCCTCCCACATGCAGGCCTTTCAGTAGGGCGGCGAGCAGATGAAGCTCGGAACTCCGTGATCAGACCAACACTGCAAAGCGGGTTCCGCTGGTCCTGGGAATTCGATGACTTCGCAACAGGGCGCCAGTCGAGAGGATCTGGTGCTGTGAGAATGTTGAAGACCACTATCTCATGATTAAAAAAGCGGCATCCAGGCTACAAGAACTCGAGACCCGAAGGAGCGGCACGACCTATGGCGGGAATGTCGCAGCCGACGATATGAAACCGGCATTGGCTGTGAAAGCAAATTCTGGCTTCACTGAGCTATGATACCCGGTCCCTGTTCTAAGAACTCCGTAGGTGGACAGGGAGCTCGATGTTAGTAGCAATATGCTCACGAAGGATGTGATGGAACTCCACTTCACATGCTCTGAGTAGCTCGATCAAAGCAGGTCGGGCAAACGGATCCGACACAAAAAGGCATGTGTTATGTGAGGGCATTTCTGCACTCATTTAAGATGCGCAGTCAGGCGAACATGGGACAATCAAAGGGCTGTTATGTCAATGTCACGAGTTTCGTTGAAGGAGAAGCGGGATATGTAGTCAAGATCAATTAGCAAGCAAGCAAGCATCCTGTCTTGCAAACCTTTATAATCGTTCATTGAGCACGAACTACACGCTCTTCGCCAGATTCGGAGCAAACTCGAGACCAATCATGTTGGTAAGGAGTCTATCCAGAAATGGACAGTCACGACAGCTGACTTAACATTCAAGAGGCTTTCAGACACGTTGAGTCCGGTTCTTGACGCGTGGCTCGCAGACTCATGAGGAAATAATACCACCATTTATGACGTGTTTTCTAAAGCTGTCGGTAGCAGAGAGACTGGAATCAGCAAAAGTGACGCGCAGGTGAAACTTCGGTGAGGCCGGAGCAAGTTCGGCCAAAAGATCTGCCTCGCCGTGGTCGCGACCTGGCTGCTTCTCTTCCTCTTCTTCCTTCCACCGTCACCTGCTCTCGCAACGTCACAATACCACCAGTATAGGCAGGACGCGGCGACATGAGTCCTGTGTGGCATGTGCATGGCGAGCGAATGCGGCGACGCGGTAGATGACATCGACTTGCATTCCGTACATCCTGACCGGACCGGCACAGCACCTGCAAACAACCAGTCCACGAAGCGGATTAACGCGCAACGTTTTCCCTACACCTGGATAATCATTAATTCCCATTCCATTGGCTCGATCTTTGGCCAGAACCAGTAACGTGTCTTCGTGGACTTGGTCATCAAGCATTTGTCGGTACAATGGCGTGGAGCACGGGGTCCATCGCCGCTACAGCATCCTGGCGATGGGTTTCGCGCGAGATGTGACTTCTGCCTCGCATCCGAGATGCTGTTGTAAGGCATATCTCTCCAAGTATAAGAGGTGAGCTATGTCCCGATCTGATGTGGACAATTCCACGGCACATCCAGCCTTTATCAGCCAACTACACAGATCTTTGTCAACACAGTTCTACCTTGCGAAATGATTGTGGCAGGACCTCACAACTTCTACACCCTTGCAGAGGGCAAGCCCCTTCCCAGCAATGACACCAGTATCCAGGTTCGAAACAAGCAGGGTGGTGGCCTGGTCCTCCTTCAGGACACTCAACTGATCGAGACGCTGGCACATTTCTCCAGAGAGAGAATCCCAGAAAGAGTGGTCCATGCTAAGGCGATTGGTGCTCGAGGATATTTCCAGGTCACCCACGACATCTCCGACATCACCGATGCTGACTTCCTCAATGGCATCGGCAAGAAGACGGAGGTTCTGACTCGCATCTCGACTGTTGGCCCTGAGTCCGGGTCCGCCGACACGATTCGTGACTTCCACGGCTGGGCCATCAAATTCAAGACGGCCGAAGGCAACAATGACTGGGTCTTTAACAACCAGCCCGTCTTCTTTGTCCGCGACCCTATCAAGTTTCCGTCCCTGAACCGGTCACACAAGAGACATCCCGCCACACACTCTAACGATGCTGATATGTTTTGGGACTTCCATGTCGGGTCTCCCGAATCCGTCCATGCTCTGATGTTCCTGTTCAGCGACCGAGGGACTCCCGCATCTCTGCGAAATATCAATGGGTACAGTGGACATACCTACAAGTTCACCAAGAAGGACGGTTCGTTCCATTATGTGAGGATCCACATCCACGCCGATGAAGGAGTCAAGAACTTGACGAACGACGAAGCCGTCAGGCTCGCGGGCACAAGCCCAGATCATCTGACACTTGACATGTTCAACGCGATCGAGGAGGGCAACTACCCATCTTACACGGTGTCGATTCAGACAATCCACCCTGCCGACGTGGGGCTATCCCCAGTCAACATCTTCGATATGACAAAAGTCTTGCCTCACGCGCAATATCCCCTGCGCCCTGTCGGCAAGCTGGTCTTCGACAGAAATCCAATCAACTACTTCTCGGAGATCGAGCAAGCCGCCTTCTCGCCATCGACCATGGTTCCCGGCATCGAACCCAGTGCCGACCCTATGCTCCAAGCTCGGATGTTCGCATATCCCGATGCAGCCCGCTACCGACTCGGCGTCAACTACCAGATGCTGCCCACCAATGCTGCCAAAGTACCGGTTTACATCCCTACCGAGCGCGACGGCTTCATGAACTTCAGCGCCAACTATGGCGCGGAGCCGAACTATGTCAACAGTTCCATCCACCCTACAGGCTTCCACGACGCCGCCCGATCAGAGTACAAGCCGACAGAGGAGGTGCTGACTGGACCTGTCGTCTTCACTTCGGAAATCACAGACGAAGATTTCAAGCAACCTCGCGCGTTGTGGAATAATGTCTTTTCCGAGGAAGAGCAGGAGAGCTTTGTCAACAACATCTCAGGCAACATTGCGGCTGTCAAGAGGGATTGGCTGCGCGAGAAGGTCTTTGGTAAGTCGTTCTTCAGAGCCTCTGTCTCAAGTCCTGCCGCCGTGTGATGTACAGTGCTAACATTGTCTATGCAGATCTCTTCCGCCGTGTCGATCAATCATTGGGTGATCGGATCGAGGAGGCGGTCAACAAGATCGTCAAGATGTAGCTATATCGCTAGCCAGAATTTGCGGGAAGAATGGCTGGCCCACTGCACAGCACTACATCGGCGTTGATCGAGGGGAAATATGCGTAGGGGTGTAGGCGTAGGCGTACGTATAGGTTTGGCGATCCGTCATGACCGGGTGGCATTGTACGAGTACTGTATATAGTCTTGTTGTTAACGAGCAATTGCATTTGAAATACAGTACACTCTACGCCGAACTATTTAAGAATGTTCCACTTGGCTGCCTTGGTCGAACATGACGGACGAGACCTCGGACAGCACTGACCGAGGACAATCCTGGCCTCTATCCCTTGACGGGCAGCATCTCTGCCCATATATAGTCAAAGGGAGAGTCGACGCTGAGGCTGAACATTAATGGAAGATCGAGCTCGCACCTACGCGCGGTCCAGCAAAACCGTGATTGTCTGAAGCCACGAAATCGCTACCAGACTCACCACCGCATCCACGGCTATCTGCATAGCCTCTCTACTCGAAGTATGTCAAACATGAGCGACCGGTACTCAGAGGCACTATAGGTCGGTGAAACGACAATACGCTACTTGGCTCATACATGACCCATCACAGTACCAACATATGTACATTTGTGTACACCTACACGGCCTTCCTTCATCCTCGTTTTAGATGTCTCCTGGCGGACCTGTCTCGTCCTCTCGTCGCACGTACATATCTGTACTTCGACACGACCGTCCCTTCATCCTGGCTCTAGATCTCTTAGTGCATCTGCTCGTCGTTTGTCGTCTTCATTTGCCACCCTTACTTCTTTCCATACCTGCCGATCGAGCACTCAGGCCGTATCTCATACAGTGAGTGTACACTTGATCTTGACCTATTCTATTCTCGAGGTTCTCGCCTTCGACCATGATCCTGTACATTGGGGGCCAGAAGTCAACCAGCCAGTCAGCCAACTAGCCAGCTAATCATCCTGTAACCCGATGGAGAAAGAATCGCGTGAGCGGCCGGCGCCAACAGCTGGCTGGCTGCCAGATCCCGCAAAAGTGCGGCTGACACGACGACCCATCGACGAACCTGGCTCCAGCTGACCTGACCTGACCTGACCAGCTATGCCCTGACTGGACCTGATCTGAATATATTACCTCCAAGCGCCCCTTACAAGCTTAAGTTGACTTGGGTAAAACGGGGCACAACTAACTAGCCTGATCCGACGACATAAGCACGGTGATGTTCGGTGTTCGGACTCTTTCACTTTCTTGCCGAGATCCATAATAACAGATAATATATACTCTGTACAACCGTACATACATACAACCGTACATTGGTCTCGGAACGTCCGTGGAACGATCATAATCGCTGCCAGTCAGTGCGGTGCGGTCAGTCATTGCGGTGCGGTCAGTCTGTGCGGCGTAGTGGCGAGGCAGTTTGACATTGCGACTTTGGTGCGCTGTCGAAGATCACAATCACGAACCGGCCGAGTTGAGTTGGGTCAAGTCGAGTCGAGCCAAGTCAACCCGACTCAACTCACTTCGTCACTGCCAGTGTCACGACTGTTCGGTCGGCGCCCTTGAGGTTCCTTACGTGAAAGCTCACTTGGTGCTGAACCCATCATCGAGACCAGTCGGACTTGATCGAGACCTGGAACGAGAACCTGAACAACCACTGCACGAAGCAAGACAGCCAGCCAGCCAGCCAGCCAGCCCGCCAGCCCGCCCACAATCAAGCCACGGTTTTATCATCTGCTCGTCTACGTCCAGCCTCGTGTCCAGGCCTGGGAGCTCGGTCGCTTGAATTTCAGTCGAGAGGTCGACGCAAGACAAGTCAAGTCAACTCAGGGCTTCCATCGCCTCAGTGCTGCCTCCAGCCTGCCACTTGACATGCATACTCAGCTTCTCGGCTCTGATATCTTCTGCACGGGGTGATTCAGCCCCGCGACCACCGAGGAGAGCAGCCTTGCAACCCAACCCATCACTGCTAGGAAGAAAATCTCGATCCCGCGAGCCCCGAGCCGCGACCCGCGAGCTGACGAGACTGTACTCCGTATTGAACTCTGGAATCGAGCCCTAAACGTGGCACACCAACAAACACCCACTAAACCGCCAGTATCGACCATGTCGTTCCTCCAAACGACCGTCAAATCCGGCTGGATCACGGACCTGGTCCTCCCCGCCCCGGTCGGGATCCAATCGGCGCAAGACGTGATCCAAGCCGGCCACGCGACCGCCCTGGAAATGTGCACCGACCCCATCTTCATGGCGCACCTCAATCCGCTCGTGCAGAGCGTCGTCGAACTGCCGGCCTCGGACCCCAAAGCCGTGGATTACAAAGCCATGGCGCGGACGTTCAATGTCGACGTCGATGCCGGGTCGTTGTCCCCTGTGCCCGGCGCGGCAGGGAGGGATGACCATCACCAGTACCCCTGGAAACACTACGCCATCACGGACAAGTTGACCCCTTTGCCGGGATACACGACGGAGCTGACGTACTACGCGGCGATCCGACGGACCGCTGACGGCATGCAGGCGTTTACGAACGCCGGGTCCGGCGTGACCATCTACGGGTGCTTTAGCGTCAAGGTCGCGGAGCCGAGCGACGTGTTCGCGTTGGACGCGAGCGATGGGAAAGGCTGGGTTGTGAATTTCATCGAGACCAACGAGTTGAGGTGTAATCTGGTCTTGAGCTATTATATCAAGGCCACGACGGATAAGAGTCACCGCACGGCGCATGCGAGGTTCAAGGAGTTGTGGAGGGAGAGGATGAGGGAGAAGGGGTTTGATTGTGGGGGATAAACAGGGAGGGAGAGATCGAGCATACAGAAAGAGAGGGACGGAGGCATTGGCGTATTGGTCATGTAGTGAGTGAGTGAGTGAGTGAGCGAGTGAGGAGGTGGCTTCGGGGAGAGGATGAGTGACTGTATAAGGAGAGTGAGCGACTGGATGAGCCACTGAAAATGAATAGTCAAGTCCGACCGTGGTGATGAAATCTTTATGCTTACCACCAACCGGAATCGAGCCTCTGGCTCATACTTTGAGTTGGTGTTCACAGGGGTGATCACTGGCGTGGGACAAGGCATGGGAGTGTCGACTTGTCGACTATCACCTTGTCGCCGAGTACAATCGAGAGTGCGACTACGGAATATCTCCGATCGTTACCGGCGGATGGGAACGAACTCAATAGGACGATAACGCACGAGGTACAGTACCGTATCTCCTGTATGGCTCGCTATCTCGAGTGTGTGTGTTTGAGTTACAGTAGGCCACGCGATCAACGAACACACAGTAGTTATTGTGGTACAATAAATGTCTTCACTCCGACACGCAGGACGCTCTGGTCCATCATCTTCATTTACAGTATACAAAACAATTCCCTGTCCACGGTACTACAACGACCTTGATCTGTGCGGTTAGATCATATATATCGTACACGTTCATCCCTCTGGTTTGGGCATACACGTTCATCCCTCTGGTTTGAGCATATACATTTATCCCTCTGGTTCGCTTTGCTTGGCACCTATTGTCGCCTCATCCAGGTTCCGCATCCACACGAGTCCTGTCTTATCATGGCACATCTCATACCATCCAGACGCCGACGTAGGCTTCAACGAAGGGCGAGTGCCCTCGACGCACGGCTGCTGTCGTGAGAATGACAAGGCTGGTGATTCTGCAATCTCGACAATAGTAATCGTGGTGATCTGATGTATATTTGATCTTAATGGCATGATCTCTGAGACTTGGACTATCAACATTGGCGATCGTGGCAGTACACCGGCGATTTCTTCAAGTCATCCGACTAGAAGCCGCTTTCTATCCCATGCATCCTTTCGGGAGGGGGGATTTCGATGTGGTCCACTGGGTGCTGAGGCATCCGGAGCTGTCATTTCACTACAAGATCGATCCGGGGAGGAGCCAGATATCCTGAGGTGCTTTCAGTAGCCTTAGTGTCCTACTCACTTGGACCGTCTGTTCCGTAGCAGATACAAACGCACTGCCAGACATCGTCCATCTTCCTAGCAGCGCAACTTCTGGTAATTATAGCATTGACCCTCTGAGCTCGCTGGCCGAGGGTCGTCGAGTAGTGGGCACATGTCTCATGCGCTGCCCTTCGTTCGCTATGGACTTCACAAGTCCATTCTAGGTGTGTGGAAATATTCACTGACTCATTGCGCCTTGAGAATGGTTTCCTTGGTAGGGCGTGACCTGCTCCATTCGTTCACTCAGTGGCTGATGGCTTTTTCTGCCGTTTCGACGCTGACGTTGACCCGCTCGTAGTGACTTTCTTGACACCCGGGATAAGAGTGAACAAGATCCACGTGGGACAAGTTCCTCGACTCATATGGCCGAAGGTGTCGACGACGGCGTTTCATACAGGTTGTAAGGCAACTTAAGCCTCGTTGTCAATCTCTGAAAGCGAGACTCGCGCGATCATCAGGCATCCATAGTGTCCAGTATTTAAGAAGTCATCGTCATTGAGATGGGGTGAATAATGTATGAGGCTGACATTGAGGCCACTGACCTGCTTCACGACTGTTCGTTAGAGCCGTTCTTGAGGCCGTTGCCGCAAGGGCCTGGTTGACCGAGCTCAATCTCGGCCAACATCGGCTGCCTCAATGGGCTACAACTCCTTCGACGAAGTGATTCCCCAGTGTCTCTGGCCCACGGCCGCAGTGTAGTAACCGGGGCATCAACCGAGAGTCCAGAATGAGAAGAAAGGTGATCCCTATTGGAAAGGTCATTTGCAGATTCATCTGTGAATTGGCCGAAAGGGCTGGATGAGGGTCGACCGGGGGGAGGTGATTCAACAGGAGACAAGCTATTAGTAGAACGCGTGGAAGGCTCGTTTAGTTCCTGCCCTGAACTCTTCGGTAGAATCTCGACGCTCGTCTTGTAGGCTGCCTTGTCGGTCTGATGGGCTTGACAGTGGAAGAGCTGCGAGTAGTGGTGCATCATTGCTTGCTTGCAGCAATAGGTACGCCGACGATGCCGATCTTGCTCGTCGTAGTGCGGGAGCGAGGCTTACTCATTGGCCGATATCTTTATGTTGCATGTTCTCTGCTTTTCGTCGGGTCAATACCTGCATCTGGGGCATGGAGGGGCAGGAAGACATCAATAAAAGATATTCCATAGCCGAAGAAGAACTGCTTAGCATGCTTGGCAGATAGGCCCTTTCTCACGTAGAATACCAAGCATACCTAAAACCAGACGGGGGATAGAGATGACTACGGTCTCGAAGGAAAGCGGCGTTGGTACCATGCAATGGTGCTGAATGACAAAACTCGAAAGTCAAGGTCTTGTGCTTAATACCTGTGCAGACCCCCCTTGGGTGGCTGGTGAGACTTGGATATCAGCTCAGCGCCAACTTGGCTTGTCGTCACGCATGTGTGATTGCATGGTAGGCCTTGCATGGTTCTGGTCGCCCCGTCGCCCTCGGGCTGGCTAACCAATACGGTCCAGAGCCAACAGTAACAATATGCCTATTGATATCACTTGTTGGTGGAGATGTGTGCAATGACGCTCATGAGGCCATGCTTAGGTTCGTCAATATCGTACATTTGGTAGGTTCAAGGGGTATATATGTACAAAGGAGGTATATGCCAGGTGAGGATGGCTTGCAATATACTCCGTACCCAGGCCGCAAAAAAGGAGGCAGAGGGCGAAATGGGCGCCGTCTCTCCGGCCAACGGTACCGCGGCCCGTCGTCGGCTCTGGAGTCGCCCAGGACTTGAAGACAATGGTGCTGTTCATCAAACCCCGCGCACGTCCCAACGGATGTGGACGTTGCTAGTCGAATGTTAAACCCCAGCCCATCCCAAAGTCAGTTACCACAGCAAGGGCCTTGTGCGGGAGGGACTTCCCATGCAACATTTCTCGTGATCTGGACGTCGGGTGGTTTCCCTCTTACCGATGCCATCCAGTGGTCTTAACGGTCGTCCGCTTTGTCCTGCGGCAGGCAAGGCTGTCACATTCACCTCGGTGGGGCGCTGAATGTCATAGAGGGCGGCGCAACATAACCCTCATTCCTCGTGGCGGAACCGGCAGGTTTCCTCGCTTGTTCTTCGCGAAACTTGACCTCCTTCTCATCCTGAGCGACGACACAACAGCAGCAGCAAACACCCTTCAAACAGTCACCTGCGACGTTGCCGGCTTCGGAGCTCATGCCATATGTCTTTCGAAGCCGTGTATGCTGGATGGCGGCCAGTATCCCATTGATACCACAAAGGACGCCGAATGCTATGCAGGAGCCGTTGACCGCTGTGTATCCCAGCATGTTTGTAGGCTCTTTCCGCTCGTCCCTCAAAGCGAGCCGATACTGGGTCCTGCCATAGATGATGCACGGACAGAAAAGGCCCGTCATGCAGATGGAAGGCTCAGCACAAGAGCACAAGCCATGCTGCCATGAGCCTCCTTTTACGGACTGTGGACTCGGTGTGAATGTGCTGGCCGAGAACTGTGCAGGGTCCATCGAGGAGGGTGGCACGATAGCCATATTGGTGCTGGTTCGGTTGGGACGTTTCGGGTTCGTCGGTGACAGTGGATTGGCGTCGGGGGCTATTGGGCTGGTTGCTTCTTTCGGGGGGATCATCGGCTGCTTGACGGGCTCAGGCGGTTGTGGTATAGGAGGTGTGGGATGTTGAGGTGGCGGCTGCATTTGAGCCTGTTGTACAGGTACTTGTGTCGCGTAGACTCCATACGGCTGCGGAGCTTGGGGATGTTGCTGTTGTGCCACGGTCGGATCGTGTATCTGGTGCGGGACCACGCCACCACCATAGGCTTGTAGTTCCATCGTCTGTATCTGCGCCTGACCTTGTGCCGGACTTTGTTGGTTCGACGCTGGCTGCGATATTGGTGTATTTGTTTCTCTCCTCGCTCCGACCCGGTGCTCCTGTTCTGCAGATGCGTCCATCCAAGAAAACCGGTTATCGGCCGGCGGCCGCGGTGGCTGTATCGACGTGGGAGGGCGGACTCGAGGATATTCATAGCTCTTCATGTTGGCAGGGGACGGAGGTCGCCAGCTGAACCCCGTCCTTCAGGAGCCGCGGATCCGTCCGACACGTTGGCAGTCAGCAATGACGCGAAATGGCGGCCTTACAGTACTCTTGTGTCTACTGTAGCACAACGCTGCTGCCAGGTAGTACGCCCAGGAATGCAGAGAGAAGACGAAAACGAGGGTGAAGAGAAACGACAATTACCTTCTGAAGCTGAGCATCGCCTCCCTAGTCATCAGTGAGGGACTCCATGGGATCAGGACTGTGGTCTTGGTGGCCAGTCATGGTCACTCGTGCTTGGATGCATCCACGTCGGCGATTGGATCAAGAAGAGCCAGGCTTGACGTTCGGCTCAGTCGGGGCGCTTATGAGAGCACAGAAATAGGAGGCTCTGAACGAAGCTCGGCGCGAATCGCGTCAATGTCCCCAGTGCTGCTGATCCATGAAACAAGCGACGGATGATCGGTTGCCGCCAGTGAGAAGAGCCACAGAAGCGCTGGTGGTGAGGCGATGACGAGGAAGTGCCGATGCGCGTTTGTTGCTCATCACACATTCACTTCCATTTCACTTCCCCTTCACATTGGCGTGGGGAATGTTTCACACGCGCTCACTGCCGCAAACAGTCGCTGCGACCATGTGACCACGAAGGTCATCTTGAATCTTTCTATGCATGCCAGTAATGCGGACTTCAGGCCTGGGCACAACTATATTAATACATCTTACCGCACCATATAACAACAATGCAAATACATTCTATCACTGTGCCTATCTAAAACCTGGTTTCGGAGGCGACTACTCAGAAGCACCTCAAACGACTCGGCTCAAGTCACAGCCACCATTACAGAGTGGTGCAGTGCAGACGAGTCATACATTTTCTTCCAGATACAGTTGCAGAGAAATGCCTGAAGAGTATTCCGTAGTCTAAAACAACACATGGTCATATGCCAGAACTTGAAGTCCGCAATCCTGGTCGTGCATGGGATGGTCATGCGTCTCGGAGACCCTCAAAATGACACATATCTCCAGATTGAGTAAATATCATTGTGGCATGAGGGTACTATGTACAATCACCACGACCCGCTCATCGAGCTGAATCTAGGCCGCCGCTCGCTGGACTAGGTTCATAATTTGAGTACTGTGTAGACATGGGTCCCATGGCGTACCAGGCTCCGACATGCAAGGCTGCGGATCGCGGTGGCTCACTTGCTCCGGTCGATCTAATGTCCTTGTCTAGACGAGGACAGCTTGGCTCCTTGCTCAAGGTCGCCACAGATCCGGGCTTCCGGGCCTGAGATCCACGGTCGGCAACTCTGCCATATGTAACTTCGCACTCCCATATGGGCGTAATTCGACAGGAAAAGCCCGACAAGTGCAGTTACGCTGGCCCTTCAGCGGCGGATTCGGCGCATATCCATCCTGCAGACGCCATTCGATTTGGCAGCCCAGGGCCGACACGCTGACTGGTGGTCGCTCTTCATGCCAGATCGGATGGGGTAGCCACCGGTCATAGCGATTCGGATATTCATAAAACTTCAATGTCGTGGGGTCGATGGCCACGTTCCAAGGTTGTCTGGGCAAGATTGTCCAGTCGTTGGCCTGGGGAGGTGCTTCTGTGCCGGGATAGTTGGCAGGGCGCGAGGTGGAATAGTCTCCCGCAATGGGCAATGCGTATAGCAAGGCGCCATGGTAGACCGAGACAGTGTCATTCGCTCTGGGTTCCACTCGGAGGTTAGCCCCAAAGGACACTTCAACACGTGTGCGACCAGCTGGGACGATCAGAGTATGCAGACCCGTGGCATCATCTGGCTTGAGGCCATGTCTCTTGCCGCTGTCCACGACTACCGCACTTGTGTCGAGCACCGCCCATGAAGGGACTCGGAAAGAGAATCGAAAGGCTCTCGTTGCTGTGATCTCGTAGTTGAAATAGTTGCTGAAAGGATAGTTTGTGTCGCACCGGACTCGGACATGATTTCGCTTTCTCAATATCGTGCTGACATGAGCAGGGCCAAGCAAGGCATGAGCAAGCCCATCCTCGCCATCCTTGACGAACATGGCGGGGACGAACTTTGAATATCCTTGCATGTTCACGGTGCAGCATGGGAAATTTGGTTCTGTGCCGAACGTCTGGCCGAAAGGGCCGACGTTCCAGAATGGTGTGCTATCCAATTGATGGCTGATGGGCTGGTTCGTCTGGGCGACGTATTGATGAGCCCACCAGTGAGGCATCAGCATCACCGGTAAAGCGTTGTATGCTGTGCGCTCCGACTTTTCGGCAAAGTCGCGGTCTCCCAGAGACTGGTAGAGATAATTCAGCGAGAAGATCGACTCAACCACGCTGCAGAGTTCGGTCCCGCGAACTGGGCTCAAGCCTGCCTCGCGTTCATCGCCGATGATGGCACCCGAAGGCGTACCGTGATACTGAAAAGTCCAATTGACCCCGTTTCTAGTGGTGTTGAGCAGCGCGTCATCTTGAACAAGTCGTCTCATGACTGCACCCCATTTAAGCCCCTGTCCAGCATTGACGCCGTGGACGTAGGGGAAGAGGCTTTTTGTGAGCTCTTCGGGGTAGAGGTCTAGGTCGGCTTTCAAATACTGATCCTCATCGAACCAGTACGACCAGTCATACGCCAGCTCGTACATCTGCACCAGGCAGTAGTGGATGAGCTCCTCGTTGCCCATCGGATGTTTCTCGTAGAGCCACTGCAAGGCTAATACCATGTCTGCAGCGCGAGACCTGCCCCATTGCTCGTCAAAGAGATCACCTGGCTTCCAGACATAACCTTGGTGATGATCGCGCAGCATGGAGTACATGAGACGAATAAAGCGATGCATCGCCGGAAGAATCATTGCTTTACCCAGCTCCGGCTCTGCTTCGACGAGTTGCATGAACCCGAGGAAGAGGGGATACCTACCCCAGAAGTTTCGACGGGCTACCTCTTCTTCTGGTCCTAGCCAACCGTCGGCATGCTGATGCTCTACGACCCAGTCGGTGACCCGAAGGATATGATGTTTGAGGCGTGCATTGTTGGTCGTCCACGCCAATGGGACCAGCGCGTTGTAGTGGTACGGCCAAGCCTCGTTGAGCCCTGCCGCACATTAGCAACGGTGAGAAGAAAAGGGGCATTACGCATACAAGAATATTCCTCATCACCGCCGAGCCAAGTAGCATTCTTGACCGGGCGATAAAACTCATGCAGATGGCCCGGAAGGCCGTCGGCCATCAACTCCATCTGCTGCCCCAGCCATCCCAACGCCTTGATTGAGCCCAGCGGCAAAGGCTCGAATCGCAATGGCAATACTGATCCTGTTAGCTGATGAGCCGTTGTGAAGTACGCGACGTTCTCACAACTAGTACTGTAGGCAGCCAGCTGCGAAGTAGGTCTGCGAGGATCATCCCTCGGACTACGAATCTTCCATGTTGGCGACCCGGTATTTATGTTCTCCCCGTGGCACCAGCCTTTGTGACAGAATGCTGGACCAAGTGAGCGTGATGTACGTAGAAAGGCAAGTGGAACAAGTACCTGTGGCCTTCCCAAGCCTGGCGGGATGGAAAGTTTCGGAGGTGGCTTGGGATACAGAGAAGACGATGACGAGGAACACCGCACCGAAAGTCCACCATAATCGCAGCATTGTCGGACTGCATCGGCACCAGCATCCGCTATGTTCTGCCCTGAGGACATTAATCCTTGAGATGCCGTAAAACAGGCCAAGTCCGGAGTACTGCAAGAGGGAAGAGCTGCATCGTAGAAATTGCGTGCTCCGTCCTGTGTGATTGGCTACAGTTGCTTGTTGATCTGGGTCACGCGAGCTGCATATTCAATCGTCCTATGAAACCATAAGAAATAGCAGCACAGGGCCGATGCAATGTCGGAGGCATCGAATACGAAACGTGCAGACATAGCGCAGTGCGCAAGTCATAGGAAACAGCACAACCCCCAGTGCAAAGAATGCATGAATAGAACATTTTACAGCCTGCTTTTCCTCGTCGCTTGAACGCAGCAGAAATTCAATAAGGTTACAAATGATTCCACCTCAATACCACACTTCTCTTGGGTGCGAGGAGTGCGGCCGGATGAAGCACATCACGCCTACGCGCCCAGCACGAACTTGACTGGGACAACCCACTCTGGGCCAAAGTCCACACCGTGCTTCCTTCTCGAACCATGCTTCTGCCACGCGGCGGCTGAAATTCCGATATCGACAACCCAGACCTGCCACGGCGGCTCGGCCAGACCATCAATGGCCATGGCATGGAGAAGGCCCGCCTTCGGTGCCCCCAGACTAACAATGTGCTTGCTGTTCATAACAAGGAATTGGCCGTCGACCTCGGTGAGAAGGCCTGTAGTTGCGGACAACCCGCTGGGTACGTCGATGGAGACAACGAGAGAGCTGCGATTTGCCCAGCGGATCATCTCCAACACGGTTGCTTGATCGTCGGTGCGGAGTTCTTCGAAAGTGACATGCACACCGAGGAGAACGTCCACGATCACGTCAGGAGCTGGGCCTCCGGCATTGGACTTGGCCTGATATTCGTCCCAGCGGTCGACATAGCCTTGGCCCTTCTTGTAGATGGCCAGTTGTTTCTTCATGGTCTCAAGCAGCATCTCCTCCCGCTCGCCTCCAAGAACAACAATAGTGACCCGGAGTCGCCGATTTCGTAGATGCCTGGCTGCCGCAATGGCTCGAGCACCGGACTTGTGGTTGCCGATCAAAAACACCACGCTCCTGATGTCGGGTAGCTTCAGCACAGCCATAGCTATGCTTCGGCCGGCGTTTTCAGAGAGCATGTCTTCGGTAAGGCCCATCTCAGAAGTGCACAGCTGCTCGATCTCCAGCATCTGCAGAGGCGACAAACAATGACAAGGCTTGTTGTTCTGGAGCTTGAAAGACGCGCGGATGCCAGAAACTGATCCATTCAAGGGTGACGACGTTTGCAACCTAGTCAGAGGTCGGGGTGACTCGGTTCGCTCCAACAGGGAAGGAATGACACTGCCCTTCCTGGACTGTAACGGCCTCCGGGAGGCGGCTCGTCTTGAGCCCCTGCCACTACTGTAGTGGCCGTCGTGGTCGAGCAAATCGTCTTCGGTCTCACCGGCCTCACTCTTCCATCGATCTCTGTCCTTCCCATCGGGCGCATCAAGGACATTCTCAGTATAATGAAGATTGCGCCCACCATTAGTTCCAGGCCGCGCTCGCCGATTAAAGCTCACCAGTCTGTCTGCCTCCGCCGTGGTATCTGCTTGCCGGATATCATCGAAAACTCGTCTCTTGTCAAATTTCGAGAGGTTGGATTCGAAGTCAAAGTCGCCCATGTCTTGAATGTCTGTAGCATCTTCCGTAGCCCACCCATTGAGGTCTTCCGCCACTTTCCGACCTCTCTGGGCCTTCTTCTTGGGCTGCCTTGGGACCTCTTCTATCAGCGGTGTTTGACGCCAGCCCTTGCCTTTCCCAGTCTTCTTTTGATTCTTCAATGGGCTGTTGATGTCCTTCATGTCGATGATTCCAGGCCCAGTTCGCGACGGGATCGTGTGAGCATTGTTTTCCTTATTGGCAAGTGACACCGGCGTGGCCTGGGCAACCTCACTTCCCAAATTCAACGCATCAAATGGCTCGGTGAGAGTCGCACTAGCTGGGGTATTTCTCTTCTCGGCTTTTGTAGGCACCGCAGTCGCAATACTGGAGACTGAGCTATTACCCATATTGCCGTTTCGCGGCCGTGCTTGAGAAGAGTTGCTGACAACACCGTCGGCGATCATGATCGGAGAGACTGGCTGCACAAGGGAGGTCGGAGCAGGTACCGTGGGAACTTTTGCGGGCGGCTTTGCGTAACTGACAATAGCGGGGTCGATGAATGTCGGCGCATTCTGTGGTGGGTGAGGCGCAGGGTGTATCGGAGCGACGTTTGAAGTAGCGGCGACCGGTGTGAGCGTTTCCTGCTCTTCAAAAGGACTTCGCTGGGTTGGCGAGACTTCAAGGTCTGCAATTGCGGAGGAATCGATCGCGTACGAAGTGAGTCGCCGGCCGTTCCACAGAAGGAGGACTATACCGAGTCAGCACGGGCTCGTCACCGCGAACGAAGACGTACCATTCTGCAGAAAGAGCTTCTGATTGACGACGTCGGCAACGACACCTTGGATCTGCGCATTCGGGGGGTTTTGCAGTGTCACCAGAATGGTGTAGCCGATGAAGTCGGAAGCCATGGGCCGCAGTCTGGATGGAGTGGCCGGAATGTGAGGAAAGAGACAACTGTTGTTATGTGTTCATAGCTAATTATGGCAAGAATGCTGAAGACGACGGAGTGATCTGTGTCCACAGTTGACTTGTCAGTCAAAGGGACCAGGAATTCACTCCCTTGTCACTGCCATCAACTCCTCCAGAAAGAAAAGTTGAAGATAAATGCTTTGGAGACTCGATTTTCTCGTCAAAGGCTGCCTGTTCTATCGCTGCCACGACAATAGATAGAATTGGGATTTGTGGTAGACGTCGAAAAGCATGCCAGGCAAGTGCCTCTCTCCGATCAACTAGTGCGTGTACGAAATACATCAGCTGCTAACGAATGAAAATAGAGCCGCCGCCACACCCCTCCAAGCGCCACTACCAGTACGTCCTCACCCTGGTGGCCGCTTTCACCGTAGCACTGTTCGGTACATTCAAGTCCTCTTCGTCTGTCCTGGCCCACAACTGACACACGGATCTCACAGCTGCGATTGCCAACAATGGAACTCACAACCCTTCTGTACAAGAATACTACACAAGCCTCGAGTCACGCTTGGGATACTGGCTCCTACTGGGAAATACACGGCACTGTGGACTGTACCCAAAGGGCCAGTTGTGGCCCTTCCCGGTCGGCAAAGCACAGCGAGCTATGGAAGATTACCTCTTCGCACGGCTGGATCTCAAGCCTGGATCCCGCGTTCTAGACGCCGGTGCAGGATCCGGATACGTGGCCATGCGCATGGCGGAGAAAGGGCTGACAGTTGAAGCCGTCGATATCACACCGCTCCATGTCGAGGACGCTCGTCGCAATGTAAAGGCCCGGGGGCTCCAGGACAATATCTCCGTCCGACTAGGAGACTACCACAATCTCACGGATTTTGACGATGGCTCTTTCGACGGGATCTACACGATGGAGACTTTCGTGCACGCAGACGACCCTCTGAAAGTGTTGCAGAATTTCTATCGCTTGCTTCGCCCCGGTGGTGTACTCGTGCAGAACGAAGCCGACTTTAACCGGAATTCCGAGCTATTACAGGATGTGCTCCGCCTCTCACATTGTCAAAACACGCTCGAGGAAGGTGTCCTGATTGGAATGCTGGAACAAGTTGGCTTCAAAGACGTCCAGCTGGACGATCTTACCGACGAGGTCGCGCCGTTATGGCGCCTGTTCGGCGTCATTGGGTACATCCCGTATAGGATCTTGCGGGTCTTTGGGTTGCACACGCGCTTCACAAACCTCATGGCTGGGGTCGAGTCGTACCTGCATTGGGGTGAGGGCAGGTATATTTCCGTTAGAGCTATCAAGCCTTGACATTATCACGACCGCGGCGAACCTAGTCAGCGCACCAGAGAAGAAATGGGTTGTTATGCTTGATGTTTGTAGGCACTGCCCTGCCTCTCCATTGGTCAGTCTATGTTGCAATATTCCAACAGTCGAACGGAGTACCTGGATGGTTGACCCCATCATGGCGCCAGTCGGTATTTACGAGAGGGTTGGCTGTGACGAGGGGAGAGAGGGACCATGAGGATGTCTGCAAAAGTCGCGTGACATGTTCACTTACTTGTACAGCCATCAGCCCTGTAACGACTTGTCGAATGACGATCTTCACGATCCTCTGGCTGACATCCCTTTCCCGACAATCTTCAGGAGACAAGAAACCCCTCCTCCTCTTACCCCCCAAAAACACCACTCGGGCACGAACCAAAGTTGTATTGAATCCATAGCTCAAACGAATGGAAGGGAATGACGAACGAAGGGCAAGCGATTGACGACGAGGCCAGCTCTCCGTCGCTCCGTGGTGTGCCGACGACAGCGATACACTAAGGAACCTCGGGAACCTCCCTTGGATCCCCGAGGCGCCATGCCATGGCCAAAGCGTAGTGAAGTCAAGTTCAAAGGCAGCCATTAATTCCCGAGTGTCTTGAAACAGATTCCCGCTCAGTTCTGAAGGGGCTGCCGGTGCAGCACGGGTCTATTGACATGTAGATGCTAACTCAGGCTGTGATCTGCTTGCTCTCCGTGTTGGGCATATTGCTCTACATCTATTATCATTGTCTTCATAGTGTCAACTTTGGACCTCGCTAATCGAGCAGATAGCTTCTGATCAGGACACTCTCGGCTGCATAGTCTCTGCTTAGTCTTGCCGAAATTCTCAGAATCCAGCACCAGCTTTCAACATCTTCTCCGCCTCGAGCATGTCCTCAATGGAGAAGTCATCCTCAAAGTCATCTTCATCGGCGAAGAAGTCCTTTTTCACTTCCTTCTTGGCTTGCTGCTTGTTCAAGGTCTCATGACCGGCCAACTTAGCATAGAACTCCAGCACCTTTTGATGCACCATCACTTTTCGCTCGTCAAACCGCAAAACCTGGAGACCCTCCTTGGTCCTCGCTCGACTCAAGGCAACGTAGGCCTGACCTTTCTCGAACACTTTGCCGAGGTCCACCTTCACCCTGCTGAGAGTCTGCCCCTGCGCCTTGTGGATCGATAGAGCCCAGGCCAGGATCAGAGGTACCTGAACTCGTTTCGCCAGGACCTCACCATTTTGAGCCTCCGTCTTCCACTCATCAGGAGCGCAAAGCATACTTCGCGATGTGCCGTCGGGCAGGTTGAATCTCACCATCGGCCAAAGCCTTCTAGTCTCGCCGGTGGCCGAGTTCTTCAACCTCGCTTCCCGAATCTTCTCGCGTGCAGCTTTCTTCTCCTCATCGTCGTCCTCGCCGCCCTCTTGTGCCAGAAGGAAGGTAGGCTCATCGTCCTTGTAAGTGAAGAAGGTGCCCTCGTCCATAAAAGACTGCACGATTCCAAGAGAGCCGTTGACCAGTTGGCCATCGATGTTTTTAATCAGCATCACTTGTGCACCCTTTTTGAGCTCAAGAACCTCGGGAGCGATAAAGTTGCTGAGCAGCGCCTTTCGCGTATTAGGCTCAGCGTTGCCTGAATCCACGGCAGTGAACGTCATGACTTGGCCAGACAGCTTTCGCATTCGGTTTGTGTTGGCATTCTCAACTTCCTCACGGCGTGGGTATCTGGAAAAGTCAGGTTTGAGGACCGTCTTTAGAATCGAAACACTTACAGTTCGGTCGCCTCCAGCTCATCAACGACTTTCAGTGGCCTAGAAAGGGCCTTGAACTCCCGCACGGTGGCTGGACTCATTTTACCCAGCCGCATTTCATTCAACATGCTCGCAAACTGCTCGTCCTTTTGGCGGAAGACATGGGTCAACAAGATCGTATGTTGAATGCACGTGTTCCAGGTGACAGCCTCGAAGACAAACTTGGCTGTCGCATTTTTCTCCGGCACAGGCGGGAGCTGGAAAAAGTCACCGGTGACAACTAGCTGAATGCCACCAAAAGGACGACCATTGTTTCGAATTGTGCGAGCCACCTGCTCAAGCTTGTCAAACAGCTGTCCGTCGACCATAGACACTTCATCAATGATGAGCACCTTGGTCCGGAGCCATCTCTGTCTGGACTTCTGATTTCGTTTGACCTTCTTGACGAGTTCGGGCGCGGGTTCTTTTCCTAGGCCAATGCCAGACCAGCTATGCAGCGTCTGACCTTCCAGGATACAGGATGCCAGACCCGTCGAGGCGGTAACAGCATATCGATCGGGAGATGCTCTGTACTTATGCCTTAACTGGGCAATGATAGCCTTCATAAGGACTGACTTGCCCGTACCAGCGGAGCCTGTGAAAAACACACTTTTGCCTTCTTCCATGACCGCTTTCATTACCGCCTTTTGCTCGTCGCTCAAAAATACATCTGGCACTTTTTCAGTCTCCGCCGCCGGTGTCCCGATCTGCTTCGTAAGCGGTCCCGGAGGTCGTTCAGAAGAGCTCCGTGAAAGTGATGCTGCCATGCGTTGGTGGGTGAACGAGGATGCCTCTAGCATATCTGACATGGCCTGAGATGCCTTCTCGCGACCGACGCCGCCTTGATGCTGCTTAAGCGCTGCCGCTCTTTCCGATTTGTGGTCTCTGCCCAACTCGCCATGGAGATCATTTCGAGGTGCAAATGCAGGTTTGGAGGTGAAAGATGCCGGGAGAACTCGTCTTTTGGCTGGTCTCAATGGGGCCGGGGACGGGGGATCCCTCGAAGAGATGCTGATCTTAGGATTCTCGAAGTGCTCGGCTGGCGACGAAGACCACGCTACCGGCGCGCTACTGGCTGGCTCTGCTGGTGAATGTTTAGGGACAGGCGGCAGGGAAGGATAGGATTCCGCATCCAGAGGCTTGAGTATAGGATAATGTATATCTGAGTGCTTCTCGGACGAGTTTGTGAGGTCGACAAAGGCAGGTTCCGTATTCTCATCGGGCCACGACTGCTGATGGAGGGATCCTAAACTGCTGGTGGTACTCATGCTTCGATCGAGCTTTCGCTTTCGACTGTTTGCCGGTGGAATGTTGGTTGCAGAAGAGTTGGAGAGCAGCGTCGATTGCTTCTTGTCGCCGGCGGTCGTCGAAGCATGTCGATGGGCTGCTCGACCAAGCATAATGGGATGGGAGAACGACTTCGGAGATCTCGACGCGCAGGTCGAGGGGCGCAGCAGGAATTTAAGAGGGCAAAGGCGCATGAACGGTAGGTGCGACAGCAAGAGGGCAAGAAAATGGAGTGCGGGATAGGAAGGGACGTCCAACGTCAGTCATCTACAACACATTTTGTCCCGCGCTCAAGCGAAAGTGAGTGAAGACGGCGACGCGTGAGGCAACAAAAGAACGCGTTCGAGCCGCATGCATGACCGCAGTGCGGCTCCACCGGCAAGGCTGCAGCGCGGTGCACAAGGCTGAGATCTCTGTCCACTTCTCCTCCGGTATCACTGCTTCCTTGTACCATAAGAGAGAACATTAAATCACGCCAGAATGGATGATCATTAGTTTTGACGTAATGTCGCTATGTCAATGTCCAAGGTACTTTTGGGGGTATCCTGCTCATGGCTGAGTTTAATCAACTACAATCGTGATCAATTAGTGCTCGGATGAGGTTGCGTCCTGCTTGAAATGTCCATGACCCTGCTATCGCTTTAGATCCAATACCGTAAGACATTGTTCCAAGTAACTGCCCTTGAGTTCCAACAGTTGCCCCATAAACCAAGACTCAGACCTCTACCGGTGCTCCTCGTGAGAACTTGCAACTTCAGTTGGCTCATTCCCGTTCCAGCAACAAGACGTCTCATCCGAAATTGAGCAGGTGGGCAGAGCTGAAACCGGTGGTGAAAGAGCCGCACACCCTAGCGCCGGAAGCTCATAAAGGCGAAATAGTCATCGTTGGATACCGTGCTGGTAGAAGAGCCGCATATCCCGGATTCGGACGCCATGTCTGAGAATACCTAATGCTCCCGTCAGCTATCCTTGATAGGCAGGATAGTTGTTGTTGAAGGATGGCGGCGGTTGCTGATACATTGCACCGGGTGCGGCTTGACCTCGTCCGTAGCTCCCAGCAGATGGTGGGGCCTGACCGTATGCCGAGTGCGGCGACGCGGTATATGGACTGGCGAGGTGGTTGGATTCCCATCCTGGGCGGCCACCAGGACTAGGGCCTAAACTCTGGTCAGTCATGTTCATCGCGTGTGGCAGCTTGGAACGTACCTTGAGGCGTGATTGGGCCGGGACCAGGGTATTGTGGGTAGTACGGCGACGCTGGGTTATAGCCGCCAGGGGTAGACGCAGAACCAATGGGGGTTTGAGGGGAGTAGGTGTCAAATTGCCCAGTCGGAGGACGATCCTTGCCCCACTGATTCTGTTAGAAACGGAGCAGAGAAAGGGCGGTCGTCGAGCTTACCGAGCACTTCAGAGGCCTGCCATTGACATTGTATCCCGACAGCTGGCAGATCGCCATGGCAGCATTCTCGTGCGAATCCATCTTAATGAAAGCAAATCCTCGATCAGATTGGAATCTGGTTTCCACCACATAGCCAAAGTTCTGGAACAGTGGAATAAGATCTGCTTGCGTCGTGTAGGGGGTGAGATTCCCGACGTAGCAGGTCGTTTGCCAGGTAGGCGTTTGGTTGACGACCATCTCGTAGGATTGGATACCCTGGGTGGGGAAGTGATGGTGGCCGAACGGTGTTGTAGGAGTCATTCCCATGGCCGCCATCGCTTGTTGTTGAGAGATAGAAGGTTGTCCTTTTTGGTTTGCCCAGTTACAGCGGATTGCACGACTTCCTAACCACTCGCCATCCATGGAAGCTAAGGCCTTCTCAGCCTCAGACCGATCACGATAAGCAACAAAGCCATAGCCCCGCGATCTGCCGGTCTTCATGTCCCACATGACGCGAGCTTCGGAGACAGTGCCAAAGGCGGAGAAGGCTTGCAGCAAGACTTCGTCATTGACTTCGTTGCTGAGGTCACCAACGAAGATGTGGAAGTGGTTGGAGGTGTCTTCTTTGGTCGCAGTGTTGGATTGGTAAGCCCAGTTGACGCGGATCTCAGCCTGATGGACTCTCCGGCCGTTCAGCGTCGTCATGGCTCGCTCAGCGGCACCAGGGTCATCGTATTCGACGAAACCATAATTGAAGCCCTTTGAACTAAACTGCTGGAGTTGTTAGTCAGAACAATTTCATACCAGGTCCGACATACTCACATTCTTGTCAGGGATAATCTTGACGCTGACCACATGGCCTGTAGTCTCAAAGATTTGTTTGAGAACGTCCTCGGTGACTCGAGGGTCGAGTCCGCCCACGTACAATGCCCTCTTGTTCGGTTCGGGGGCCGCTCTACGGACCACTCCACCGGACGAAGGCGACAGGGCGCTGCCAGGTGTAACAGGAGCCGCGACGTTGTTGTTGTTCTGCGGGATGACCATGGGAGGGAGCGTGGGAGGTCCCATACCAGCGGCCGGACGGCCATTGCTGCCGCTCGCAGCATCGTAGCCCGGGACACCGGACGTCGAAGGTGGAGGGGACAAGGTCGTAGGAGGAACGTTTTCTGCCATGTTGAAGAGATGAGAAGCTCGTGCAGCGATCCAACTGAAGCTAGAAACGACTAGTGCGCCGCACAGCAAATGCGATTCGAATAGAACGACAAGTATTGCAGGTCTGGTGTCGCAGGTAGGAGCTCGAGTGAATTCTTTTTATCTCGCGATCGATCAGTCCCTCGTCCGGATATTGCGGGGAGACAATGGTGATGGAGTGGGTCGGCTTCGGGTCGTGGGGAGAGAGGTAAGGAAATTTCGCTGAAAGACGTCGACAAGAATCGCTATCAAGGTGACAAGCCAACCAGGAATATCGTTGAAGTGGGAGAGAGAGAATGAGGAGAGGTAGGACTCGTTCGCGTGATAGGTAAGATGGCCGCCAGAAAGGTCGCGCCGAGACAAGGTGAGTGACAGGCCGGCCGCAGCTGAGGATTGTGGGATAGCAGCAGAACAGAACGAGACCAGCCAACACAGCAGGCAGAGAGCACTGAGAGATGTCAAGGAAAAGGAGAGATAGGGAATCGCTCGAGTTCTTTTCCCAACGCCCAGCTTGCAATGCACAGAAATTCCAATCGACGTACGAGAGAGACGATAAGGAACAACGACAACGCAGTAATGGAAGAGGAGATGGAACAAGAGATACTCGAATTTCGATGGTTGAAGGACGAGCGTGACGAGGTGGTGAAGAAGCTGCTTTCTACTCAGCAGCCGCATGAACGTGGAGTGGGCTGCCTGCTGACAGGGTGCGGAGTGCGGCGCCTATCGCAGAATCCCGGCACGCCTGGGCACTCCCGGCTAGGGGTGCTTTCCTCCCGGCGTGGCTTCTTTAGGCCTGCAAAGCTTGAACCCGACTGCCTGTCGCGGAATTTAGGTGTGCTTTAGCTCCACGGCAAGAACAAAGTTCGCCCACGCCCCCGTTTAGGGCTTCGAGCCGCGCATGGCTGGTGTCGGAGGGTCTCTTGCGTCGCTTGGGCTGCACCTGCCGAGTCAAAACGTCGAGAATCGCGTGGGCTGCTGACCCGCCAGACAGCCTTTTGCGCAAACCGCTGTTGACGTGAAAGTCGTTTGCTATCCAGTACCGGTATTGTTATTCACGCGTGAAGGATGAAGACTCTCGCTATCTGGTCCCTCTGACCGTTATTGCTCAGCCCCTGCATACCTTCAGGAGTTGACGGCACTTCTCCCATCGTCCTCCAACTCGCTCTCGCCCAAGCGGATACGAGCTCTTCCACTCCTCGATGGCCGCCAGTAAACCTCCCTACGATCCGGTGAAGACGGTCGAAGCAATGTTCATGGGCTCCGTCGCTCGCATCGCCTATGTCATGAAAGACCCTGTGAACTTTGCGCCAGCGACAAAAGCGGTTCTGGCCGAAACCGCAAAGAAATTCCACGATGCGCTCGACGACTGCGAAATCCAGATCCTGAATGCCAAATGGTACCTTGAGCGCCAACTCGCTGCAAACAGGGCCCGTCGCGAGGCCAAAGCAAGAGATGACAGCGCGTCAAGCGCCAAAAGAAAGCGAGACGAGGTGCAAGAGGTCCAGGACAAGGCGCAACACGCAGAGGGAGAGAATGCCCCCAAGCGCGTCAAGACACAAGAACCAGAGGAAGCTGTGCCACCGCCGCCGCCGCAGCCAAACCCGCAGCAGCCATCTCCTGTCCAGAAACCCGCTCCGCAGCCTGCTGTCGCGCCCAGCAAGCCCACCGCTCAACCCGCGCAGCAACCGAGAGACAAGCCTGCGACAGCAAAACCACCAGACAAGCCCAAGGTGTCGGTGACTACAGACGTCAAACCACCTCAACCCCCTACACCACCCGCTACCAAATCACACGGGCAACCAAAGCCACCTGAACCCTTGGAACCTCCCGAGCGCACAATGACACAGACAACCACGGACGACTTTCCCAAACCAACACCACAAGATACCCCAGCTTCTGGAACTGAGGCATTCAACTTTGAATCTATGTTCGGTGAACCATCAGCAGAGATGATGGATAGTGGAGGCAACGACATGACCTTCGATCTGGACAACTTTGGCGGTGACGGCTACGGCGGCGACAGTGACAATCTCAATCTGCAAGACAGCTCGTTAAACTCTCTCCTGCCCGGTTTGGAGTCCTACGCAAATCAGACTGGCGACGATGGCGGTTTCGGCATGCCCGGGCCTACGAATAACGGGGTGCCTCCTGGAAATGATCTGGCAGGTGAGGCCAGTCAAAATGATATTTCGGCTGGTCAACAGCTACAGCAACAACAACAGCAGCAGCAGCCGCCGCCGCCGCCGCCTGCCAACTTGAATGACTTCAGCCTGCCACAACTGGGACCCAATGAATTTGACGACTTCCTCAATGCTAATGACATGAGTTTCGGCGACAACATCAACCTCGACGGCGACGGCATGATGAACATGGACAACCTCGACAACATCAACGTGGACGACTTTGACAGTATGTTCAGCTAGTCTCTGAACTCGAAATTTTGGACGGACGAGAAAATCATTTCCTGGTTGTGCGGACAATAAAAGGGTCCCAACTACTCTGCTCTATTTAGCGAGGCGTATGCTACAGTTTCGAGGATTGGCAAAAATTGGTTCATCGCTTACATATCCTCTATTGGTTAGGTATTCATGTTTCTTCAGAGATACCCAGGGCGAAGGGCACGGTCGGGCAAGGCAACGTAAGGTATACCCAAAATGCTGCGGTCGGGAGCGGTGGCGGCCCCTCGAGCGACTGTAAATCAGATATTATCAATCCACAGTATATATATGTATGTATGTATAACAGAGTTGGGACGCCGAGTCTGATCGACGGTCAGTACAGTACATCAGGATGAGAAGTTAACCGCAGTCCGAGCGCCCTCCCTGTCATATCGCATTGTGATCTATCTTGCTGCTACAGTATTACCATTCCGCCCCTCCGTAGCCTTGTTGTGATCTCTTCCACAGACCATGCATGGCTGCTTCTCCGCTCTCTGAATTCTCGCTCTGGGGCCGCTAGGTGAGAAATTAGGCATATATATGTTTCTACACACATCGTCGATGCAGTCTTTAAGTCCTTAAACATGATACATCTCATCTTAAAGTGGAAGAAACCGCACCGCCCGCAGCAACTCAAAGCCCCCCGTCTCCCCCCCGGGGTCGTTGGAGCCTTCAATCGACCTTGCCCTTGCTACCCTCGGAGTCGTCCACCCTGTTTTCACGTCGATGGGGAGCTAGATGTGGATGTGGATGCGGATTCGAAGACGAATGTTGTGGACTTCCCTCGCGTCTCATATCCAAGTCACTGTCGCTTGACGTGCCTGTGCCTGCCAAGGTACTCCCGCTGTGGGGCGCGCCACCGAAATGGACGCTGAAGTCGACCTCGCCGACCAGGTCTCGCACTTTACTCAGCACGGCGGTCATCTCCTGCATGATCAAGATGCTCGCGATCTCCAGCACCGCAAACGCCGCGTAGCAGGGTTCCTTGATGTGCGTGATGCTGAGGATCGCGGGATCGATGGCCGCGAGTTGGTCGGCAATGTCGATCGGGTGCGGGACCGTGATGTACGGCGGGAGGGGTTGTGAGTTCGTGACACTCGCGCTCGCGAGGCACAGCGTGCTGGTGAGTTCCGGGGAGGTGAGGCGTGAGCGGGCGGTGAGGCGGCGGAAGTCCTTGAGCCAGTCGGATTCCGGGCCGGAGGATTGGAATGTGTGGGACGAGTACGCCGTTAGGGCCATGTAGTTGAACAGGGATTGCATATGGACGATCAACTCGTCGTATGTTTGCTTGGGAAATTTCCCCCCGAACGTGGGCTCGTATTTTAGGAAGGTGCTGTGTTCGCGCAGGCGATTGAGCATGACGAGGAGTTTGTCGAAGACGCGCTGGCGGGCTTTGTCCAATGGACGCATAGGGTCGGCGCGCTTGTCCTTGACCAGGCAGGGAGTTGTGCGTAGCCGGGTTTCGACCGTGGAGTGGGTGCACGAGTAGTAGTTTGCCAAGAGATAGAGTGTGTCGCCTAGATCCTTGCGCAGGGTTGCATGCGTGGTGATGGGGTAGGGAAAATACGTCCAGAAGAATGCGACTCCTAGACCAATGATGACGGTGGCAAGCCGATATGGCGCGAGGATGTAGATATGGTAGTATTTCTGGCCGTTGCTGGTGAGGATTTGGGTGCCGACTTTCTTGTCCTGGAGTTCATAGCCAACAATCAGGATGGTCGTCACCATGGAGATGACTGCCGTGATGAGGTGTTTGGGGTGCTTTAGGATGACATAGATCCCACATACGAAGACAAGGTAGATCAGCGGGATGATTGCCGCTGGTTTTTGATCGCACATGTACCAGATTGTGATTGAGATGACCGCTGCGATTGCAGTACCGAGTATCCGCAGGACGAACCCTTGGACGCCGGCTCCAGCATGAGCACCCATGCTGATAGCCACCATAACAACTGCCCAGATACCACGCTGGGCCAGATAGAAGGTGTGTGTCTGCCGTATATAGCCAATTATGGCAATGCTGATGCTGGCGGTTGCTGCTCGGAAGCCGAAGTGTGAGGCATCGGACGCCAGGAACTTGGGTATCGCTCTCAGCTTGTTGGTTATTCTCTGATAGAGATTCGTCGGTGGTAGATGCTCGGGGTCTTTGTGCTTTTGTAGAGCATCACCCAGCCAAATGTAAATGCCCGAGGCTGGTCCATCTTGGAGACCTTCGCTCGCGTCTATCTGCTTGAAGGCGTTCTGCATCAATTTGTGGATGCGTCTCCAACCGGGAAGTATCAGCCTGTTCTTGCTCATCGTGCCATCTTGTACTTTCGAGTCGGCGAACAGTACAAAATCCAGGACTGATTGGCAGACAGACAAAAGCAGGTACTCGAGGTAAAGGATGAGATACAGCTGCTGATGGTTCTGCTTTTGTCGAACCGTTTCGTGCACCGAGGTCGCATCGCTGAATTTGTACTGCGCAGACGTATCTTCCCAGAACTTCGTTGGCACTTCGATGCCTTTTCTTTCGCACCACGCCCGCATGGTCTCCCGGCGGTGGTCTTGGAAGATCTCTATTTGGTCCTTCAAGTACTGTGCAAACGCTGGCTGGCCAGGGTTTGGAGCCGAGTCGGCGGAGTTCTCAATGTCCTTGCTGGTCGTTTTTGGCTGCGGCACCAACTCAAGCACATAAGCAACGTGGGTCAAGCCATCCACGAGAGTCGCCTTCATTTTCAGAAAGGGGACACGAGACATGACAATTACTTCGTGCCATTCCTCTGCCTCGAGCTTCCGGATGGCTTCGACTGCGTCCAGATCAGAGATCAAGTTTTCGCTTTCAGCTTTGTGTCGCTTAACGGACTGCAGGATGTCAATGAACGTGGACAGACCCGCGACTGGAAGCAGAATGTGCTGTAGCCGTTCCCAGATTTGGCGGAAATCGTCTGGTTGTAGTTTGCCCCATCCGACTTCTTTCTTGGCAAAACCAATCTCTAGTTTCAGCTGGCCAAATAGTTGGGACGCTTTCTGTATTGTCACTTTCAAATTCTGAGCCGCTTCTTCGGCCGCTCTCATTGACACCCGCGCTTCTGGGTTGCGGTCCAGCGGTAAAGGATTTCCTTTCTCGTCCAAAAGTCCCGGACTACCGGTTTGAGACGTAGTGATGCCGTGGAGATATGCGATGTGGATTGACAGTGAAGCTTTCATCATATCGAGGAGGCCGGCCGCCTGCTTCTGAGCGATCTTTCTCGAAGAGATGGGGATGATGCACAACGAAACACCCGAAGCCAATGCGTATCCCGTCAGGAAAACCTTCAATAGTCTATCGACGAAATTCATTCCAGCTTCCATCGTTGGAAAAGTGGATGCATATGTGTGGGCGACGACCACAAAAATGGTGAACTGAATCGAGACGATGAAAAGCTGCGGCCGGGCGGCTCGAATTGTGTTTGCCAAGTACAGCCAGAAGAACAAGAAGGCGCATGCCGTCACATTAGCTGCGCCGCTGTATTGCAGGGTTTGTTTGCTGCCAGATGAGCCTGTCGTCGTCGACGCGGGAGTCAAGAGGATGGGTTGATGTGCGGCCACGGCGCATCGTATCGAGAGCAGAGCCGTTGCCGCAGCAAAGCAAATTGTTATACATGAAAGGATCATAGACTGGATGAATTTCGCCCGTGGAAGAATTGGCAGTGACAAGAACGACGTTATCGCGATCAGGTATCCCAACGTCGAATATGTCTTCGCCCAGCGGTCGCTCTGATAGCTACAGAACGTAAGCATCCCAGCGTGAGAAGGACTGGGTGACTCACGCTGCCAGAGCAATTGCTGGAGGCAAAGCACCTCTGAGATCGAGTTAGCTCCAGCATGCGACTGTGTCCACGTACACCAACTAACTCACTTGAGCATCAGCAGTAATGTCGGCAGGTCCAGATTGAGCTTCTTCTGTATCTTCCTCAGGAACCCAGCGTTTGGGGGCTTTGTATCTTCGACCTCGACATTACTGTCGCCAGCCCGGGTCGTGGCAGTTTTGCCATCCTCCGCCCCGGGTGTTGCCGGATCTGAGTGTGCCCGGTCGGCGTCTGACATCGTCGCGTTCTTGACAACGAGGGCCGGGGAGAGAGGAAGTTCAAAAGTCAAGCAATGAAGACGTAGTCGAAGTTTACATCAGGAGAGGTCTCATGGTGAAAGTGGCTGAGGACAAGATCCTACGGCGGCGGCACCGCCTTGTTGTTGAGTCCGGTATTAATGCGTCAACTCGTACGAGTTACAAGCCATCAACTGAAAGCTGTTCTCCGAACCAGCAACCAAAACACATGATCTCATTGGTGGAGAAGCCGATGTTCCCCCCTGAAGTGAGTAATCCGGATCTACTGTGTCTCCCATCGAGGGTCCTATATTTGAACTGGCTGGTTGCTTTGGAAAGAACCATGAGAGCCTTTTACCAATATAGTCGATTCGGCGTAGGGCTGGAGGCCGGGCGCCGTGAGATTGGTGGGTGGTTGGCGTGTTGATGCTTAGCAAACTGCTTAGTGATGGACCAGCCCTGCCGGGCGAATCAGTCTACAGACTGCGGGCAAGGGCCGGCAACAAGGATCACAATAGCGACAGGCACAGGACTATAGTGCACGTGATTCGTGCGGGCGTGGGTGTATACTTCGCCGGAGGATAATCAATTGCTTCGACAATTTTTGGTTTTGGTTGCAGCTTGTTGAATGTCGCGGCATTACACGTGTTTGCCTGACACGACACTCTGAACATGGCTCCTTCGAGGGCGCCCAGTGCCTTGGTGTTGCACTCCCTGAGATTGCTCAACATAGAGGCATGTTCTCCACGAGCTGCCTTGCGGCCCTTCTCAACCACCAGCGCGACTTATCAGGAAGTCCAAGTTCAGAAATCCTCCTATTACCACAGTCCCGATCCGGCCACCGTGCATGTTCCTCGGCTTGAGCGGAAGCTCATCAGAGAAGGCAAATTCCCAATCGGCTCACGAAGACGCCGCGCTGCTCTCGCCCACTCGCCAGGCATCCCTTTCGATGAATTGCCATACCAGTGCTTCCAGGAAGCCCGAAAGATCCTGATCGCCGACAGAGCGGAGAAGCTCAAGAAGATCGAGACGGAAAGAGCGCGCATTGCTCGGTTGCAGGAGGTCGATCCGAGCACCTTCCCGGGTGGAGATGCGTACAAGCAAAGGAGATTGAGGAGCATGACCCAGGAGCTGGAGAAGCTCAAGATTTTGGCCGATATCAATGACCCCAATGTCAAGAGGAGGTTTGAAGACGGCCAAGGTGCGCCGAAACCCAATACACTCCGGGTACACGGGCGCTGACAGACAACAGGTGACTTGAACAAACCCATCTACCGATTCTTGGCGGACAGGAAATGGCGCGAATACCCTCGGAAGGTTCTAGTTCAGCGAATTACACAGATGAAGGTTGTGCCCGACGTGATTCCAAACGTGGATCCTATCCTCGACGTGAAGATTGTGTTTGGCAATAGGGTGGTCCAACCTGGAGAATTCGTCGAGTCCCACATCAGCGAAAATCCCTGTCGCCTGACTCTACAATCCTACGAGCGAGGCGAGAAAATGATCACGATTGCTGTTGTCGATCCAGATGTGCCCAACGTGGAAACCGACGGCTTCGACTTCCGATGCCACTTTCTAGCATCCAACATTGTCATCTCCCCGACCCAACCAATCGTCGACCTGGGAACCCTTTCATCAGAATCTCAGGTCCTTCTGCCGTGGATGCCACCCTACGCACAAAAGGGGAGCCCGTACCATCGGCTGTCGATCGTTATCTTACAACACAAGGACAACATCCCCATTGACCTTGAGATTGCCAAGAAGAAGATCCAACGGGATGGGTTCACGGTCCGAAGTATGATGAGCCGCCATATGCTCAGCCCCATAAGCGCTTCCCTGTTCCGGACGCAGTGGGACGACAGTACCGCCGCGGTCATGGAGAGGGCAGGCATTGAAGGAGCAGATGTGGAGCTCAAGAGGAAGAAGGTTGAGCCTCTGCCGTACCAGCGGCGGGACACCTCGAGGATGAGAGGTTAAGATAGCTGGGCGTTTGCCCGTGGTGTACAATATCAGTGTCGATTTGCTCGAATCGTTTGCCAGGGCATTTTGTGGCCGCAATTCTAGTGTCGACCTCGCTCAACCGGGCAGGGAGACCTCCATGCCCATTTTCTCGTCCGCCAGCATCGCTGGTTGTAGCTGTGGTTTGCGCAATGACGTCCAATTGAACCAACCATCCCCAACATACAACGTCTTGCCCTGGATCAATGCCATCGGCACAGGACCGTGAAATCGAGAGTCCCTGCTATACGACAGATTGTCTCCAGCGACCCAAACATGCCCCTCAGGAACTTGTACCATGACAGGCTCTTCGCGGACGCCATCTGAGGCGCCTTCGTATAACCCAGGAATGCGAGCATCGCCGACAGTCGGAGAGAGGCTGGGATCGCGCACGACGTAGTCGCCCGGCATACCAATGACGCGTTTGCACGCCCTGCGGCCCTGAAACATGGGACTCTGATACACGATGATGTCGCCCACCTGGATATTCCTGCCGTGCTTGTGCCGTCGCGACAAGATGTTGTAGGATCGATGGCTGGGGATGGTCGGGTACATCGACGGACCTTCGGAGGGCTATGAATCAAAAATGAGCATCAATGTAATACCAATGTCTCGGCGAGGCACGCGGGGGCACGCGCCAGCACCTACCCCGTAGGTGACGAAGTTATGTGCAATCAGAGTCCACAGCGAGACTGCCGCGATGGATGTGCCCGCTACCGTTGCCATCGCTCGTGCGAAGGGCTGCGATGGTGCAGCGCGCAGGCGGGCCCAGAGATGCTGTAGCGCCAACATGATGACACGAGAGGGTGTGGCCGGGGGGTTGTCATTGAGGTCTGGACGGTGTATTGTAGAAGCCCCTCAGCAGACCAAAAAGAGCCGTCGTTTGTTACGCCGAGCTCGAGCAGCGGTTGTTCTGGCGGGCACGAACGGAGAGCGCAGTTAGCGACGCGGACATCCACAATGCACATCCATATCCACGTCCACGTGTCACGCGATACAGTACGAGTACCCAGTACTCCGTACTGTGCTCGGAGCTGGCTAAAGGACGTCCACTCCACGCTTCCTTCGACCGGGGTTGGACCTGCACGTGAGATTCGACCCTAGGAACTTCTGTACCTCCCGAGACTCTTTCAACGACAGCGGACATACGAGGTACGAACTTCGGACCTGCCTGGCTCCGCATGTCTTCTTAACCGGAAAACCCCTTTTCTCCGTTACCTGATCGCGTATTGCGCTGTAGCCGGAACGTCTGCGGATCACGATTTGCGACGCACCTTGGGTTAATTAGTTACCGGCTAGTTACTGGACAGCTTGATGGGTTGTGTAAGATAGGAATTGCGGACTACCACCAATCCATATCAATATCCATGTCGTGCCGGGCATCACAAGGGCTATATCTGTATACAGCTAAGCGCTCCATGCCAGGTATTTCTTTACGAGCTCTTCTGTGCTCCATACGTGTACTCTCTACTGTCCAATCTTCGCGGCGCAGTCGAGCTGGGCGACTCACAAGCCAAAGTAAGCGATCGAGAACGCTCTGGTCAAGGTGTACTCAAGGTGTTCCGCGCGGGTAAGGCCTCTCTGGAGTAGCAGGCCTCCAAATTGGTAGAGTAGAGTCTAGCCTCAGCGACTTGGCGGCGCGACCGGGTCAGAAATAGCAGTCAGCAAAGCGATACACTAGACAGATATCACCTGCATAGGACTTTCGCAGCACCACCAGGGCACCTGTGGGAGTCGTCCAATCCAGCACTTTGTACTGCGTACTAGGGATGCTCGTCATGCCATTTTACTGTAGAAGGCCGACCAGGCGGATCACGTCCACTTCAAAAATCTTAAGGAATGCCTCCTCACATGAGAACAGGGGTGCTATCGTGCAGGAGTGCTCGCTCGCCTTGATCGCCGTTCGGTTGCTTTTGGCATACTTGAAAGCTTTCGTGCCCTGATAGCCTTGCCTTTCGGGATGATGCAGCAGCGTGATGGTGTCTTCAAATACCATGCAAATGAATGCAAGATGCTGGAGAAACTCTGTAGAAAGATCTTCCTGCTCACATTCGGCGCTAGGTTGCACACCAACGTGCACGTGGACGGAACCCAACTCTGGACCTGTTGTGAAAAAGTAAGGTGCCTCTAGATTGCAATGCTTCGGAATCGCATTTAGGTGGTCGTGGAGCTCTTGCAGGCCGTTCGAATGGAGGCCGTCTGCGTCAAGCTCGGGCACTTTTAGTGCCCGTGAGATGAGCTCCAATCCAGTCAATTGCCAGTCATTGAAATCGGTGACCCTGATCTGTTGTTGGAATCTAGAGTGTTCCGTCAGCTCCTCGGCACTAGTAGGGACTGGCACTGCGTCCTCAAGCGTTAGCTTCCAGTTTAGATATTGATCCGACACATCTTCAGGATCCGAGTAGAGCCTCACTTCAAGCATAGGCGCGTCTTGTCCCGCATTCGTCCGAACGATCTTTGCAGCCTGTCGTAGTCCTGCAAGGTACAGCTCTGTGCGGTGCTGCTTGTCATCCGGGTTGTAGCTTTCGGGGTACCACTCAGGAAGTGACATGAGGACGCCGTCTGTTTCCACTGCGCAGTTTTCCGGACGAAGCCAGGCGTATTCCGGCTTGACTGCGACTTCGTTCTGCTTGATGCCGAAAAGATGCTCAATCTCGACGGCAAACGTCAATTTGAGCGGACTGGGCACGTCACCTGCCTCTGACATCAAGTATGCAATTAGTGCTTTTAGGGATATATGTGTTGGAAATTGCGTACCTTAGTTGACGTGAGTAAACAATCCTGCGGTCTTGTGTAGCCATTGATTGACTCGTCATGGGCAATATCGAGTATAAACCGCGCAAGGACAAACAAAGATGGAGTGAGCACGGACGTCGTAGAGAGAAAGGGAATCAAGACCTCGTGCTCCAAACAACGCATCGAGGTGCAAATCGGCTGTCTGCAACAAAGACAAGGTGAGAAAATAGATCGTTGGCCGAAGTGAACCGACAACCGCACCAAAGAGACAACTGTAAATGCCCAAAGGAAGGGGTTGAGGACCCGATCCTCGGTTTGTAAGGTGTCATAGCGCGCAAGGGTATCTGTAAGAAGCTGCAGGGAGGAGAATCGTCTGCATGGAGGAAGGCAGGTTGTCTGTAGGTGTCATAAGGTCTCAGTCGACGCAGAGATCAGTGACATTCTTGTCCTGCCTCGTATCACCACGAGTCGAAGTTGCCGAACCCGCCACCGCCTTTCGCCTTTTTGCGAACAGGCTCTTCCGGTTCATCGTCGACAAACTCGACAAACTCGTCGTCTTCAACTCCAGCCCCCTGGCTTGCAAGAGATGCTTGCAGGTATTTGCCGACTTTTCCTCCTGCATCGCCGGCATCCACAGTGCCGTCATTGCGTATCCGCTTGCCCGTCCATGTGGTGCGGTCTTGATCTACATCGTCCTGTCCCGGCTTCTCGGCCTCATTCTTCTGCTTCCAGAACTCCTCAAACGGGTCAATCAGCACGGTGGCCTCGACAATCTGGATCTCCTCCTTCGGCCGGTCGTTGCTGTCGACAGGCACGTTTTCGAGCCGTTTCAGCACTTCCATCGACTCGTCATCTGTATCATCTACCACGCGGCCGAATATCGTGTGTTTGCCATCGAGGTGACTCGCGGGTCTGTAGGTGATGAAGAACTGCGAGCTATTGGTGTTCTTGCCTTTGTTTGCCATACTCAGAACACCTCTCTTGTCGTGCTTCAGTGGTCCTTGCAGCTCGTCGTTGAAGTTTTTACCCCATATACTTTGTCCGCCTTTGCCTGTGCCCGTGGGGTCGCCACCTTGGATCATGAAGTTACGGATACTGCGATGAAAGATAATTCCGTTGTAGTATCCCTTCTTAGCCAGGCTGAGGAAGTTCCAAACAGCCTTGGGGGCGTACTCAGGGTAGAGTTCTAGGGTTAGTGGGCCGAGAGTGGTTTGCAATCGAATATAGCCTTTGGACTTCACTCGGCGGGGTTTTAGGATGTATTCTTCGTCTGTCATGGCCGCGAGAGCATTAGAGGTATGGACAGTCATGCCTGTCGAAGTGAAGGAGGCAGCTGCTAGGCCAGTTGTGTGCCTGGTTGCATTGTATGGCACTGGTTTCCCTGCTTGTGTTGTAGACGCTGGTCTCTTGCTGGCGGTGGTCGACTGCTGTGTTGAGGTCTTCTGCGCCTGGGCATTTGCTCGTTCAGCCCTTGCCTTTGCGACGGCTTCCTTCGCCTTCATGACTTTCAGGTCTGCAGCACCACCCAGGCTTGCAGCATTTATCGAAGCTTCCTCTTTTCGGATACCAGAATCTTCACCATCCTTCAGGTATTTAAACGAGCTGAGATTGCGCGATTCTATGTTCTGCGGGTCTTGTAGAGTGATAATATCCTTGCGCGAAAACTCGTCGTCCGACACCAGATCTCGCCACATTTTGGGTTTTATGTTCAGCCTTTCGATCGTGTCATATGCGAAGACGTTCGCGACATCGCCATGGCGGATGGCCACGATATGGGTGTTGTCTGTAAAAACTTTGAAAGTAACCGGGTCCACGTATTCACCCGCATCGTTTTTGGCGAAGTTGAGCTTGATGAGGTCCTGCTGCTTCATCGGCTTGCCATTTGTCGGATTCGTGTCATGTTTCAGCAGCCAGCGCAGAATGTTCTCGTGGTCGAATATTATGCCTTCGACTGTACAAACAGGAGTCGTGAAGGGCTGCAGGCTCAGTGCGCAGAAGTTGTAGGGTAGGCGTTTGAACGAGGCATGGCCGCTAGTGTCAGCGCGTACACCGGCGCCTGCACTGGCTGAGTAGGCGTCCGAGGAAGCCCATTCTGAGTGTGTGATCTATGCAATGTCAGTACGGCCTTCCAGATCTGGCATGAGTGCGCCCAGTCGTACGTAGAGTTTATCGGTCCCTGGAAAAGCTCGTCAGCATGCTGAAGCGAGCGGTAGACGGCGATCTAACCTTTGCCCATGGTGGGTTTCCGAGAATATATGTATGTGTGTTCGCTGAGGAAACTCAAGGTCTTTGTTTGATCGGATGCGGAGAACAAGTCTTGTGCCAGCCTTGTCCTCAGCCTTGTCCTCAGCCTTGTCGGCGTAGTCGTCGAGCCTCAGAGTATGAGGACACAAGAAACAAAATTGCGCCTAATACTGGTCTATTAAGGAAATATTCTACTCTATGTTCCTATGTGATTCGTGTATGCAGCCCGTCTATCTTCGCATGTCCGTTATTCATTGAGGATGACATTCATCGCGGTAATCCTAAGTACTTGAAGTACTCGGCAGGTCCAGTAGAATTCCAAACTTCCCTTTCCGTTCCAGTTATGGTCCACACAAGCCCCAGCATCGCAGCGGAGTTCGCCCCAGCTCCTCTGTCAAGTCCACTATGTCGCCGAGGAATCATGCACATCCACTCCTTAACAACGATCACGTTATAGTCGGTACCTTTGCCAGCTTCGCAGTGGCTTTGACGGACGCATCTGAGGAGCTTATCGTAGGTTCGCACAAGGGTATCCAGATCAGCACTCGTCGGCAGGAGAAGCACAAAGTGCTTGTGTGGAACGTTGGATATCTGCTCTGTGACATACACATCAGATTTTGCCTGGCTTGGGAACAGCTTAAAACCGAGTTCTTGTTCATTGGGGTAGGGCCAGAGCTGCATGTGCTTGTGGCCTTGGCTTGACCCAGATTCGAACCCGCAGTTGTAAATCATCATGTATGGTTCTTTGAAATGACACAGAATCGTCCAAGCAGCGGCTAAATCATTGCGGCTAAGACCATCTGCCTGTGGTGAAAACTCGCGGGTGATCAGCAGAAGACTGGGTCTGTAGACACTGAATTTGTTTACGAGCAAGAGGTGATATGGCCCAACTGGTGAGAGTACCTCACTTGGAGGTGGATTGAGAAATGGATTATGGCCTTTTCCGGTGGTGCGTTCTGGTGCATCCGCGGGCGTGATAGGTTTACGACGGAGATGAGGCGCAAATCGAAAGTTGACCTGAGTGAGTTAGTCAATACATCTACTGCGGCCGCCTGATTGTCGTTTGCTGCTCGGAACTTTGCAGGCGGCAATAAGGCACTTACCATGAACCCTTGGTCTTCAACAGTTTCAGCAGTCGAGGGCTCGTAAATCAACTGCCCCGTAGTCGTGAGCTGGTCGAATCTAGTAAGGCACAGGGCTTCCAGGCCTGCCGGAATGCTGAGCGCCCCTACAGATCTTGCATCCTGGTCTTGGTCTTCGGAACCCTCGCCCTCCATCGTGTATGTAGTTAGACAAGACAAAGCGGTGTTCAGGCTAGGCGGCTATGATGCTAGAGGGACAACAAGAGACTGTCAAGTGAAGTCGGCAATGGTAGCTGGCAATGCACCCGGAAATCAGGCGCCAATAATCAAGGAGAATATCTCATGTCCATTCGAGCATAATTGCTTTTAGGATGAATGCCGTTATGAACGCCGGGTCGTTTGAAAGATACCCAAGTTGATGTGGTATGCAGCCCGTAACCAGAGTCGATCCACCATATCGCAGTGGACGGAAAGCCAACTAACCCAGACCGCCGGTTGTAAGTGTGCTCTACCTTGAATGAAGTGGATTCATGAAGATCTTCGTCCACAACCATACCTGTGTAGCAAGGACACAGCGGAAATTGAATGCAGAGAAATCGGTGAAAGATGTCTGAGCGGGCTGGCATGAGTGTTTCACCGTAGTGAGCCTTACCCGATTGGGCCACGACTGGAGCTCCTCCCTACAGATTTATTTTCTGGGCTCGTGTCTGCATTCGAAGAACTCGACTTTCTATAGTGCTTGTCCTAGGTTTTGGCGGTTCTCCTTTTCATTCATTTATCCTTCTTTCCGGCGTCGCCATGGCTTTCTCTCGCTCGGTCACATCGCTTCTCCGCACATCCCGGCACATTGTGTGGCCTGCGCGCGGCCTTAATCCCGTCAACAGAGTCTTTGGCCATGACAGATTCGGCGCAAGAACTTATGCTGCTGTCTTTGAGCGGACGAAGCCTCATGTTAACGTCGGTCAGTATCAAGCCTGTGCTTGCTGATGACGTTGGTGCTGATGCTTTACAGGTACAATCGGTCACGTCGACCATGGCAAAGTAAGTCGCATCTGCATACTGTGGAGATCCATGCCCTGATCGCTTTCTCAGACCACCCTCACAGCGGCCATCACAAAAAGACAAGCAGAGAAAGGAATGGCGCAGTTCCTCGACTACGGCAAAATTGACAAGGCCCCCGAAGAACGGAAACGTGGTATCACAATTGCAACTGCGCATATCGAGTACGAAACGGACAACCGCCATTACTCCCACGTCGACTGTCCCGGCCACGCCGATTACATCAAGAACATGATTACAGGTGCTGCCCTGATGGACGGTGCTGTTGTCGTGGTTGCTGCAGGTGATGGACAGATGTAAGAGAATGCAACACCGATATTTGTGGATCACGAGACTTACATACCATAGGCCTCAGACAAGAGAACACTTGCTGCTTGCCCGTCAGGTCGGCGTTCAAAAGCTGGTTGTCTTCGTCAACAAAGTCGACACTGTGGAAGACCCAGAAATGTTGGAACTCGTCGAGATGGAAATGCGCGAACTCCTGGGATCATACGACTTCGACGGAGACAACACCCCTATCATCTTTGGTTCAGCTCTTTGCGCGCTTGAAGGCAAGAGACCCGAAATTGGCACAGAGAAGATTGATGAGCTCCTGAAGGCCGTCGACGAATGGATCCCGACCCCTGCCCGAGATACCGAGAAGCCTTTCCTCATGTCTGTCGAAGAAGTCTTTTCCATCGCTGGCCGTGGCACAGTTGCTTCCGGACGTGTCGTGCGAGGTATCTTGAAGAAGGATAGTGATGTGGAGATTGTTGGAGGCCGTGAAGAGGTCATCAAGACTAAGGTCACTGATATTGAGACTTTCAAGAAGTCTTGCGATGAGTCAAGAGCCGGTGATAACTCTGGACTGCTACTGCGAGGCGTCAAGCGTGAGGATATCCGACGTGGCATGGTTATTGCCGTTCCCAACAGCGTCAAAGCCCACCAGGAAGCTCTCGTGTCACTCTATATCTTGACGGAGGAAGAGGGTGGCCGAAAATCTGGCTTTACCGAGAATTACAAGCCTCAGGTCTACATCCGAACAGCAGATGAAGCTGCCCAGCTGAAGTTTCCTGAGGGCACTGAGGATACCAGCAGAATGGTCATGCCTGGAGACAACCTTGAGATGGTTCTGAAAACACACCACCCGGTGGTCATGGAAGCTGGTGAACGGTTCAATATGAGAGAAGGTGGACGAACCGTGGCAACCGGTCTCATCACCAGAATTCTGAAATAAGCCAAAGCTCGCATCATGACGGTCATGCCAGCACGGAAGAGAGGAATGCCGAGCCATCTACCCACGCCATGGAGCTATGTATCAAAAGTGTGATATCGTCGCCTGGTCTGGTCGCCTTCAAAGGTTCTTGTACATTCAGCTAGGGTTCGGGAATTGCAAAGAGATTATGACCACTAGGCCATTGTGGCAGCTCGGAGTCAATGGGAAGAAGGGCCTGCATATACCAATCAACCTCTCTACTTCAATTGAAAATGTCTTAACATGAACGTTCAATGGCTTCTATCCCAAACACTGTGACCCCAATCGACTCTCTACTGTAGCAAACCCCAACTCACTCTTCATGCTATTCCCCCTCAGACCCCATATCTTGGCTTTCGTCCGATCAGCACCACAATCCGTTGAACCACAGTTCCACCACCGTTCGGTTGTGTGCCGAATGTGGGAGCCCATCCTTTTCCTGACCATCTTTACGGCACTTCTCATCCGGGAACAGGTAATCTAAGCAAGGCATTCCAATTTCCTGGTAAGTCATTATACCGACTTCACATCATCAGGACATAACCTACGACAAGTTCTTTGCCTTCAGAAGCCCTCTCCAATCTACCCACCGGTCTCGTAGACGGTGTAGTGTAGTGTGCACATCCACTTCAATTCACTTCCATTCCAAATATGGAGGGCCGCTGCCAATGCGGCGCCGTCAAATTCCGCACCCCAGGCGACAAACCTGTAAAATGGTTCATCTGCCACTGTCTTGAGTGCCGTCGCCAGTCCGCCTCCGCGTTTGGCATCTCCGCCATCTTTCCCAACTTTGACCTCCTGGCGCAGAACCCGGGCACCGGTACCGAGACGGGCACAAGATCCGACTCTACAAACGACGCGACTTCACGCCCGAATCGGCACGAAAACGACCTGATAGGAACGTACACTCACTCGAATACGGCCTCGGGACGCTCGAAGCGGTGTTACTTCTGCAAGAAGTGCGGCACGCGGATCATGAATCTCAACGTCGTGCCGGGCGACGACGCGGGCGGGTGGGTTGCCGTCAAGGGGGGTTGTTTGGAGGGCATTCGAGGCGACGTGTGGACTAGTGCGACGCATATCTGGACGAAGAGTGCGTTGGTGGGCATCCCGGAGGGGGTGGAGCAGTGGGAGGGGGATCCACCGCCGCGACAGTAGGGGAGGCGGAAGTTGAATTTTGACAGTGAGCAAAGGCAATGGAGCTAGAGGTTGTATGCTCACCGAGCTGGTGTCCAGTAGATGGTTATGTAGTTGGGGATTGTGCAGCCAGCACAGCATGCATTGTACATTTCAACGTGACCCACTGCAGCGGGAGCAAATAGCGAACTGACGAGTGTGAGCTGATTGGAAGTGGCCTTTGGGTTTGTAATCCTGATCTTGAACAGAGTCGTGCCTATTTTCAAGTATACATCGATGGGAAGGTAGATTGAAAGGATGAGGAAGAGGGTAGGGTATCATGCACCAGAGAAGCAGGGTAGTTGTGGAGACATTTGCGATACACCGACGTGAAAGCGCTCAGAGTTGTATGATTGGTCTTTTCATGCCATTGTGGGACAATGCTGTACTTTCGAGATGCATTGCCATGCAGATATCGTGGTCCCTTTGTACAGAGGTAGTAAGGATGGAGGTGTTCATGTGACTGTCCTCGCTTTGAGCGTGCCTGTGCTCGCTGTGATCCCGTTTCGCAGACCCCTTCGTCCCGAAGCTCTTGAAATGCTCGTTGTGGTGCTTCGAGTGAGCTCCTTAACTTGCGGCGGCCAGGTTTCCCGCTGGCTCACTAGCTGGGGGCCCTTCAGCTCCTGTAAATTGAGCTTCCCTCTCTGCTCTTCGCCGTCTCTTCTCAATGAGCATTTCTTTTCTCTGGTGTAGCAGTTTAACTTGTCTGTCCTCCACGCCCTTCAACCAATATCCAAATGATCCTCCAATGCTCGCGAAGAGTGGGTAGACCCATAACGTGCCGCGTTGGAAGAACGGTCTCATCTCGATGCCGAGTTGAGCGAAGCGTGTGGCGATTCCTGGAACGGCCTGTTAGTATCGACTGGCGCTTGGCCCGAAACTCATTTGTTCATGCTGGTGCTGGCTCACCGAAACCGGCCCAGAAGAGGATCTTGTGAACCATGGTTGAAAATGTTTCGCGCGCTGTGCGCGGTCAAATATGCGGACAATTTGTTGTTGAAGCAGGGTTGGAGCTAAAGCTAAGATGGTTCAAGTCCTGGGTAATAGCTTTAGCAGCTGTGGTATTCTCGTCGTTGTCTTGGAGAGCTTGGATGTGATATATATCAAGGCTTAAGGAGCACGGCGTGAATCGATGCTGCGCGCAATTTTCCACTAGGCGTCAAGTTCTACACCGTACAAATGCGCTCAGATTCAAAAATGATCGACCGTATAAATTAAGAGTCCCATTACGGAGTACTCCGTACTCCGTACACCGTGTGGGCCTATGACTTGCCGTGGGAAGGATGAGAGAAAAGACCCATCAGGCGAGACAATGGACTACACAGCACAAATCTGGTTTTGTTGCAACGAATGTGCCAGATAATCCCATTGTCACGTTCTCCCGCAGTCTCAGATTGTTCCAAGGGGATCGCGATGACAGTGTTTTGCTTCGCGCTGGTGGAAAATCAACCGCATTTTCGCACGTGGCAAACACGGTGCTACTGGCTCAAAACAGCAGCGTGGCGTACGAACCTGAACCTTCAGTCCGCGTAGGTAGCTACACAGTACGTGCTGCTAAGGTACAGTTGAAGCACGTAGACTTCGGCCATGGAGGCATCTGTCGGGTCACGTATATGGATGGAAGAGAACTCGTACCAAATCCGGTATTTCACCATGCTGCCGGTGCTGCTAATCTTCTGTTTCATTCCATCGTCATCAGCGGCGATCGACGGGGTTTAGCCACAGACGCCCCGGGGTAGCCTGGAGGATTAGGAAAGGCCCCCCTTTTAGGGCAGCTTGTCTGCAGCCGAGCGCGGCTTTCCCTGTTCCTGCTCGCTTGGGGGCGTTGTTATTCAGCGTAATTCAGCGTGTATGGCCACCAGCGGCCAGCACCACCACAGCCCCGGCAGGGTCTCGGTTTTGATTGAGAGCAAAATTGCCACACCCAACACGAGACTTCGCGTGTCACTGATCCAGAGTCACCTTCAGCATCAATTCCCTCGACGCATTTTCCACCATGCTCATCATCGACATTAGAGTGAAGGATCAAGGCTTTCATCCCTGAAGTCTTGCAGAGTCCATGCCGACCGTGCGGCGGCTCTCGTGGACTAGCAATTCTGAACTGCGACAAACTTTGGGTTCCGACTCGTCCGAAAGCTCTTTGAAGAATGAAAGGCATTTTTCAGAGCACCCGCGGAACAAGATGAGGCTGCGCGTGCACATTCGCGATCAGCTATGTCTTCTGATTCTTCTCACCAACCTCCTGGCGTTAATGGTCCTGGCCGTCTCCACCTGGTACCAGAGCGTTCACTATCTCAAACAGGCAAAAGCCCAGACGCTGGTGGTGACCGCCAACCTCAAAGCCGACCAAGTAGCCCAGCAGATCTCCCTATTCAGATCATCAGTACAGCAGATCTCGACAAGACAGGTGCTCCAGGATTTTATGCGAGATTTCAATAATGGCAACCATTCGGAAGAGCTATTCGAAAGTATCAAGGTCAGGAGCTGGAGATTTCCTCCCAAGTCGGAGATGCTAATTTCAATGCAGAACAACCTCGAAGTTACTCTGTCGGACGGCTATGAGAATGCCATTCTTCTTCAAGCAGCTGTCTTTCCACGCGCTACGACGCCTGACCAAGGAAACCGCGCGCTTACGTACTTGACCGGGCCAGGAATCACTGGCAATATCGCGCTTCCAACCACGTATGAGAATGGCACGCCCGTCATGCTCGGCGAGGACGGGCCTGGGTATCCCCCTCAACTCTACCCTAATCTCACGTACGACCAGACATCGGACGCTTACAATGCATTCTACGCGGACAAGCTCTTGGACAACAACTCGACCTTGTTGTTGGGTCCGCTGTTTCTGCGGAGCAACTCTTCCCTTCTCTCCTTGACGCTTCCTATAAACAATAATACCAGCAGGGTCGATATTCTCGGTTGGCTGACTGTTGTTTTGGACGCCAAAGCCCTCTACGATGTTGTTGGATCCCGTGTCGGACTCGGGAAATCTGGAGAGGTTGTCATTATTGGCCCTGGCGGCCGTCCCGACAACTTGTTCGCGGAACCGGTCGATGGTCGTACCGCAATCGAGAACGCGAACGTCGCACTACAATTTGTTCTTCCTCCGTACAGCAATCGCCATCCTGCGCGCGCTAAGGATCCATATCTGCCCTTTCCTATGAAGGATTATCCGGCAATCCTTCGTGCTTGGTCAGATATAAACGGCGAGCTCAACAATGCTGGAGGATTGATGTCCACCCACAACGAAGAGGGGTTCAGAACGTCGCTTGGCTACGCCAGAGTATCGTCCGGTATTGTCGACTGGGTTTTGGTTTTCGCCCAGTCACATAGCGAGGTCGTCGCACCCATCAATCAGCTACGAAGAACGGTCATAGCATCCATTTTTAGTGTCGTTGGCGCCATCATGCTTGTGTGTTTGTGAGTATTGCTAGTGGTAACCGTCGGAGTCTTTGCCATGCTAACTGAAGCGCAGCCCGATCGCCCACTACGCCGTGAAACCGATCATCGCATTGAGAACTGCCGCCAAGAATTCAGTCACCACTTACGAAGCATATGATCCGTCTGCAAAATCGGATACGGCAAGCGAGAGTACCCTGGAGAAAACCGACCTTCTTCAAGAGAAAGGTCCTCTCCAGAGCGTTTGTAAACGGTCCGCTAAGAAGAAAAATCTCGTCCGCCCCGTGCGAGTGTTTAAGATTCCTGAACGAGTGCCAGAAAGGAAGCATCTCGTCTGGGATGAGCTGTCAGAACTCACCGGCACGTTCAACGAGATGGCGGACGAGCTTTCAATTCAATACCGAAAACTGGAAGACCGAGTCAAAATGAGAACTGCCGAGCTCGAGCAGTCAAGGAATGCCGCCGAAGCTGCCAATGAGAGCAAAACCTTGTTCATCGCCAATGTCTCGCACGAGCTAAGGACGCCGCTAAACGGAATCATTGGCATGTGTGCTATTGCGATGCAAGAGGAGGATATGCACAGCGTACGGCAATCTCTGAAGATCATTTACAAGTCTTCGGATTTGCTCTTGCATCTACTCAACGATCTGTTGACCTTCAGCCGCAGCTCGATTGGCCAAAACTTCGCGATTGAGGAGGACACATTCCGGCTTGTCGACATCGGCTCACAACTAATATCCATCTTCGAGAAGCAGGCATCCGAATCAGATATTAGTTTGCGGGTGGTTTTCATTGGTACAGAGCCGCCAGTACCAGGAGATTTCGACCAAGAAGCCCAAGAAGATGTTATCGTTGCACGTCATGACATGACTGGCGCCATACAGAGGCAGAAGACCAACGTCTTGGCCAAGGGTCCCGCCGACATTGGGCCACTTCGGGAAGTCGGTTTAAGAGGCGACAAGAACAGGATCCTTCAGATTCTGATGAGTAAGTCCGACCCCCATGCACTCTTTGTGGACTCCAGTTTCGTCTGCCTGACCCGGAGGTTTTCCTTGCGTCGCAGGATCACGCGCAGAGGTGTGCACAGACTGACCTGTGGCAGATCTCTTGAGCAACGCATTAAAATTCACACCCGCCAAAGGCACGGTAGAAATGCGCATACGGTATAAAGGATTCGTTGAGCCCGAAGATATGCCCGAGGTCAAGTACTCAAATTCCAAGACTTCACAACAAGCGACACTTTCGAGGACGTTCCAGCGCGTTAGTCCCGAGAAGTTCCAGCCGAAGTCATCTCTGAAAGGGCTTCTGTTTGACTTTGAGGTCGAAGATACCGGCCCTGGCATTCCCGAGCACTTGCAGCAAGACATCTTCAAGCCCTTTGTTCAGGGAGACTTGGCTCTTAGCAAGAAGCATGGCGGTGTTGGTCTCGGCTTAGCCATCTGTTCGCAGCTTGCGGGCATGATGGGTGGAACCCTCCAATTGAGGAGCACCGTTGACATCGGTAGCACTTTCACATTCTCCATACCCCTGCGGTATACCAAAGAGGTCGTACCCTCTGTCACCGACTCGCTCGCCCGACCGAGGGCTGGTAGCATTACCAGCAGCGTACAGTTCGAAACCTTCACCACAAGATCGGGCAAAACGCGGGATGTTCGATCATTGCAGTCAAGACAGAATTCGCTCTATTCGACCAACCAAGACAGAGACTCCCAGCTGGACGTGCCGCGCCTTGTTGGGTTTTCTCAGCCTTATTTGATTGATGCAAATATGAGCTCAGAAAACGTCGAGGGGACGGCACCGCACCCACCACAGAGCAAGCAAGAGCGGAGCCAGAGCTTTCCATCACAAAGCTCCCGGCTGGCTCCCATACTGTCCGTACCGACACCTGAAGAAAGAGGTGATCGTCCGGAGTCGAAGCTGCGAGAGAACGAGAAGGCGCAGAAACCTTTGGAGAGGAAGTCATCACTGGCCTCCCCAAGTAGCTCGGGTTCTCTCAAAGTGCTTGTTGCCGAAGACAACCCAGTCAATCAACAAGTCATTCTGAAACTGCTAAAACTCGAGAAGGTGCTCGACGTGACTTTGGCTGAGGATGGAGAGCAAGCCGTGAACATCGTCCAGAAGTCGCTGGCCGCGCCAGAGGACGAGAACGAAAAGCCAAAGCATTTCTCACTGGTCTTGATGGACATCCAAATGCCCAAGATGGACGGCATTCAAGCAACGAAGAAGATCCGGGAGCTCGGCTTCGATGCACCAATTCTCGCCCTCACAGCTTTTGACCACGAGAGCAACCGGGCAGCTTGCGAGGATGCTGGCATGAACGGTTTCCTGCCGAAGCCCATTAAGAGAACGGCACTGAGAAACGTACTAGAAGAGTACAAGTCCCCGGTGGCAGGGGATGCAACAGGCGAAGCGCCAGGGGATGCCAAGGGCAATGGAGAAGGCAGCAATTCAGGTTAAGCTGCGACGACTGGAGGACGTCACGTGAGACTACGTTCCATGGCCCTGGGAAAGGGGGACTACCAGATGTGTACAGCATGCATAGCGAGGGCTGATCGAAGTCTGTAGATTTGAAAATGGCTTTGGATTGGAGCTACTCATGAATATCGAACATTGATGCATTCGGGTCATCAAGGAGACGACCAGAATCAACGCGACCATAGGGGTGTACAGCGTCTACGTTCTGTTGTCATGTCTTACAGCCCCTCGCCTCATTTCGCATACAGGTCCCCTGGGTGTAACCTCGAGGTGGATATCCTGGCTTAATGTTTTTATCCACCGTCCGGAGATCCTTGAGTGCACGAGGCTGAGAACCGCGCAAGGCTGACGATCATTTAGCGGGCCACTACTCCGCCGTAATTCCCTGACTTTCAAACGCGCAATTCGCGTCTATCATGAACTTCATTTTCTTCCATATTTCTGCTGCAAGCGTACCCAGGCCGCGGGTTGCGGCACTCCTGCTACAGCAACCATGGCCGACGCCATGATGACTGACGCGCCCGCGATTGATTCCGACGCGCCCTTCTCTCTTCGCCCTCGGTTCAAAATCTCCGATTTGCCCTTGGTCAAAGAACAACGCTCCACCATCGACGCCCTCCTCCTGAAATTCAAGAAACAAGGCGGCTATGACTCCCTGCGGAAGCAAGTCTGGGCAAGCTACAATACATCGGACGCGAAGACGGCGTTGACGGATCAGATCCACACCATTGCAGAGCAGGAGATCGAGAAGGATCCCAAGCTTTTGAGCAGGGAGAGGGGCAAGGCCGCTACGCTCATTCAGGGTGCCGTGGAGAGGAGCGGGATCTACACTGATGTGGAGAGCCGCATTGACGTCGAAATTGCAAAGCATCTGAGCACGGTGTTGGATGCGGTGCGGGATATCCGACGCGCAGATGTCGGGGTCGAGGTTGCCGCGGAAGAGGAACAGAGGGGCGGCAAGAGTGATGAACAGTACTCGCAAGAAACCCAGAACCGGGCTGCTGAACGGGAGAGGAACAGGTCCAGGATGGAGCAACTGCTTCGGGAAACGGCGGAGCTGAAAGCCAAGATCAAGGCGCAGGAGGAGAAGAAGCGCAAAGAGGAAGAAGCCAAGCGTGAGGAGGAAGAGAGGAAGAGACGCGAGGCAGAGGCGGAGGAGCGGAGACTTGCGAGAGAAAAGAGAAGAAAGGAAGAAGAAGAAAAAGAGGCCGAACGCATCAAGGCTCGAGACGAACGACATAGGAAACGTGAGGAGGAGAGACGGGAAAGACATGCTCGATACGAAAGAGAGCGAGACAGGGAACGAGACCGCGACAGAGACCGAGACCGAGAGCGCGACCGTGGCCGTGACCGTGATCGTGAGAGAGACCGCAGTCGAGATCACGACCGTGAAAGGGAGCGCAGACGAAGCGCTGATCGCCGCGGTTCGATCGCAGAATCAGCCACCGTGACCACCACTAAAGACGTGGCACAAACGGACGAAAAGGATCTGGAAGCCACGGCGCTTGAGCTGCTCCTCAGCGAAGGCAAGAAAATGGCCGAAAAGGCTAAAGAGCGACCTGCGTATGATTTTGAGAAGTCCGAACTCCACGATAGTTCGCGCAAATATGCTTCTACCTCCGATCGTTATCCCCGAAGAACGAGAGACAGGTCTCGAGACAGCCACAGACGCCGAAGCAGATCTCGGGAACCCCGGTCGTCTGTTCAAGAAAGGGAAAAGGATAGGTCCCGTGATAGGAGGTCCTCTGTTGTTCAAGAAAGGGAGAAAGATAGGTCCCGCGACAGGAGGTCCTCTGTTATTCAAGAAAAGGAGAAGGGGAAGCCTGATACGCCTCGCGCCAGAAGTCCAAGCAAAGACCGTGAAGAGGGTGAGGCACGCAGTCGACAGAATTCTCCATCGCCAACCCAGGAAAAGCGAACGACCAGGGAAACTCGGGAAAGGAGGCCTCGGTCCGCGTCACCACTGGGCATCGACCGCTACGTTCCTGGCGGAGGGACTCATCGGACTGAGGAAGAGCGCGAGCGTGATCGGCAGAGGCGTCATTTGAGGGATTCTGAAAAGGACTCGCGCAGAAAATACGACAGTCACCGAAGTGACCGGGATGGCGGTGAACGTGATAAAGATAGGGACCGTGATAAGGATCGAGTCGATGCAGATCGTGATCGGGACCGGGATCGAGACCGCGATCGAGGCACTCGTGACCGGGAGAGTCGGAGAGACCGGAGCCGCGAACGCGATAGGTCTCGAGACCGTGACAGGGACAGATACCGAGAGCGAGAGCGAGATCGTGGTGACCGTGACCGGGATCGTGAGCGGAGTCGAGACCGAGATCGCGAGAGAAAGAGATCTCCATCTCGGGATCGAGATCGTGACCGCGACCGCGACCGCGACCGGGACAGGAGAGATCGAAGCCGCCGCCGCGATGACCGAAGAGACGACAGACGAGACGATCGAAGAGACGACCGCAAGGACGACCGTCGCGATGATCGAAGAGTTGACAGGAAAGACGATCGGCATGATGACCGAAGAGACGACAGGAAAGATGACCGGCGTGATGATCGCCGCGACGACCGCAGACGGGAGCGCGACCGAGGTGGCGACGCCGGTCGAGACCGCGATTCTGTCAAAATTGATCGATATGTCCCCGGGCGTTGAAGGGGCTTGTGCACCGAACAGTCGCCAGGTCATCGTTGCTGGTCTAATCAGGAATAAACACCGACGTACGAAGCACCTCATCCCACGGTCAACGCGCGTATCGGGCCAGGTCGACCCATTGCCGCTGAGCTTGTTGTCGGTAGGGAAGACTGGAATGATCCCGTCATCTGTACCTGCACCTGTGACTGCTGTCGACTTTGCATCGTCTGCATGCCCACGCCACTCCCAAGCCCAATCTTATCGGCATGTCTTCGATAGTTGAAATCGGCGCTCGGTTTTGGTCTCAGATCCGATGAAAGGCCACTGAGGATAGCTCGCTCCAACAACAGAATACTCCGAGGATTGTCGCCCTGCTTGGTCCATATCGAAATATGCGTAAAGTTGGCCCGAGGCGAGAAGGACAGGCCGAGGATATGGTCCCTTTCTGGCACGGTAGACAAGAGTCAACACGCCGGTTTCATGCGTGATACGTGGAGCGTGGAAATGGAACCAGACATCACATAACATACCTTGAGCTATCACACTCTGCAACTCACCGCCCAAACACAGCAGGCAAACCTCCTCCCATGTCCTCACGTCTTTCCTCCTCCCGTCTTGTCCTTTGCTGTGTTCACTTCTGACTCGCGCGTCTGCATGTGCATTTGAACGCGCATCTGCTTCTCCATCTGCAGGCGCGCCCGTTCCGGGTCTCACGCGGATCAACCACCGCCCTCCCCTTTTGTTCTCCTCGTCCTCCCACAGTGGCCTGACTCCCGCGCGGAAAATGTGGATACTATCGCCCCGTCGGATCGACGTCCACGGCAGATTGTTGAAGATGCGGTAAAAAGCCCCGATGTCGGCCACGTTCTCGACCAGCAAATTCAACTGATACGCGTCGAGCACGGGCTGGGGGCAGAAGAACGGGCGTGGCGGTTGAGGTTGAGGTTGCTGCGTCGTGCTGGCGACGGGACCGGCGGATTTGGAATGCCACACCCACCAGAGGTACTGGAAGGGGAGGGGCCTCAGCTTTGTGATCAGGAGTTTGTGCAGCGAGGAGGAGCGGCGGGGGAGGCTGGGTCGACACGAGGAGGGCTCCGAGGAGGCAGGATTATCGTTGCCGTTGCCGTTGCCTGTGCGGCGGGGTTGTGTCGCTGTCGCTGTTGCCGTCGCTGCTGTTGATATGGAGAGTGAGGGTGAGGGCGAGGGTGAGGAAGAGGACGTGGTGATGGCATTGGAAGAGTGGATCCTCGTGTCCCTTGCCGTTGGCAGTGTCGTCGTTGATGTTGTGGTTGTTCTGGCTATTGTAGAAGACATGATCGCGGGAGAATGATGGACGTTCGATATTGAATGTTGTACAGGAATTAGGGAATATAGAGTATTCCGTTCTTCTCCTCGGGATCGAAACAAATAACCCGAGTGATCGATTCCGCTACTGTACATGTAGCGATGTATAGGCACGCGGATGGTTCACCGGTTCGGTTGACTACGGGTTATAGTAACGGATGCTCGAGCTATCAAAGTCTCACATAATTAAAGCCACTCTCATCTTTTATCACCATGCTCGCCATCTTCGAAACGTGGGTAACGGCCCAATCGACCGACCGTTGGGTGACCGTTGGTTGACCAAGGTCACATTCGCCATCCCTCCCATCCGCCCATCCATGCGACCGTGGCGCCCAGATCCTGCATGAACATGTCGTGTCATGTCGTCCAAGCGATCCGACAAGCGGGACGCGTAGGTACCCTAGGTATGTGGTAGGTAGAAGGGTGGCCATCCACAACTTCCTACATACTGCGTACTCCGTATCACGTCCGGGACGACCTCCCGTCTCCCACCTGTCGACTCTCACCTCTCACATCCTCGTTTCGACAACCTGAAACACGACCCCGGCGTGATTGTGGAGTTTGTCGTGCGTTGAATGCGCGGCTTTACGCGCCAGCCGTGAGGTTGACGCTCTCGAGACTCCGGCAATTCATTGGTTGGTCGGCAGCGACCCCTGGACTTTCCCCCTTGGGCGCGAGGCTGTGGCGGCTAGGGGGCCTTCGGGACTGGCTCCTACATGTGTAGGTGCTCGGCTGTGGGCTGCTTGCTCGCAGATTCGACCTTGGGCGTTAGGCCTGGAAACGACACGACACGACATGACATGACACGACAAGGTCCACTTCGGCCTGAATCTCGTAGACACAGTACATGTTTTGTGGTCCGGTTGGAAATCTGTGGAATGGTGGAAGGATGAAGGGCGGAAGGTGGAGATCCGCATGGCATGGGCGCGCATGGCGCGCTTGAGGACCTGCCTGGTAATGGGCAATGGGTACTACCAAGTAGTATGCTGGCCAAGTGCTTTACATAGTACTCTGTACACCTTCCGATTCCGATTCCGGTGTCAGTTCGGGATCGGTTTCAAAAATATAGGTGCGGCCGTTGAGGTGGCGGATACTGTAAGTCAGCCGAGCCGTTGGTCGGTGTTGGTCGCGTTATCGAAGATATGTACAGTAACTTGTGGAGGGCCGGTCGCGGGCTTTTCAATACAGCTAGGCCGTCGATTGGTGTCGACCTTTGTATGTACATCAGGGACGTAAGTGCAAAGATGGGTAGGTCGGCCGTCGTGACGGCGAGGAATCCAGTGCGTAATATGTACATACGTGTGCATCTAGGACTAACATCCTACTGCGGGTGAGTTATGCGCTTCCCATACACCAAGCTGCTGTATAGGACTGGGTGAGGATGTACCCTTCTTGTGAGTCAAGATGCATGCAATCTGGCACAACACATCTCTGCCACTCCTACGATGTATAATGTCGTCCTTTGACGGTCCTATTCCGGTTGACACGCTTGGTCCAGCTCTCGCATAAAAGCAGCGACCGAGGCAGAGGCTGACACCGGGTATCGCAACTGGGATGGTGGTGTACGCTACGACGATAGATATCAGTGTCGCCATGCCCGGTATTGCTGGCTGTTTTTCGTCCGGAGAAATGAGCAAGCCGGCTTGGATCCATCGCCAGCGATATTGCCAATATTGCCGAAGCCACCGAAAGGACAGCTCCCCTGCCCCGTTCCGATTGTCCATACCAGGATGCGTTTTGAACTGCGCGCCAACACTGGGAGAGAGAGCATCAGTGAAGGCCGCACAAGCACAGCCGCTGGAAGCTATACGCAGTAACGGATCGCCCTGGCGCACCCTCGAATCCATTCAGGATAAACACCTGGGAGACATATTCGACGCGGAAAGGCACTAGCGTCAAGGCCGATCACAGCATATGGGCTGCGATAAAGACACATCGCGGCGGTGCAACAGTCAAGATCGAATGTCGATGGCATCTGAAATACAGCATAGCTGACGATGTAGGTCGTGTTCATGTGGTTCTGTCATCTTTGCCGTGGGCATGAAGCGCACCGCCCTGACGGCTGATGTAGCCTGTGCTGTAGCTTGCGCCGTTGGCGCCGAAAAGAAACCATATCAGGGAGAAGTAGATCAGGACGGTTACGTCGAGTTTGGTCAGCAGAGTCATTTGCGCACTGGTCTCGTTCTTCGAACAGAGCCATGGCTGATTGAGGCTTTGGAAGCCTCAGAGGTAGACGAGGAACAGATTCAGCAGCTGACATGAGCAAGGCGATGATTCTAGGCGTGGCTCGGCTGTAACCTCGTGGACGGCCATAGACGCCGCCGTTATGCAATGGTACAATCAAGATAGGATGCTCGATGGAGCAAACGGTGATTATCGGCTACGCACATGGTGCAGTTGCAAGGGCGAAGGAGTCACAACAAGCCTACCTGCGTAGTATTTCATCCAAACGAATGCTTTCTACTCCTAACAGTACTTGTCTTCTCAACTCCCGGGTGTGGGCACCCCGAATGGATAGCTAGAGCTTCCTGGCATCCTGCGCGGAACCAGCTGGGGACAGAATTCGAGCGCAGAGAGGGTGCGTGAAAGGACCACCAGCTACCCAACAACAAAGGCTGACCCTTGAGTAATTCACCTCGCTCGGCAGCTTTCGACTAGAAGAACTTGCACTGTCGCGGCCTTTTCCCTTTCCCCCAGCTGCAAAGCGTTTATCACAACTCATCATGGCGCAGTTGCATCTTTTCCACCTTCTCCTTCACATCCCTGGGCCAGTAGACGTGTTCACCTCCGCCTCCCCACTTGGTTGAAGGCAGGTCTTTTCTCTTTTCCCAGATCGCAGACGACGGTAGACGCTCCTTCAATCTTTCACTAACCGCATCCACCTCGTCCATGATTCTCATCAAATTGCCACCCATGACACCGCGCATTTCTTCTGGTGTCCAGCCGCGTGACAAAAGTTCGGCGACCTACCTGTGTAAGCGGACGTGGCATATGATCCGGAGAGACTTACTATGTTCGGATATTTGCTGGCATCTTCCAGCCCGTCCACTGTGGTCCACATGCCGTCAAAGTCAGAGGCTATGCCGACACGATTCCTACCGACAATGCCCGCGATATGCTCCATGTGGTCGGCAACACGCGAGATGTTCGCGCCAGGATTGGGGCCGATAAAGGGCGGGAAGAAGATGGACTGTATAACACCGTCTTTCTGTCCTGGGCCATCGCCAATCAATCTGAGGACATCATCGGGTACATTCCGCGGATGGTCCCAGAGTGCACGCGCTCCTGCATGCGTCCAAACTACGGGCGCCTCAGACACAGCGATGGCCTGCCTCATAGTCGCGTCAGTCGTGTGGGACAGATCCACCATGATACCAACGCGGTTCAATTCTCTGACAAGCTCTTTTCCCAGTTCTGTTAATCCATTTCCCTCGTGGGCTTGGGCTATCGGCGTTCCGGGTCCCGCAGACGAAGCAAACGCACTATGACAGGTATGTGTCAGGGTTAAATAGCGAACTCCAAGTTGAGCGAAGATTCGAAGCACGCCCAGGGAGTTGCCCAGTACATGGGTTCCTTCCATGCCGATCAGGGACGCGATCTTGCCAGCTCCAAAAGCATCCCACACCTCGGCCGATGATCTCGCGTATTGTAAATCCCCGGGATGCCGTGCGATCATGTTCTGAATGATGTCGAGCATCTCCATCGCGTCGCGGAGGTGGTTCGTCGGCGTGTTGAAATCAGGCCCGGGATCTTCGTCAACCACATCATAACAGGGCGCCCAGACGGTCCAGAACGCTCCGCCCAAACGGCCTTGTCTCATTCTCGGAATGTCCACATGGCCGGGGAAGGAGCCGTTCAGCTGGGGGAGAGCATCAAGTGGTCGTCGGTCTGTATCGACAGTCAAACATGTCTCCCAATAGAGAGTGCCCTTGACAAGTATTACTCAGACTTCTGATAATCTGCGGCAGATCAATGTGTGTATCGAGGAGCGGACTTTCTTCCATCAACTTGATGGCCTGGTCCAAGAAACCACCGGCAGCGTCACTTGCACTGTCGACATGTGCAATGAAACCAAAGGTAAGCAGCAAAGCTGCTGTGGGAAGCATCTTGAACATCGTGAACATCCAGGGAAGTCGAGGTTTGCAAGAGCCACAGATACGCTGGACTGTAGCTTCGACGTTGAAGTCAAGAGTGAGTCTCATGTGTTTATAGGCGCCTCCAAACGCATATGGAGCAAGTCATAATGCGGGTATTTTATCGGCGAGAATTCCGTGCCTCAGGTACAGAATGATCCCAGTGGATGCCTCACAATTGTAGCCCGATAAGGCGAGTCGGGTCTCTGCCGTAGTACGGGATCTTCTTATTCCGTGGTCGACGCCATGCGTTTACTCGGTATCCATATACATAACCGGTCAGAGCGGTTTCCGAATCGATCATAATCCTAGCACTAAATTGACCTATCTGTGTCGCCAAGAACCTCGAATTTGCTCCAAGCACGGGATTCTGGATCAGCTTCATTTACAAAACCCATTAAATATCCCTGTCCAAGATCGACTCCAGCAACATCAGGTTGCAATCCATATTTAAAGTTAGCGTTGTGGGGGACAGCCAGTCAATTCCTTCAACAACCTTCTGAAGATGTCTGAACATGCAGATGAAAGGCCGGTCAAGCAACGGAAAACGCACGCGCCACCGCTGGTACAGGATATCAATGTTTGGGCAGATGACGACGTATCATCGACGACCTCTTCATCTTCTTCAGAGATTATATTGCCTATTCGACATGCACAGCTTTCGCGTGGGGTCATCGCTCCACCTGGTGAAGACGAACGCTCTACTGAAAACGAGAGTATTGGCGCAGAAGACGAAGAGGAAACAACCACATCCTCAGAGTCTACAGACACAGAGAGTGACAGCACGTCAGAAGGAGAGTCGTCTGAGGAGGAGGCGGCCGTGCATGACGAGGTGACCAGGGCGCTACCATCTAAGAGGAGTCCGGCGTCAGAGCACGATCTCGAGTCGCGTCTGCAGGCCTTTTTGCCACAGCTACAGCAGGCAAACGCTGAGCTTGAGAGGTTGGGGGCGTCACACGACAGGATGATTGATCAAGTATCGGATGATGCAGACCAATATATCGAGATGGACCTGGGTGTAGGAGTCCTGGCCGAGCAAGAAGGCGAGACTCGGGAAGTAAGAATACCACGGGCGGAAGCGATGGGTGACGAATCCAGCGAGGTGGAAGACATGAGAGTCAGTGTCGACCAAGTGCAAGGAAACTCATCAAGGACAAAGCGAAAAATCGAGGAGCTTGGATGAAATGAAATGAGCTCGAAATGAGACGAATGAGAAGCGCAGGTGAGATAGGAATGAATCTGGAGTGAGTTGAGATGAATCCGAAGTGAGTTGAGTTTGGCGGGCTGCGGGGGCAACCGACGGCGACAGGAGAGAAAACTCAACGTGCGTCATTGTTTGGATCTAACCCGAAACTCTCCCAACGGCCGGCTCTGCGACTCCACGATCAACCCAGACGGCGACACTAGCGGCCGGCCTAATAAGCATCGTCGCTTGACCTTCTTTTCATATATGTTTCACTGCGCAGTCGATATCTCACTGTCATCGAAGGGTGCATCGAGCTTTTGGATAGAGAGTTCACAATGGTGCCGCCGGCACGCACAATCTCCCATGACGCGCGACCAAAAACTCCCTCAACCGCCTCGAGTCCTTCGCTGAGGTCGAAGACGCCTGTGAATGTCGCCATGGCGCCAAACAACGGCCTGAACCCCGGTGGGAACGTCAAAGTTGTGGTCAGAGTCAGAGCGTTTCTGCCTCGAGGTGAGTACTTGTGGCCTCCAAGTGACTGCTGTTAATCTTTCATTGCAGAAATAGAGAGAGGCGCACAATGCTTAATTCAGATGAACCCGCACACTCAATCAACGAAGCTGTTAGCACCGCCCTCGACCGACCCTGCAAATTCACGAGCACAGACCAGAAAAGTGGTGGATGAAAAGTTGTTCACGTTTGACAATTCGTTCTGGTCCCACAACCCGAGGGACGCACATTATGCCACGCAAGAGGATGTGTACAATTGCTTGGGAGAGGAATTCCTGGACCACAACTTTGAGGGATACCATACGTGCATCTTTGCCTATGGGCAGACCGGTTCAGGGAAGAGTTATACCATGATGGGGACGCCTGAACAGTCAGGGTTGATACCGAGAACATGCGAAGACTTGTTCCAGCGGATCGAAGCCAACGAAAGCGCCAACATCAGCTACAGTGTGAGGGTGTCCTACTTCGAAGTCTACAACGAGCACGTCAGAGACCTATTTCAACCGCGAACCGATCCCCCTCAGTACCTCAAAATCCGAGAGTCTCCCACCGAAGGACCTTACGTCAAAGACCTGACAGAAATTCAGGTGAAAAATTACGCCGAAATCCTGAAATACATGCGAATGGGCGACAGCTCGAGAACTGTGGCGTCCACCAAGATGAATGACACCTCTTCTCGGTCCCATGCAGTCTTTACCATCATGCTGAAGCAGATCCACCATGATTACCACACAGATGAGACAACCGAGAGGCTGGCAAGAATACGGCTCGTCGACCTGGCAGGATCGGAGCGAGCAAAGGCAACAGAGGCCACTGGGCAGAGATTGAGGGAAGGTGGAAACATCAACAAATCACTGACCACGCTTGGGAGGGTCATTGCCGCCCTCGCGGACCCCAAGCACTCTCGAATGCACAGCAAACAGCGATCGAACCGCGACATTGTACCTTATCGCGACTCGATCTTGACGTGGCTGTTGAAGGACTCGCTTGGAGGCAACTCAAAGACTGCCATGATCGCCTGCATCGCTCCGTCAGATTATGACGAGACACTGTCGACGCTCCGATATGCAGATCAAGCCAAGCACATCCGCACCAAAGCTATTGTCAACCAGGATCATGTCTCATCTGGAGAGAAAGACGCCCAGATCAATGAAATGGCAGAGACGATTCGAGCATTGAGGTGGACTCTCAGCCAGCAGCAGCAGAATGGTAGTGCCTCTGTCATGAAGGCTGTGCAAGAATCTGCCGATGCCCAATCAGAGAAGATCCGGGAATTCACGACCAAGTACGAGAACATGCTGCAGATCATGGAAGAGAAGCTGGCGATTTCGGAGTCCAAGGTTCGACAGCTGGAGGAAGAGAAGGAAGCCCTGAGCATCCACTTGAAACTTGTCCTCGACGAGCTCAAGAACCCCATCATCATCAACAAGGAGGAAAGCGAGTCTGTCGGCGAGAGGTCTAGAGTCCCTACGCCTGACATGATATATGAAGATGAGACGGCATCAAGTGATGAGATGGAGACCGATTCCGAAGCTGATGAAGAGGCCATGGAAATGCAAGCCGAGATGGAAGCGTTGATTTCTGATCTGGGCATGTTCAAAAAGAAGATCGCGGCCGACCACGAGACGTTCGGAATTGGCGTTGCGGCATGAAGTGGAAGCTCTAGATTTTGAATCATGACAATCGGATAGCGAGGCGTTCGGATGGTGTGCTGCTGGATGATGAAAGCACCAGTAAATGGGTTGAACCAGGCTTGGTAGCAAGAGAAATTTCGACAGTAAAAGATTCTCCAAGAGCCCGCGTCCTGCCTTGACGGGCCGAAGAGGCACCCTTCTTTGCCCTGGATTTCGCTCGTGAGTAACTCCACCGCCTGGATGCCTCAGGCACCCTCATCTCGGCCGTCATGATCGATGGCCCAGGCAATACAGTACAGTACTTGCGCAGGCTTTCCATCCTCCGTCGACCCAAGTGTCGTTGGCTTCGCACTGATCTGGCGTGATAACGCGAAGAAGGCGCAGGTGGGCTGTGAGATCCATCACATGCCCCTTCCTATACTGTATATTATGGACCAAGCGCTGTAGTCCTATACATGCTGTATTTACCTCTCACGCGGCAAGATTTTTGCTTCTCTTGTACCTCTCTTCCCAGGACGTCTACAAACATCACATATGATCCCGTGAAACCGTGGATTCATAGGTCCGCCCAAAGTCATACGCGGTAGACCCTGTCCTGAAGCGCCTCAATCCTCGCGGTGAGGTAGAAATTGGTCCTCAATGAACTAATTTTCGCTCATCCCTCTCGCCCATCCGTCGATTTCGAAGGTCTGCTTTCGGCGTCCATACTCATGCTTGAATCGGATGTCGCCCTTTGTTGGCAGCGCATCGTCAGGACAAATGGATACATACATGCTCATGCTGTGATTCCGATAGTGCCATTTGACGGCTATCAGCTCGATCATCCTGCATGGTGTCTATGGTTCGTTTGAGAGTTTTGACCTCGGTCTGTACGTCTTCGGTGGTGATGCTGCTTCTTGTATTGGTGGGGCTAGGACTCGAGTTTCCAGGGACGGGCCGGTCACAAGGGGCTCGAAGGGCTTGAGCTGAGGGTCTAGATCTTGAGTACATTCGGGCCTGGTGGCAGTTTTCTGCGTACTTTGAGAGCAGGCGATCTTGAGGGTCGCCGATTCGGGCGAGGCCAGCAGATGGGGAACTAGGATGTTGAAAGGACGAGGCGGAGATGGCTTCCCACGTCGAGGCGTTGGCCGCAGTGGTACTACTGGATAGTCACGTCGGATAAATGGCCCGCTTCGCGCGGCTGGAGATCTGTGTGCCCGTTTCGATGAGTCAGATTGAGCATGCCGAAGAATATCTTTTTCGCGGCGCCGTTGGGCAGGATCTCGGAAAGTACAGCAGCTACTAGGGCGTCTGACTTGTTGCTTGCAATGCCGCGGCGGACGATCGGCGTACCGAGCACCAAAGTCCCTCAGCGAAGCCCACGGTCAGTTTAGAGCATGTGGAGAGTTGTTGGTCGCTCGTGGACGCTGGCTCCTCACTTATTCGTCCTGCTGAGAACTTCAAGGTGCGAGGCTTGATTCCAGGAGCGGGCCAGCTGCTCTTAGCCACCCAACGGCCGGAACGGAAGACATAATGCGTACGTGAAGGCACTGTGCCCTGTAAGTAACACCGGGGCATGGGCTCATCCATGATACCTGTCTCTTTACCTTTGTGCCACTTGTGCCACCGGCGTCTCGACTCCCCCAAGAACCCGATCTGAGAAACCGGCGTTGCAAAGGTGCGATATACGTGCGCCCAAGAGCCAACTAAGCCCTTGCGAGGACATTCGAGATGCTGCAGCATCTGGAAGACGGCGTTCGTGTATCCATCCGCCTAGCCACTCACGAGATAGACGGGGCATTGGACGGCGCTGTAATCTTCACAGATTGAAGCGTGTTTTCCAGAAATCTTCGCGTCGTGGATGTCGATGCCATTCAGCCATCCAGGCTGCAACGGCTTGCACCCGCTCCATCCAGAGGCCATGCCGCTTTTCACCGACCAGCCGTGCGTCAGGAGGTGCGGGAATCATGCGGAGCAAGGTGGCGCGCCAGGTGAGATTATCCGCGAGCATACAGCCGCCCATGTAGTAGATGTCATCTGCATGTCAGTCGTCGGTCGAGCAGAGCGAGATGACGGCCTTCAACTCCGGAGGAAGCCGAGCCGCAATTTGCAGCCCATTGAATCCACTCCATGAGATCCCGATCATGCCAATCGACCCGGAACACCATTCTTGCATGACGGGGCATTAGAGGATTTTAAGAGTATCGTCCTGCTCCTGCTTGAGATATTCGCCGAGGAGAATGCCCTCAGAATCGTCGGTGCCTCGCATATCGACGCGAACACAGGCATATCCATAGGACACGAGTTAGGAATGCTAGAGAGCATGCCGTCCGGCTGCTCCATCTCCTTTCCTGTGCGGCGAGTATTAGAGGATGGCGGGAACGGGATTTGTCTCCGCGTCTGCTGGTAGTCAGATCATGGCGGGCAGGATCGTGTTGTCCGAAAGTGGGATCTCAACGTGCTCGCAGATGTCGATGCGCACTGGAAAAGGGAAGGTGGTCTCAAGAGTATCTCAAGTAGAATGATACTTCGTTAGGTCTGGTGCTGGATCGATAGCTCCTCACACCGCTATCACCGGCGTGCCTTTCCGCTCCCATTCACGGGCAAGCAAGGTCCAATCAGAATGCCCGCTCTGCCAGAGCTCTTGCAGAAAGGTCAAAAGCTCGGCGTAGTGCTCGAACCGCGTGTTTGCAGACAGCCTCTGGCAGAAGCTACTGATGATATTCATACGTTGTTCATCTCCGCAGCAACAAATTCCGGCGATGAGGAGGGGCCACGCCAGATTGTGCAACGAGGCGCTTATGTCTTCAAACTGGTCAAACACTCTGAAGAGTTTGTTGGTGTACACGTCCACAATCTGCCCGTTTTCCAGAGACATGCTGAGGCGCTTGCATGCGAAAAGCATCCCTGCATACTGATATGCTAGAACGAGTCTTATGAAGTCTTGTCTGGCTGACCTGGTCAACGTCTGTGCGAGCGGTCCCGAAGCCACGAGTGTCGAACCACTCGACAGCTCGAACTCCTCTTCAAGATTTTCAGGCGGCCTCGCTGGCTTGCTTTTGTCCAGGGACATAAGCGTGACGCGGTGTAGGAGGTGGAGGAAGTCCCCAAAAAGGACATCTTGTCGCTCCATACTGGGAAGGATGGCGTGCTGAATATGGTCGTAGTTGAACAATGTTGTACATGCCAGGACGTCATAAATGGCCATTTGGTTTTTGAGAAAGAAAGTGAGCTCGTCCCCAGAAGGCTGTTTCAACTCTAATGAGCGTATGAGGATTCGAGCCGCCCGCCTGTGAAAATGGGCTTGAGCTGATGCTGATTGCAACAGACAGTGATTTGAGAGGATGAGCATGGCAGCTAGGATCTCCGCGGCAATTCCCCCTCCAACGTCCGTTTCTGGGTCCTCCAGGTTGCGTTGGGTCACGTGGCGTACCCGCTCGGTGATCATGTGGATGGCAGCTTCACCCGTGGCATGAGAAAAGCCAGGTGCAAGGCCGTCGCCGTCTGGCATATGGGCGGCGGAGATAGCAAGGACTGCAAGACGGAGGACAGTATCCTTCTCCGCCAACGGAATGACCAAGCGCTTATACTCATTCTGGTCCGAGTCCAGCCAGACCATCAGTGGCGCAATATTGTCCGCATAATACTGTAACAGATGTTTTGCAGTGGAGGGAGACAACTGTTGCGCCAAAGCAAGGCCTAGCTGATAGCTTGGACTAGGCGTGTCTTCTTCACCAGCCCTCCGCAGAGAGCTGGGCTCTTCTTCCCGGACTCGAACATGCGGTGACACAATAGGTGCACCGCGGCCTTTGAAACGACCACGCACGGCAATGGCGTTGGTCCATCGAAATTTGGGTCCGAATCCCGGACATTCAACGCCTTTCCGGGCGCATTTGTTACAAAATGGCAGTGTACGGTCGCACCGGATGCGCCTCCGGTTGCAAACGCGACAATCTAGAGGACATCTCTAAGCGCGAGATAGCCAGGCTTTCAATCCGAAGCATACCTTTGGTTGCAAGTGAATTTGATGGCGGACTGGACTCCTCGGATCCCATTATCGTGACCGAAGATCCATTTTGCCGGGGCTACTGAGGCAGCCGCTGAGGTCCCTAAACAGGTCCTGGAAGAGTGCGGCCTGGTCGATGATATTCGCCTGTTTACAGAAAGTGAGGAAACCTTTGGAGATAAGAGCAAGAAAAGACAATGTTGCCCGTGACTGATAAGAACGAAGTCGAGTTGTAGGGCGAAATCAACGCCAAGGATTGGGAAAACTGCTCGCCATTCACCCCGCTTCGGGCCTAGGGTGATGCCGCCCTGAGCTCACCCCGGGCTCACCCCGGGGCTCACCCCGGGGTCGCGCGAGTTGGGTGAGAAACCACCCGTCTCTTACCTGTAACCCTGGTCTTCTAGATTGCCCGCCGTTAAGGGCGTTAATGGGAGAATTACGCCGAAGTCGGCCTGGGCGACGCCGCGAAGGCCGCCATTGACTTAGTATCGTAGCGTGATTATAAAAGCAGCGTCAGTATATCACGGTTTGCGGTAGGCACACTTTACTCGACTAGAAAATAGACCGGCGCCTCGTCATTAACCCTCTCGAACTGTAAGCTGCTACTCACTACTCGTAAGTATATTAGAGGTCAAGGCGGGATGGGTGGTCGCAGAAGCCGCATCTACTCCCATCGCGGCCATCGCGTTCTCCACGACCACTGGCAATTCGGTGAAGTTGACAATTGGCTTAGAGAAGGCTCGGATGTCGGCCTGTTTACTTGCTGGGCGGGTCTCGTCTAGGATGACATCCAGGTGGAGAGAGTCTGTAGGAGCACGTCGCAGGGTAGATTCCGTGACGAAGCAAGTGTAGAGGTTGTCGTTCCTTGGAACGGAAATTTCCGTCAAGGCCTCAAGGACCGAACTCTCGCCGGCCGACTGGTTACTACGGTGGACGAGCTAAGGCAAGTACAAGACGCCCTCCTGGCCATTCTTGCGGATCTGGGCCACTATGTCGAAGATATGATGCGGCTCAGTGTCTAGAGTTAAGAGTTCTGAAGGGGAGATAAAGAGACATGGACATTTCAGGAAGAGTCCACAATCACCGCACTCACCACCCACACAGCGCAGTATGGAAGAATCTTATCACTCCAAGCACCTTGGTGGCCAGACTCAAGCGCTTCATGCGTAGGATGTCCTGCTTCCGGTAATACTGTCAACATCGCCGTTCCATGCCCATTCGGACAACTAGACGACATGTCTATTGGCAGCGAGGGAGACAGCGATATCAAGCCATTCCAGCGGTTTCTTTCAGTCATGACCTTTGCTGCCTGCCCTGCTCTGCCGGTAAAGCTGTCTTGCGGTCGGTTCGGTATCCTGTCATGGCCGATGCCAGGGCTATCACCGTCCCCAACGCCTTCTCCCTTTTCGCTCGATCTTGCTGCGAGCCTACCATCTGAACGTCGGGACGACCACTCGCCTCCGCCGCTGTACTTGATTTCCCGAGCTCAATGAGTCTGCAGCGACACATGGGGGCCGTCCATATCAACCGAGTCTTGGAGGATCGGCTCCTCGAAATTCCCACTTGAACGTCGATCTCGACATATTTCGTCCCTTGGGGACTACAACGTGTGCCCGCGCTTCCTGTCAGTCTCTTGTTACGGTGGCCGTTCAGACAAGATTCCCATGCGGAACTTTGTGAACGCTGCTCGCTCAATGGGGAAATTCAAGTGAGGAATATCAAGGTTGTCCTGTTGTCTGTTTAGCCGAGCGAATCCTCGGCCGTAGTGCTGGGATCATCTCCGACTCTGAGTCGACAGTCTTTTCTAATGTCGGGTGAGTTTACAATATCACCACAACATCATGCGGCGGAACCAGCACCACAAGGTATAGCAGTGCACCTGTTCTTGTCCTCTTCCTAGACGACGAGGTCTTCAAGACTGTGAACGTCCTCGAAGGTATCCCAGTTGGATTGTGAGCTCAGTGAGGCCTTCCAACAATCCGACGCTGGGGCGAAGAGCCTGCGGCGGAACACAATCAAGAACTAGACACTGGTCTCGAAACAAGACGCACCTATCGAGGACGAGGAATCCAGTTGGAGCGCAAACGTTGAATTGTCATACGCTGCCGAAAACCAACACAACTCAGGGGCGTTCATCGCATCCCAGGCCAGGGACCACCCATGCCTCCAGGATTGCCCAGACATCTGGACAGCGCCTTTCCGGCAAGACTCCCAGAAAATCGACTTTCGAGCAGTCATGCCTCGTCCCTCTGGCTGAGGATCACCTTCACGAGCTTATACGTATATTCTTTTAGCGGCAGCTCTCAGCAAGACTCTATGAAATTAATACTTCAAAGACAGTCATGCCTCGCCCCTCTCATTAGCTATGGATTATGTTTTCACGAGCTCACGCGTATATACCTACCTACGTACGTCCGTCCTTCTAACAGCAGCTCTCAGCAAGACTCTATGAAATTAATACTTTAAAGACAGTTATACCTCGTCCCTCTACATTAGCTGAGAATCCCCTTTCACGAACTCGCACGCGCGCACGCACGCACATCCTTCCGACAGCAGCTCTCAGCAAGACTCCAGCAAATCGACACTTCCGAGACAGCCATGCCTCGCCCCTCTAAGTAGCTGAGGATCCCCTTTCACGAGCTCGCACGCACGCACGCACGCACGCACGCACGCACGCACGGCCTTCCTTCCGGTGGCAGCGCTGAGCTCTCAGCCAAAACATACTCCGTAGCCAACGGTCAATCAGTCAAGCAGGTGTGACACTGCCAGTAATCCATCAAACTCTGGTTGGCCAAGGTATCTCCTTGCCCGGACCCCTACATAACTCCACATCATTCAAAACTTTTGGCCAAAGGTATCTATCTCCTTGTCCGATTCCCTACATACCTCCCAAAGAAGTCGCTGGTGCTGACGGGGACAGGCTGAGGTGAGGAAATGAATGGAAGCGTACGGTATTGGTGACATTGCGCTGAGGCTATAATTAGTTGCCGTGACCCAGGCAGTATCAGGATCAGGATCAGCCTACGTCGCCGGTTCGGCAAAAAGCAACCCAGTATCTAATTACCATGATTTCTATCCAGTAATTACCATGCTACCTCGTACCCAGCCGGAAGAAAGGATGAATGGCTCGATATTCACAAATTCGGACGACTCAACGGGATTTTTGTTCTGCAATGAGAGGTGAATTGTCTATCGAAACGTCTAAAAAGGGTTGGAGAGCTTCAGCGTCCCCTCTCCCCGATCTTGAGCATACTGTTCTTGCATCCTGCAACACACGGAGGCTCACAAGCACAGTCCACTTTCCCAATTCAAGATCCCACCCGGAGATGGCCCATATTTTGACCGAGGCCCTCCTGCTTCGACATGTGCCGAGTCCAGCTTGTATTACCTAATGAGCCGACAATCCATGCTTTTCCACCATGCCCCAGTAGTTCTTTGCGTTCCGCTTGCGCAGTTTCTTGCCGATGACGATGAAGAGGAATGACAGGCCCCAGAAGAACATGCCGATGAAGCCGACGGCAATGTAGGTGTTTTGAACTCCTGTGGCTTCGATCCACGGTGTCACGCCATAACTGAAGCCGAAACCCATGGCATTTCGGATGCAGATCATGGTGACCAGGCCGTCGCCGGAGATCTCCCGGTACGAGTCGATGATGTGGTTGATGGCGATGGCACTACCGATGGGGAAGGTGCCGACAATGAACGCGAGGCCAAACGCCAGTCCGACCCAGTGGACGCCGGTGTTTGGCTCCCACTCCGAACAGGATGCAGCCGGCGGGGTGGAGAAGCAGAGGCACCAACGCCATCCACAGACGATACTCGGGCTCGAAGATGCCACCCTTACGCTTGGACATCCAGACCGCGAATCGGTTTGCCGACGCGCCAGCGAAGATACAACCGATGGTACAGCCGATGAAGGGGGCAAGGAAGATGAGGCCAATGCCGTTGGTGGAAAAGTTGTAGGGCGGTGCAGCGAGGACGAGGGCAATGGTCGCGTTGACGACGTTGAACCAGGACAGGACGGAGCCGACCAGGACACCAGAGAAGGTGACGACCGGGTATCGGAGCATGTAAGATGGGAGCCACACGGAGCGGAAGAAGTTGTTGGGTTGACCTGGACGCCTGGCGCCCCAGAACTTCAGCTTTTGCATGTAGGTCTTCTTGGTGACGACCACACCAACCTCGGTCTCGGTCGGAGCAACGGCCACTTTCTTCTCCTGCGGGCTGGAATCGCTGGAGGCATTCTCGTGATCGGAAACGTCCTCCTCAACATCGACGACTTCGTCTTGGACTGGTGGACGGAAAAACATGGTCTCTTCCATCAAGAAGAACATGGCGAGAACACAGCCCGCGGAGATGATCGAGGCAATGAACTGGATCCATTGCCAGCCCAGATTCTGGGCGATGGAACCCGCCGGCACGGCGCCGAGGAAGGGAATGCCAAAGAGGATCCAGCAATACATCCCGATCCAGAAGCCTCGATCGTGGGCGAAGAAAACATCGGAAATGCAGATTTCGACCAGCGTCTCGATCGGGCCGTCTAAGAATCGGGCAGGGCTGTCAGCGAGCGTCCACAGTCACGAGGCAGGCTACAGTGCCGCAATGAGCCGGGGCAACATACAGAAAAATCCGATCAACACCCTGTTGGCGTACCATTCGCCTGAAGACGTGACATACGAAGTCCAGACCGAGCATGCCAACATTCACAGAGCACCCACAAGCAAAGTGGGACGGCGTCCAAAGGTCAGACCTAGCGGCTGCCAGAGCAGACAAGACCAACCGAAGAAGAGGTACTGGACACCGACACCGCTGTTGAGTGTGGCAAGGGGGATGCCGGTATCACTTTCGATGTCCAAAAGTGCCGCGGACAGCAACGTGGTCATGACGTCGCCGGAGAAGACTGCCACCAAGCCCATGATGGCGGACAACAATTTTCGCCTTCGCGACCAATTAAGGGGATCGTCATACTCGGTGGTTGGCTGAGGCAGGAGAACAATGGCTTGGTCGCCACCTTCTTCGTGCTTGACTCTGAGGGTGCCGGCCAGATCGACCAGGTGGACGGTTCCGGGGATCACGTCCGTGGAGAAGGCGTGATGGGTGGCCATTTCGAGCGGCGGGGACGAGGAGGGTGGGAAGGTCTTGTTGCGAAAGCCCCGTCACGGGAAAATGGGAGTTTTCGATTCAGGAAGAGCTCCTCAACACAACTTTGATCACTGGGTTACCAGGTATGGCACGAGGCGGAAACCCGACCCTGGCGGCATGTCCAATATAACTTCAATGAAGAGAGTGATAGACACTGTCGATAACTCAATCAACGACGTCGAAAAGCCTCCCTTTCGGATAGATTGTCGTCTCCAACATCGTCAGGTCTTATCTCGTCACTCAGAGGCTGAGATGATGATGATGAGTGAGTCCAGGGCATTACACCCAGCTACTATCATCCAGGACTGGGCAAACCTGCGCAGGGTGTGGAGTCGACAGTGTGGACACACGTTTATATCCTTGTTCCACTTCTGGACGATCGACAATGGTAATACTCGATCTGCCGACCGGATCCAGACTCAGATGCCTCGAGTCATCAGGTAACGGCGATAGCACTGATTACAGTGTCGTGGCTCGTTCGCCGATTATCCGAGGAACCCCTTTCGCCCCATTCCGCCTCACTTGATATCTTTCCGAGCCCGCATCCCTATCGCGAATGTTCGATAAGGGCTCTGGCCATGGTCTCGACGCGTGTTGTCGGGCTGCCCGAGGATGCGATGTGCTTTCGAGATTATAAGGTCAAGTGTAGAACCCTGGGCGACGGGTCGTGACCATCAAGGGATAGCACGGAAGTTCGCAGAGAGAAGAGCGCACCTCATCCCGCCATCATGACAACGGTCTACGTCAACGGAAACGTCTACACAGTCGATCCTACCGCCCCGTGGGTCGAGGCATTCGCCGTCAACGAAGATGGCACCTTTGGTACCGTTGGCACCACGGCTGACCTGACCAAGTTGGCAAAAGAGGTCGGGGTCCAGTCGTCGACCTCAAGGGGCAGTTCGTCATGCCAGGCATGCACGACGCGCATTGTCACTTGCTCGTGGCGTCGCAGGAGAAGCTGTTCGAAGCCAAGCTCGGTCTGGATTCTGGCCCGGAGCAGACGGTGAAGAAATTGAGGGACTACTCCTCGTCGTGTCAGCACTTGGAGACAGTCGGCAATTGGCTGATTGGCAACTTCTACCACTGGCGCAACTTCAAGGACAAGAAGCCCGACCGAAAGTTTCTCGACGACGCGTTTGGCGACCAGCCCGTGGTCATCCGCGAGTACACCACGCACAACATCTTTGCCAACACCGCAGCCCTCAAGGCGGCGGGGTATGAGGAGAACCCTGAAGATCCTTGGGACGGATACTACGTCCGTCGCGAAGACGGAACCATCACCGGCGAGTTGGTCGAGGGGGCGGCCAAGAGGATGTGGGCTTCAATTCCCAAGGGCACGCCGGAGTCGCATGTGGAGGCCCTCGAGTATGGAGTCAAGATGGCCAACCGTTTCGGCTTCACGGCCGTGCAGGAAGCATCAGCCAACGCCGTGTACCTCGAAGCGGCGAAGAAGCTGGATGAGGCAGGCAAGATGACGATCAACCTGGATGCACATGTTGTGTTCTGGGGTGCTGCCTTCTCGCAAGAGGTCCCCGAAACCCTGATCCACAGCATCAACGGGGCCTACCGTTATCAGACGAAACACTTCAACCCGAACTTTGTCAAGTTCTGGCTGGACGGCGTCCCCTGGGAACCCCACCTGACGCACTGCCCGCTCGCCGACGACGGCAAGCCTGACTACCACAAGATTCTCGTGCCACCCAAGATCTTTGCGGACGCAATTGAGCGGTTCGACAAGGAGGACGGACGTGCAAGGTTCACGTGTGCGGCCAGGGCTCCGCCCGGTTCGCGCTTGACTGTTTCGAGGAGATGCGGAGCCGCCGACCCAACGGTCCGAAGCATGAACTCGCCCACAACATGGATGTCCACCCAGACGATTTTGGGCGGTACAAGGAGCTCGGCATCACGGCAGAGATGAGCCCCGCCATCTGGCACGAGCCCGAGTACCAGCCTGAGCACAACCCGATGAGCGTGTACCCATTCAAGGGTCTACGCGAGGCAGGAGCCTTGTTGACCACTGGCAGCGACTGGGTCTTTGCCCCCGAAACGCCCAACATCTTCCCTGGCTTGCAAGCGCTATTACAAGGCCGCAAAGGCTGGGAGTTGGACAAGGAGGACGTGATTCGGATCGTGACCATCGACGGTGCGATTGCCACCAACCGCGAGAAGATGGAGGGCAGCATCACCGCGGCGAAGCTGGCCAACTTCATCATCCTAGATCGGGACCTGGTCAAGGCCGAGGATATCAGTACCACCGTTGTGTTGAAGACCTTCTTTGAGGTCGGGAGGTCTATGACTATGCCAGCGACGAGCTGAAGCACTTCCAGGGCCGACCAGGCTAAGTGAGAAGCCATGCTTGGGAGTGGAGAGCTGTGCACACGTAGACCTTGAACCAGACGAAGTAGAGTGTTTTGAGTCGAATCCACCGTTTTCCTCGCCGTATGTCGACGAGTAGATAACGGCAGGACTCGTTCGGAGATGACCCTTTGAAAGATGGAGCGCACTGGGTGAGAGAGTTCGCAGTAGCAGGATTTGGGGGGTTGTACTCATAGTTCCGGCCAAGCGCCAAGTGGTGAGCGGGAATGACGTAACGCCATATGCCAAGACCATCGGCCGATCTTCGGGGTTAGTGCCCAATGCCAGCAAGTACGGCGCGTATCGCGTACGACGGGGTACGACGAGTAATGAGCGAGGCAGGCCCGACTGAAGTGGCTAACTGAAAGATCCCGACACACTACGAGTACGGAGTAGAACAGGCAGGATGGGAGACTGAGACCCCCGAGAGCCTTGGCATCCGATCAACCGTTCCCCCTTGAGCCGCACTCCGTTGAGCGATAGAGAATCACAGGGTGCCTCAAGTAGTTGCCGGTATCCATTTGGTGTTCAAAGTTCATGCGCTCTGCTAGCTGGGCCTTGCTGGCCAGTCTAATTGCCTGCGCCTGGACAAACTGACTTCCGCCGCCTGAAACAGCCCTGCGGAGCCGCAATTCGCTGCAAATGAATCGAGGTTGCCTTATCTATGCGAGACTCGCACCCGGCACACCGGTATCCATCTCCATGAGCCAACCAGGTCCAACGCACGATCTATCCGATACCCCACCGATATCCATTGGCGCTGGATGGACTGCATCCTATTCGCTCGCTGCAATTGTCAACGTTCCGCTACCAAGGCGGACCAACAGTTATTCCTCTGCTATGGTCCTTGATTGCCAGTCCGGAAAGCTTGTTTTGTCCACGTCGGGTCTGCAAGGTCCAGTTTGCACCAGTGATTTGGGACTTCTGGCAGTTTCATTAAAGCCTACGAATGTTGCTACATGTTAGTTTTAGTCAACTACCTGGGTTACCGCATCGCGGTCCAAGCAGTCGACGTGCTAGTCAGTACTCCCTCCTCAACGCCGGCAGACTTGTCCCACCGAGACGGAAATCGTGGGCCAGACAATCATCGGCCGATCCATGTCGGCCGAAGACAACCATTCGGCAGCTCATGCTATTGGTTATCCCATCGTGGTTTCCCACCCTTTCTCGATCATCATCACATCCATCCAGTACACATTGGCCTGGCCCATATCCATCCGGTCCCACGTGTGTTTGACAATTTCCATCATTTGTCGGATTGGCTTCGCAGGCAGGACATGTGCAAAGGTGGATAGCCGGCCAATCACAAACTTCCTGGCCTCCAGAACCTCGATTGCAGTCGCAAGAGCGGAGGCATCATCTGGCGCGCTGTTGTGGTGTTCACTAGGTGGAGAGACTTCTTCTGATGCTTCCGGCCTGAGCTCGCTGGCGGCGGCAACGAGCAGGAAGGGCTGGACGCATCGAGTCCGAGACTCTATTGGTATCGTCCGAAGCAGCCCGGTTATCTCGAGAGCCATCCTGCTAAGGTTCCGAGACTGATCCGAAATGCAAGGGCTGCGTCCCAAGCGCGTCTCGCGCCCTTGCGAGATATCCGGGAACACGCGATACAGTTGAAGCAGGCCCGCGAGGCGATAAGCCTCGGCAATCGTGAGCAGATGTCTCACTGGGGTCTGTGCGTCTCCTGGGTTCACGATCGTGGCTTCGGTGGGCAATTTCAGATTCAAGAGTCGGTACGCCAGGATGACTGCCGTATTGAATGCCTTCTGGCCAGTATCCAGGTCCGCCACCGATGTGAAAAACGGCGGGTTCCTCATCCGTAGTCGCTCACGTCTCACCAGACGTCCAATTTCGAACACAATGGATTGGGCTTCTCTCGCCACGCCAGTCCAGGGATGTGGAAAACTCGGTTGCCCAATGTCGCTGTAATCCTGCTCGCTTCGCATCGTCTGCAGGGACAACGACTGCGATGGCGGCATGGCAATGTCACTGACGTAGGACATCAGCATCTCCCAATAGATCATGGCTTCGTGGAAGAACTGTAGGTTGCGGCCATTTGCTATGCTCCTGGATTTTGGGGATTCCGCCTGCATGTATGGCGTCCACGATGGTGCACGCCTTTTCGAACTCTTTGCGACCAAGGTCGTTGGGTTGATGCCAGCTGGCAGACAGACCGAGCATGATCAAGACCAAGAAAGTGCCCGTGTCAACTTTGGAAAGTCTCATGTCGGCCTCCACGCAAGCGGCGGCCTTTTCGCGCATCCGAAACCCAGTAGAGCGTAGAGTCGGGCAGACGTCCGTCAGGAAAGCGGCAGCCATGCTTTGAACCGTATACGTGACCGCGACAGAGGATCTCCAGAGCCTGGAAATAGAAGTGCGGAAGGGGTTCAGAGGACTGTCGTAGCAGGAAAAGAGGCCCGCCACTTCCTTAAAATAGTATTCCACCAACATGGAGCCAAGGTCATTGAGCGGTCTTCCCGGCGAGGGTAAATCGTCCTCTTGCCGCGGCTTGGAGGATGCGAGGCAGAGCTGCTCAGCCTTGGTCCCCCGGTCGGACGTGGGACACGGTCTCCGGAGCTGCGAGGGCGGCGAAGCGTGTCGGCTGATGGACTCGATCAAACGTTGGCGAGGGCAGCTTGTCCGTCGATACATCGTTGGCGTGGGAGATCTGGCGGGATTTGGGTGATAGGTCGTCCACCTCGAGAAGACCCATGGTGCTCCACTGGAAGTCAAGAGTGCCCTCGTCCACAAAGGCTCGGTCAGGCAAGCCGTCGAGGAAACTGACTTGGAATATATCAATTGGGAAGGCATTGACGTCCGACAGGCGTGGTTGCGATTGCAGCAAACTGTCATGACGGCCATCCGCCCGGCTCACCTGTGTTTTGTCATCAACAATTTCGCATGGTTCTACCGAATTGGTCTTCTTTGCCAGGGGGAGATCCAGATTGGCTTTGGCGTGTTCATATCCCGGGCAGGGTTCGTCCCTCTTACTACAACGGAGGCACTGTGGCTTCGTTTCATCACACTTCAGCTATAGCCATGAGGGTCAGTGAACGCTGAGGCAAAAGAACATACTGGGGATAGAAGGGTCTGACCTTCTTTTGCTTGCAGCGTGCACACCCATCCCGGGATCTCTTAACACCTCCTCGCATCTTTGATGATGAACTTCTGATGAGCACAATACGGTAGCTTTGGCACTGCAGCAAATGTCACAGACGTTGACGGTGAGTGAAGATTTAAAGATGGGGTTCATTGAAAGAGGAATAGGCGGCAAATGAGAACAGGCACGCCTCAGAACCCAGATGAAGATAGACGGGGTCTCGCCTCTCTGTCGACTTCCTCTTTCTGACGGTAAGGCGAGTCAGATAACCCGTGGCCGCACTAGAGACAGGCGGCGCATCCCCTCCGCTCTTCAAACTGAGATAAGACTGTACAGACATACAGTGTCCCCACTACCCTCTAGTCTCCCACATGCCCGAATGTAATGTGACGACTTGGCTTGGAAACGGCTGTCCCGTGACCAAACACGGAAGCTGGTCCGGCGCTGACCCAGAAGGTACGCAGCCTCGTTGTAATGGGGCCATTGGGATAGATATAGAATATAGAGGTACAATCATCATTGAGCCTCGTCGACTACATGTAGTCTCTACATGGACTCGAAAGGCTTAAGGAGTCGGCGGGAGCATGTGTGGGAGAGACCCGTTAAGTAACCGCTTACGCCAAGATGCCCATCCGTCCTCAGCCCGTCTTCGATGATTGACCTCATGGTGAGTGGAAATGTCGCGGCTATAAAAGCGACGTGGTCGGGGGTGAGTCCTAAAGGAGCCGCGAACAGTTTTGTAGGTACTTTAGCCGCTAAGCGCCAAGCCGTCGCCGCGTTTTCATTCACTTCGAGTTCATTTCAAGTTCACTTCAAGGTCACCTCGCTCCCAAACTGCCCAATGTTGGATATGATGCTTGCTGTACCATCTTGTCACCTCTTCGAAGACATATTTTGAGGTTGAGAAGGTGACTATATTTTCAAGGACAATGATGGCTCTGACTTCAAAGGCCAGGTAGGCCATATTGCGAGCTCGTTGCCACCGAGGCCACAATCAACAAATAGAAATGTCCGTCGCCAAGGGAGGTATCGCATCGAGCAACGCAATTCATTATATCGCACCGGAATAACCGAATGCATCGCCCCTTCAGCGTACAAGACCAGGCGCCCGAGGTGAAGACGATATCGGCTACTCTACGGCATCGCGTCAGGTAACGCCCATTCGAATAGTCAAGAATATTCGATATTCGACATATGGCAGAAAAGCCGCCAAGAGCACCCACAGCGATATGTGACCAGGCCAAGAGGCTGGAAGGATGCAGATGAGTTCCCCTGTCGAGACTGACATATTTGCAAACTCGACGAATGCGGTTTTCGCCGCAATGGAGTGCGTGCACCACAAGGACAGCATATCTACAGGTAGGACTACGAACTTGAGGTATCTGACAAACATCCCTGCAACCATGTGTAGGGCTTCTGCAACCATCCCAGCTCGTCGAGTCTGCGGTCTCCTTTTTATGCCTGTGTCAGGATTAGCGCAGCCGAAGCGACCCTTAACGTGGGGATTTCTAGATCATGGACGCAACCAAATCAATGGCGCCCTCTGACACGGCCGTTTCTGTCCGCCATAAATACGATCAGAGCCAACAACGGGTGAATTGTACCTTCACGCAGAAAAGCCAGCCAGATTCTCAGAATAGAAATCCGCTCAAGTCTTGAGGAATATTGGATCAGGATCTCTGAGAAGCGCCATGCATTCTACAAACGGAGCATCCGGCGAGAGATTGACCTGTAGCACGTCTGGAGCTGATGGGTTCGTACAGGGCAACATTCCAGACCACGAGGGACCCTTAGGTCTGCATGACATCGGTACACTACAAAGAACGCTTGCCCCAGTCACAACGGCGGACCTCTTCAAGCCTGATTGCTATTCGAAAAGGCCAAAGTCTGGGCTTGATATCAGTCGGTTCCTCAGTCGGGAAGGCAGTGTGAGACAACCCTCGTCTCTGAAAGCCAGTGCCTCTGGATTCGGTAAAGGCATGATCAGCCTTGGCACCGGCCGGCCATCACCAGAAACATATCCCTTCGAGAGCATGCAATTTGTCTATTCTTTACCCAACTCGATCTTGCGGCCTGGTCTGGCTACCAATGGCAACGGCTCCCGTCAGACGTATAGTCCAACATCCGTAAACAAGCGAGATCCATCAGCCTCGATAGACCTGGCAATCGCCTTGTCGTACGGCTACTCTCTGGGCTCTGAACAACTCATACAATATCTTACCACTCATGTCTCTTACCTTCATTCTCCGCCTTACTCGGATTGGGAGATATGTCTCACAGGCGGGAACACGATGGCGCTAGAGACGACGTTTCGCAACTTTGCCGATCCTGGCGACTTCGTCCTGGTGGAAGAATACACGTACTCGGGCACGATAGAAGCGGCGGGACCTCTCGGGCTGACTCTGGTACATGTGGCCATGGATTCAGACGGGATCAATCCTAAGTCGCTCGACGAAATCCTGTCAACATGGGAGCAGCTTCATCCTGGCACCCGAAGACCCAAACTCCTCTATATCATTCCCACCGGACACAATCCTACTGGCATAACGCAGCCTCGGCGTCGGCGGCAAGACGTTCTAGAAGTCGCAGAAAGACATGATATTCTGATCGTTGAGGACGATCCTTACCATTACCTTCAGTTCCCACAACCTGGTGGCGAGTCGGACTATCTCTCTATCCCGTCATATTTATCACTCTCCCGAACCGGACGTGTGATTCGGCTTGACAGCACGTCTAAGATTCTTGCGCCGGGGTTGAGATTGGGCTGGCTTACAGCCCCAAAGGCCATTGTCGAGACATTCCAAGCGGCGCATGATCTCGGCTTCGTCCAATCAAGCGGGGTCAGTCAGCTGGTCATGTCCAAGCTGGTATCGGAGACATGGGGACATGATGGATTTCTGCGATGGCTGAAAGGCCTGGCGGGTTATTACCGCGCAAAATCCACGGTAATGCTTCAAGCTCTGGAACGAGAGCTGGGGACCGGAATCCTGGGAGATGTATGCTCCTGGAACGAGATCAGTGCCGGAATGTTCATTTGGCTCAAGATCGATTGTACCAGATTACCAGAGATGTCGCAGACGGCGACCCATGCTGAAGCAAGGCAGCGAGCCTTATTGGAGATTGAGGACCGCATTCATACGGAAGCGATAAACCAAGGCGTACTCCCTTGCAAGGGTAGCTATTTCCGAGCGTCAGCACCGTCCTGCGGTGGTACTTCAAGCAATGGAGCACAGTCGTCAGCGTCGGTCTTCCTGCGCCTGACCTTTGCATCTTCTGCGGAGGAAGAACTAGTCACAGCAGTTGGACGTCTTGGGACTGCACTCCGCAAGATATTCAACGCAGAATCCTTGGTCGTCTAGACGCAAATGGTGTAAAGATGTCACGAGCGTACGTGCATTGAAGGCTCACCTAGTCAGGCTACGACATTAACCACTACGTGGTAAAATGAAGTGACCTTCCATCAAGCCATCCAAGCTGTTCGTCTAAATGTCGACCCAAATCCACCGTAAATTTCATCGACCCTGAACCCACAAAGATGTCGCCGGAGAACCCACAAAAATGTCGTTGGATATATCGGAAAAAGGGGCGGTCTGAAGTCCAAAATGGCGAGACCGCCGTCGTAGAGCATATCGAAACCCTCAAAAGACTTTTGACGAACCATCAAATGCAACGAGTCGCAGTAAGTGGCAGCATTGGCACCGCTCTCTTCGTCAGCATCGGATATAGACAGACCCCTCGAGCACGGTGTGGGCAGATTGCTCCGCGGATTTTCTCTCTTTATATGCCTACCTGCACTCGTGGTCTCCTCAACAACTACATGGTAGAAATAGCTGTTTTCAGGCCTCCTCTCCGGGTCCCAAGTGGATGCACGAAGCTTTCGGGTTCAACGTTGGCTGGGACTTCTTCCTCCACGAGGCGGTCTTGAGCCCTCGGAAGATTTCGGGGTTCAACCTCGTTCTGACGTATTGGTAAAATGACATCCCCCACGGTAGCTATTTGGCCTTTGATGTGTCCGTTCTTGATTGTAAGTAAACGAACGCTTGTCCCGGAGTGGCGTTCTCGCGACCGTGCTGATGTTTGTGCCTCATGTCCTCTTTGTCTTTGGAAAGGTATTTAAGAAGACGGAAGTTCGTGAGCCCACGTAAGGGAAATCTGGCGTGGCAAGGGCTCGTGGTCGATGCTTACGAGTCGAGTTTTGGTGGAGGACATATTGGAGTTTTTGGGTGGTACCGAGGACGAAGGTGCGAAAGGTGGGAAGGAAGGGGCGAGGAGTCAACCGGAGGGGCGAAGATGGAGTGGAATTGAGCGAGAGCGAGAATATTGTGCCTGCTATCTAGTAGGGGGCATGTTTATTGCAGCACTCTCTGCTGGATGACTTTTCAACCGTGCGGATAGGTAGGAATAGTTGCAGGTACATACTCCGTACATCTCAGCAAACAAGGGATTCTCCATGTCTGACACTAAGACATGCTACGGATTGTCATTTACGCGAAAAAAGCTTTACTGGTCTGTAGGATTGGCGGAACCGATCAATGGACCACACCATGTAGACGTACCAACCTGTACACTCGGTGCTCATGCTGAAGAACAGGGCCGTCAAGACTCAAGCCTTCCCATTAACTTGCGCCGCAGTCTTCTTCTCCTCTAGGAGCAGATCCAGCAACGGGCCCTCCAGCACATCCTCACGATCCAGCATGATCTCCACCATCCTCAGGCCCTTGCCGTTGGTGAATTCTTCCGCCGCAAACACGGTCTGCAGATCTCCCCAAGTCTTGACACGGGCCGTGAAAACGCCGGCATCGGCGCCTAAGAACTTGGGCGCTTCAAGGTATTTCCAACGAGCCACGTCGTTATACTTTTGATACAGGCCGTGAATGGCCCGTTCGATCGTGTAGCCGTCGTTGTTGAGCAAGAAGACGATCACGTCGAGATCTTCGCGGATGATGGTGCCGAGCTCTTGCACGGTCATTTGGAAGCTGCCGTCGCCGATGAAGAGGATTGTGCGGGCTTGGGAAAGGCCATGGTATGCGGACGAGGCGACGAGCTCTCGTTGCGCGAGCGCTGCACCCTGGGCGGCGGGGAGCATGTATCCGATTGAGAGCCAAGTCACTGCGGCGAAGGCGCGCGAGTGGCTCGCGAGCTGGAGCTCCTGGATGCCGTAGCTTGCTGTGCCGGTCTCGCCCATGACGATGTCGCCTGGTCGGAGAAAGCCAGAGAATGCACGCCACAGTTTGGCTTGGGTGAGGGTCTCGTCGCTGGGTAGCGATGCCAAGGAGATGGTGGTGTCTTCAGAATCGAAGGCAGAATGGGTGGAGGAGGGCGTGTGGCCCAAGATACTCAGCTCCTTCCGGAGTCGAGACACAGCAGACTTGACGTGGATGTCGCGATATGTTTGCTCGCCTACCTGTATCTCATTGTCGGTAAAGCTGATTGTCACTGCTTTGGGAGGAATGGCGGATGATTGCGCCGAGTTGGTCGTGGTAAAGTGAGGGCCGAAGCAGAGGACGAGATCGCAGCTATCCACAAACGTCTTAGCCTTGGGATCATAGCTGCCTCGGTAGATTCCATGGACGTTTGAAGCCGTCTCGTCCACAAGGCCTTTGGAGAAATTGGTGACGAAGGTGGGCCATTTGGTGGTTTGGACGATGCTTTGGACGTCGTCGGTGATGCGAAGGGCCCTCGTTTCGCCATCTACCAGAATCATGGGTTGTTGGGCGGATTTGATCTTCTCCAATACTACTGACAGTGCCAGATCCTGCGAGGGTGTGGTGGCTTCGGTTGAAGTCATGTCAAGTGATAGAGGCTCCGACGTTAACCGGCCAGCATCGACAGGCGCGTCAACCAAGTCCACTGGCACCTGAATATAGACGGGCCTGCTGTGGAGGATGCATTGCTTTAAAACCGTGTCAATCTGCTCTGGGGCCGATTGCGCTTCCCATAGACCCGCCTGTGCCACTGTAACGTGGGCGTGCATCTGGCCAAAGCGGGCGAACTCGCCATCGCCAAAAGTGTGGTGGACCCTGAGCCGAGCGTCTTGTGTTGGTCTTGGAGGAGTCCCAACTATATGCACCACTGGTGCCCGCTCACAGTATGCACCGGCGATGGCGTTGATGGCTGAGAGCTCGCCGACTCCGAACGTCGTTATGAGGGCTCCGACACCATTGATCCGTGAGTAGCCATCCGCTGCATATCCCGCATTTAGTTCGTTGGCGTTGCCGACCCAATGTATTCCTGCGGGCTCGACATGGTCCAAGAGTTTCAAGTTGAAGTCGCCCGGGACTCCGTGGATCGATCGCACTCCGAGCTGGTGGAGGCGTGTGAGCAAGTATTCTGCAAGCTTGACGGTGTTAGGCATGATGTTGTCGGGATTGTCTATGCACAGTCAGGGTCTCGTCAGAAGAGGGAGAAGTGCTAGTCCTGGGTATTTATTGTGTTTCATGATGGATTCGGGCTTTGTGTCAAGCCAAAGGGCGGAGTGGCATATGCTCGGTTAAGGCGACTGCAAGTGATTGCTTCCTGTTTGTCAGAACGGGTATTATCGGCAGTGGAACAAGTGTACACGTGACTTCCCACGTGATACAGGAAACTTTCCCTATTGAGTCACAAGTTGGAGGTTCTTTCCACTCGTGTCATTCAATATAGTCGTCATTTGAAAGTCTCCCACTTTTGCCTGCATTGGGTTTAAAGACCTTACATGCTCTTCTATCTGACTCTGACGACGCATCTTCTCATACACAGCATGTGTTGGCCACACGGAGCTTAGCAGCGACTAGACCCTCTGCTTCAGTCGACAGCGCGCCTCGGAGTGATCTTGAACATGTGCATAACTCGCTACCAACTGAACGATGCAGTCGATGTTCCTATCCCTCCTCCGACTCCACAGGTTGGCACGCTGGCCTCAAGCTCTTGACACACTGGACAACAGGTGGATTAGTCAATTACGAGTCCTTCCACGAGCATCTGTGCCGACTTACGACTGTCTGCAATATTGAACCTGCTGCTGTTCGTTTTGCCGCCAATCGAAGTCGGCCAGGCTTTCCGCCCCAAAGACTGCTCCAGACGACGATGCGCCTTCAGTTTGTCGAGAAAGGCCAGATCGTGAACAGTTGGAGGACTTATGGTTGTGGACGCACAACGTCAGACCGAACGGCATTGAATAGCTGCCTATTGGGCAAACTCACATTGCATCGGATTCTTTGACTTTGGCATACAACTTCTCCAGTGATGACACGCATTGAGCAATGTCGGATTTGGCTGAGCCGAGGGTAAGTGATGAGGCTGAGCTAGGAGATGCAATGAAAAGTGTGCAATGCACAGTGCATGTCTCCGCCGTCTTTGGATGAATCGTCATCAGGAGCTGAGCATTGTGACCAGGGAGAGCAACAAACTCGGCCAAGATCGAGGGTTTAACGTGCTTTGACTTTCCTGCCAATCCCAATCTCGCCTGAACATCGCCATCGTTGCGAGCAAGGGTTGGAAATTTGAAGGCATCCGCACATTCTGTTGATTCCGGATCAGCCTTATCGGCCACGCAAACACGTCGACACCAAATCTTGCGTACCTGCCACTTTCCAGTTAAATGCTCCATTGACTTCCCAGCTCTCCATCCAACCTTTGCTGGATTTACTGATGTCGAGAACAGGATTTCCTTTGGATTCGGATGATAAATCCACAGTCACAATGCCATTATCATCGATTTCGGTCTTCACCTCAAACAACGAATTTTGGTCTTTCCGAAACCCCTCGGCGTTCTCAAACTTCGGCGCTTGGATGAGTTTACCGCTGAGGTTATATGTCCAGCCGTGATACTTGCATCCCAGGTTCGGTCTGCAACCGGCTTTGTTTGACGAGATGACGGGATAGGCACGATGCCTGCAGACATTGTGAAAGCAGCGCAGGACGTGATCCTTCCCCAGAACGAGGATCAGAGGGAAGCCCGCTGCGTGCTCGATGACACGGTAAGAGCCTGCTGTTTGGAACATGCTGGCGTGTGCAACCGCTAGAGGCATCTATCGCCATGTTAGTCTCTGCCACGGAATCGGCACGTCGTCGGTACAGTTGAAAATATGGCCCGTTTCTCCTCTTCAAGGACGTCGGGTGATGTCCACCGGCCATCTGGAAGGTCTGAAAGCTTTCCAACTTGCCCATTTTCTCTCTTCTCCAGGTCATATAGTGTGCCCCGAGGAATTTGGCTCTGGAGCGGTGCTGGCCTTCTAGATGCCCATGCTCTGAAAGTTGCAATGCTGGCCACGAGTGTGCCGGCCGCCAGGAGAGTTGGTATGATCAAGTTGGGGAGCTGGACAGTCCCTGAACTCGACATGCTTTATACCGAGACAGGAGACGGTCTTGAAAAGATATCGTCAGAACCCCCCAAGAATGGCTGTCAATAGGTACCTGGTCACTCAATATGCCCTGGTCCTCATATATCTGGCAGTCAACGACTGTTTGAGCAGCCAGCAGCTGCTTTTTGAGAATGATCGTAACAGGTTATCATCTTGACAAGCCACGTCGGCTTGCGCCTCGTGTAGCAATGACGATAATGGCAAGCACTAGGACCAACCCAGCCATATCTTGGAGGCCGGACTTCACCGGCTTTCCCTTCGTGTGAGTTGGAGTTGGCGGCATGACAAAAGCTTCTGGTATTCCCGGCACGGTATTGGTTAGGCGCGGCTGTATTCGCCAATACGGTAGAATTTGTTTGGGTCACTGGGAGGCCAGCACCAGTTGTGGATCACGTCGTGTTTATTCCACTTGTAGAAAAAGTATCCATCTGGGATTCTGAGGCAGATACCCATCACTTCCACTATTAAGCACCTCCCCCCTTGCCCTCCACGGCAGAATGGAGAGACATGCGGGTCGAAATCCTGCCGAACGATGGCCATTCCAACGACGCTGCCGGCCAGTTGGTATTGTAGCCCAGGGTTGCACCAGCTGGAACGGCGGGCTGTGTTTTTGCGCTCCTGGTATTTCCTCGGCACCATCAACAAATTCCAGATTGGCGAGAGCGCTCGCTTCGAGATCGCCCAGATCGAGCTAACCGCTGTGACCACGGCGGATGGCACCGCCAAGGCCGTCAAGGTGTTTGATGAATCAAGAGTATGCCGTGAATGTCGAAGGCATCACAGCACTTGCTAAGTTGATGCAAATGGCAGGGCGAAGAAGTGCGAAGCCACCAAACTCGCACGGGTCTAGTGTTCACGACGATTTCATCCGACGCACCGTCGTTCGACGAGTTCTTCCCGGGTCTCCAGGACCTGCTGGACTCGTACGACTTTACGCGTCTGCCGCACCGACGGCCCCTGACATACGATGGCAACTTCAACTGGAAGACCATGATGGACGGGTTCCAGGAATGTCTGCACTGCCAGTTCACGCACCCGGGCCTGTCAAAGCTGTATCCGCCGACGTTCTATCGCGTTGTGAACCATCACAACTGGTCGCGTCATTTCTCTAACCCCGATCGCGATGACGATGGACTGTTCTTGTACTTCTTCCCGATCAGTACCTTGAATTTGTATAACGGCGGGATGTCCACGTTCCGGGCGTGTCCGTCTGCGAAACCGGGCGTGTCGCGCATGGAGTTCGACTATTATAACTTGCAGTCTGGCGAGGAGTTTGAAGAGTACTATAAATTCGTGCGCCAGGTCGCGAACGAGGATTTCGACCTGTGTGAGCGCGCGCAGGCGAATCTCGAGAAGGGCGTATACACGGAAGGATGCCTCAACCCGGACAAGGAGACCGGGGTTGTCTGTAAGTTCTGGATGGGGTCTGCTCATGAGAAGGGGAACTGACTAACATGCCCTCGAGTCTATCAGGATCGAGTCTTCGAGATGGTCATGGCTCAGCATACGAGGGAGAAGGAACAGCGGAGCCAATATACTTAGGAACGTGACAGCTATGGGCGGACTGCAGAACGGCCGTATGTCTCGAGGTGTCCTGTAAGTACTGAGCATGGGTGCCGGGTGGCGACCTGTGTTGGCCCAAAGGAACTGTTTAGTTCATCCGTCAACTTTCTTGTAGCGTTCTTTGGGAGCACAGACACTTCTGGTTCTGCCTGTCTGGTGGTTGACTCGGCGGTTGCCATCTGCAGCAAAGGAAGTAGTCTCGTCTGTGTATGCGAGAACCTATGTAGCCTGCTACCCCATGAACAACACAGCATTAGAGATATACTCCCGTACCAAACGCCAGAAGCATACAGTCAGTCGCCGGCTTCTCCACGTCTTGGCAGGGCCGAGTGGAGAAGTTGAGCAGCCAGTGAAGCCTCAGCAGCCTTTCGCGGAAAATGAGTCAGGGCTCACGACGACTAACACATATCCCACACTGTCGCTCTGAGTTCGCTGTCAACCAACATTGAAAGAAGCTCCTCTAGACACTGCGCACGGCTTGTTGCCAGACTGTCTACCGGTCATGGCCGACTCGAACTCGAACCCGGCCGGTGGTGGGACTTCGCTCAACCCGAAAGCCGCGGCGTTTTCCATGCCTGCGCCTGGTGAAACTGTTCTCTCAAACGGGACCCCTCAAGCCGCGGAAAGTGCAGTGGCCAACGGGAATGAAGAAGCGAAAGGATCGAAGAAGACCAAGCCACGGCCGGACGCTGCCCCTCGGTCTACTACAGAGCAAAACATTGCTGAAGCGGGGGCTGGGGTCAAACTGTCGGGTGCTGCGTTGAAGAGGCAGAAGGCTGCCGAAAAAGCAGCGAGGAGGGCGGAGAAAGTTGCTGCCAAGGGGGAGCAAGCCGTGGAAGAGAACCAAGCGCAAGCGCAGGCACAGGCACAGGCACAGGCTCAATCAGGGACCGCGACTTCAGGCTCGAAGGGGGAGACACAAAGACGGCCGTCGACATCCAAGAGGGAGAGCGAGACAGGCTCACACCACAAGAGGACACCATCGGGCAAGGGCCTACCGATCCGAGGAGGACCACAGCAACAGCAGCAGCAGCAGCAGCAGCAGCAACCACCCCAGTCTGCAGCCGTCGAGAGGGAGAAACGAGCCGAAGTCAAGCGCGTCCCCATCTTTGCACACCTCTACCCAAAGGAAAAGAAAGCCACACTCTCGGGGGCGGGTCGAGAAATCCACCCGGCCGTGGTATCGCTGGGCCTTCAACTCCGCGACCATGTCATCTGCGGAGGCAACGCACGCTGTGTAGCCACGCTCCTCGCCTTCAAAAAGGTTATCCAGACGTACACGACGCCGCCTGGCGTGGCGCTGTCTCGCCACCTGTTGACCCACCTGAACCACCAAATCGCGTACCTCCGCAACGCCCGCCCGCTCAGCATGTCCCAGGGGAATAGCATCCGCTGGCTCAAGAACCTGATATCCACCCAGCCCGTTGACACCACGGACAGTGAAGCAAAGTCCACCATTTGCCAGGCCGTGGACCTCTTCATCCGCGAACGCATCACCCTCGCCGACGAGGTCATCGCGCGGGAAGCGAGTGGGCGGATCGAAGACCGAGACGTCATCCTCACGTACGCAAAGAGCAGCATCGTCGAGAAGACACTCCTCACCGCCCACCACCAGGGCAAGCAGTTCAAGGTCATTGTGGTTGATTCGAGACCCATGTTCGAGGGCCGCAATCTCGCGCGCAGCCTGGTCCGCGCCGGTCTCAAAGTGCAGTATACCCTGCTTTCGGGCCTCTCGGACGTGCTATCGTATCACCCGCAGGGTGACGCGGTGACCAAATGCTTTCTCGGCGCCTCTGCCATGCTCGGGAACGGGACTCTACTCTCCCGAGCGGGCTCGGCCATGGTGGCCATGATGGCGAAGGAGTGCAGCAGCAAGAACAATGCGCGTGTCGTGCCTGTGGTCGTCCTGTGCGAGACGGTCAAGTTCACGGCAAAGGCCGCGCTGGACAGTATCATCCTGAACGAGGTGGGCGATGCGGACGCGTTGGTCGAGGTCGAAGAGTTGAATATACTGTCTTCGACGAAACCAGCGACCACTCCTGCAGAAGCCGCCAAAGGCGGCAAGAAGCAGCAGGGCGGCCAGAAGGACAAAGACGATGAGGATGCGGAGGACAAGAACTCGTCAAGAGGGCTGGAAGGGTGGAAAGATCAACCGAACCTCTTGCTCCTGAATCTCATGTACGACGTCACGCCGGCCGAGTTCTTGGATCTGGTGGTTTGTGAGCTGGGCAGTCTGCCGCCACGAGCGGTGCCTGTGGTCAACGGCGTGCATGGGGATGATCAGGCTCTGGCCTGATATAATGACGGTGTTCATGCTTCCGGGGGGGTTCCCGTTCACTATCAGGGAGATGAAAGACTTGTACTTTTACTTATTCAAGTTTGCTAGAATCCCAGTACCTAGGTAGTCACTGTGGCGGTAGCAGTTACGACTTGTAACAGGGCAAGGACATCACGAGTCGAGACGAGGCGAGCAGAATGGAGTGCTTTGAAGAAATGTTCTCAATCCCCAGACTCACGTTGCGTGAATCCCCCGTCTAGCGTACCATGCTTTTTGCAAATACTGCAGAACAGCAACGTTCGTGATTGCATTGGAAAGTCGGTCTGCCATCCCTCGACATGCTTGAAGCTTTCCGCCCCGCCCCGCCACGCCTATCGAGCACTGCAATGACAACAGAATGCTCATTCGAACACCGTCTTGCGGCTCCATTGGTTTCTCTACCGCGCGAAACTCTAAATCTCCCTCCATCACCCAAGATCACCACGTTGAGTTTCAATCCAGTCGCGTTTCGTCCATAAGGCACAAATTTATCGGTGCTGCAGATAACATGTCAGCCAGCGTCCGTCTTGTGCGCATTTTCTCCGCTTGAAATGCGCGGTATTCGTTCTCGTACCTTGATGAAGCCGATATCCTGGCTCTTCTCTCGGAAGCACTGACGGCAGATGTTCAGGCCGTACTTGCGGATGAGACCGGCCGTGTGGGTGCAGACTCGGCTATAGGACCACAGTGTTAGTAAGATCATGTTCCCTCTGGCTGGCCATTTAGAAACGGTTGTTCTCGATGGCGTGTGAGTGAGCCCGTCCTAAATTGATGCAGCCTCTTCGCTTTGACTGCCTAGCGCCGCAAACTTCCTCGGTTCAATCCTTCGCTGCTCAAGCGTGAATTCCAACTCTTTCCGAACATAGGCACTGCATCGGTGCGATCGGGCGACATCTTCGAACTCGGACAGGTGGCGGGGATGCAGACGTACCATGATCGAGAACCCTTGCCGTAGGTTCGGGGCCGCGAGTACCAGACGCTCTCGTGAGACATGATGGAGGGTGTGCGAGCGACGACAAGAGAGGACGGTTCTGATTTTTCGACTGCCGCTATGATTTGATGTTAGAAACCAGGTCGTCCGAGTACTTTGGGAGCGCAGGAAAGGTGGATGTCTTGTGCGAGCCGACTCTCACGACGAGTTTCTGTAGGGTAGACTCACATTTGGGACTGCGCAAGAACTGGACGTCGAGTGCTAATCGTCACGTTGAAATCGTGCCTGCGACGACAGTCAAGGTGAAAGTTCTCGGCGCGATTTCGAATGTGGGATCCACAGTGCCAAGGATAAGGAGCACCACGTGACTGTTAGGGTAAAGCAGACGGCCAGTTGAGCAGCATGGACTTCCGGTTCCAGCCTGGCGTGCTTGGTCACTGTTTCCCCTCACCTCCAGACTCAGTCCCATGGGCGACCTCGCGAGGTATTGCGAGGCTACGATTCTCTACGGTATCTGATCACCCCTCTCATTCCTTGCTCGGATGGATGTTGACTCCTTGTTCGCACGAGTGACACGAGGCGTCCCGGATAGAGCAGTCTGTGACACCTTGTGTGGCCGCATGAACGTCTGCACTTGGCATTGTCCAAAAACTCGGCGTGAGATCATCATTTCTGTAGCCCGCCATCTTACTACCTTACTACTACCTTACTACTACCTCTCACCTTGTTGACATCGAGTAGTTGTATGGCCAAGATCCAAAGTCAGTCTCATGGCGCGCTCTCGACACGAGACAGGACAAGTGGGCACATTAGCGACATTAAGCAGTCCACTATTCGAACAGAAAGCCGCTGCCATTAATTACCCCAGTGCTGAACGTACGGAGTGACCACGATTATCTTATTTCAGTGTCTGCCAATCCATTCGGGAGTACAATTGCAGCGCGCGTACCCACTAAGGATATATCGAACGGACTTATACGCGCGGCGTCCAGATCCTCCAGTTTTCGTACCTACGCAACGTTGGAATAAACCTCGACAGGCACCGTCAAACTGACCGACCCATCCATCCCACAATTTGGTTTCTCACTGAGCCATGCACTCGATGCGACAGACTCCGAGCGAATCCCAAATCGTTCTGTGGTCGTGGAACCCAGACTTGTACTATAATCATGTCTGTGTTTCCCTCCACGTCCGCGTCAAGGGTTGTGGCTACGAAGACGTCTCACAAAGGCACACCCTCAGAAAGTTAATCGGCGTCGTGCGACTCCCGAGAGTGCTCATTGCTTCGGCGGGCCTGCAGTCAAAGCAGTGGATATCATAACGCCTCTCTCCCCCTCTCATGCCCCCGTTGCTTGTGTTCCAGCTGCTCTCTCACAAACTACGGTTGGATAGCGTAGCCACAATGCCGTAATCATCTGACCATCCATTGTCCACATATCGCGGCAGATTCCAAATTCAGCGAGACTGCTGCATAACGAACGCGTCGGTAAGTCGCCGAGGGTGCTCTTGACGTATCCTCGAGAGATTGACGTATCGTTTTCAACGCGGTACAGTAATAGATCTGTTGCATATACCTGTCGTCTGCCGCTCATCCCCGTAGCCATATAATAATGTCCGAGGCACCACTAGGTGGTAAGAACCTTATATCGAGAAACAGCCTCAAGGTCGATTATCGATATGGACGCCTGGTCAAACTTGATCCATACCATATCGACAGATAGAACGAACGTTAAGGTTACCAGATTCGACGATGTGGAGCCCTACGCACTCTCACAGTCGAGCCTAACAGTGAGGGACCTCTATCTTAGTCATATTATGGATATGCGTCTCACGCTGTGGTCTCGGAGAGTCAGGTACAGTATAGTATGTCCATGATAGTATACTGGCAGTCTGGTCTGATTGGGCGGGGGAGCAGCTTAGTATTTCTGTTCATCATATCATGCTTAGAGTATATATCTGAGCTGCGTTCGCTGATATGGAAACCAGGCGTATATTAGTACATATACGAGATTTGGTCGCGAGAAGAACCGTCCTCAATTTCCAAAGCTGTAGAACTATCAAAACAAGGATGGGCAGCAATCCCGCCGCCGAATCAGGCGACAACTACATCTTGTCTCGAAATTTCCTGTCATCTGCTCGGTATGTCCAGCTCCAGAGCGCCCTGCTGCTGCTGCTGCTGCCTCGAACTCACCGTAATGGTTTGAAAAAGACTTACAGCGCAACACTCCCTTTTCGTCCTGAAGAACGGGTTCTTGCTGCACCCAGAGATCGCCAAGCATATTCAGCATACGAGTACTCGTACCGGATCATTGGAAATCGCGGACATAGCAGCAGGGAACAGGTGGGTGCGCGAGCCAAGGACCAAAGGAGCACCCTTGCAGCAACGTCACTGAAATAACAGCAACAGGATCGTGGGCCTGACGTTGGCCCATGAGCATCCGCGGGCCAAGGTCGTCGCCCTTGACGTCTCCACAGAGCAGTACCCTCCGGTCTGGACACGTCCCGAAAACATCGACTTCGGCATATGGAACTTCTTCGACCCCCTCCCCGAGGAGTTTGTGGGAAGATTCGATGTTGTCCACGTTCGGGCGATTTGCGCCCCTCTGATGGCTGGGGGGAGAGAGGCGGTCATTAAGAAGCTGGTCCAGATGCTCAGTAAGGGGTTTTGGCGCCCCATGCCTTTGTGATCTACCCCGTTCGTCGGAGGGACTGACTTGGCTACTGTAGAACCCGGTGGCTACATCCAATGGTATGAAACCGTCTCCCAATGCTTCGCCGAGTTGGATCAGTCGCTCGATCCTTTGCCACTCAGCGCGGACTATTTCAGATTATTCGACAAATACGTCGGGTTGTTCAGCTCTATCCGGCAGTTTGACCGTCTCGCGACCGAGCTGGAGAGCGAAGGGTTGGTCGAGGTCGAAAGAACGGACTCTCCAATCATGCCGTATCTCCTTGAGCAGGAGACCGACTTTGTCCTATGGTCCTGCGATGAAGTGTTGGAGACCTTGCGTCGGAGGGGTGGCATTCTGGATATGAAAGAGCTGGAAGTGGCTCAAGATCAGTTAACTGCCGAAGTGGCACGCGGGAAATGCTTGACTTACACTATGGCGACCTTTATTGGGCGCAAGACCTAACGCGGAGTGGACGGCATTAACGTGGAATGGATGGTGGTTAACGTGGAGTATAGGGTGGTGGCTTGAGACTTGGTACTTTGTTAATATAGAAATTTCCTCAAACATTTGATCACAGATATCAAGTCCCTCAGCTGGTTGCTGATTAACATACATTTGGAACGCTCTTCTCAAACATAGTCAATACTGCTCATTGCACAGGTCGTCCGAGTTTTTGCCTGTTCCATGTTTCAGTCAGTACGGCCTTGCAAATTCTTATCGACTTGATGACACGCCATGGTGTTTAGTCCATCTCCTTTATGTGTCCAGGGACAGTGACGGCGACAAGACTACTACCTCGCTCGCTAGGCGACATCCCGATGGGTGCATTGCATCTTTCGCTGCCTCCTATGAATACGCAAGGTAAAGTTGTATCCATCAGCAGCGGATTCACCATCGAAGACGATAGCATGTAGGCAACGACGTTAGTCAGCGGATGAGCAACATCGAGACCATCCAGACAAACATGGAGCATCGAAAATTCTGCCGATACATTGATCCGCCTACATTACCATACCAAAGTGTGCCATACGTATCATAATTCAGTCAAGTACGCCCTCCAATCATGCTCGTCCTTGAAATCCAACATGCGCCGAATCTTCCTGTTGCTGATAGGCGCCTCGCGCTCCTCGAAACCCCTCGTCTGCAATATATGTGGATACAAGCCGCGTAGAAACTCGGCCGTATCCTGGCTCTCGTTCGTGATAGCGGTGTTCACCGCGTTAAACACCTGGAACCCCAAGCCCGAAACCATCAGCCCACGTTGACACATGGCTCCCAGGTCCCGCGCGTCCGTGTACGACCAGCCGTGCTGGAACCATTTCTCCGGCTCGCGCACATAGCCGCGGAACATGTCGCCGGCGGTGTATTCGTGCGGCTCGAACACGCGGCCGATCCGGAGGCAGTAGATGTCGACGCCGAAGCGGGCGGCGTAGCTGCGTGCAACCCTCTCGCCGCAGAGCTTGGACAGCGCGTAGGGGTCCGTCGGGTTGGTGTCGGCGTCCTCGGTGACGGGGAAGCTGGCGTACTCGAGGTCGCCCTGGCCGAAGGAGACGCCGTACACCGTCACGCTGCTGGCCAGGATGACCTTTTTGATGCCGAGCTTGCAGGCGGCTTCGACGACGTTGTGCGTGCCCAGCACGTTGATGCGGAAGGTCTCGCCGTCGCTGACGACCATGGGCTTGTTGATGCCGGCGAAGTGGATGACCGCGTCGACTGCGCGGGGTGGCTCCGCTGGGAACGGCTCGCCGAGGGTCATGTGCGTGTTGAGGGCGCTGAAGACTTGGCCGCTGTCCGTGAGGTCGCATTTGATCGTATGGACGTTCTGGAGGGCTGAAAAGGCCGGGTCCCCCGACGTGGTGGACGAGAGGTCCACTAGGTCGAGGTTGATGACTTGGTGACCGTGGTTGACGAGGGTTTGAATCACATGCCGGCCGACTTTGCCGGAGCCGCCTGTGAATGCGACTCGAAGGCCGGGCATGGTTCACTTAGGGATGGATGGGAAAGAGGGGGAGACGGAGACGGAGACGGAGTCAACGAGGCGAGGGTCCACGTGTGTCGGGGAAATGAATGGGATAGAAAGGGAGAGAGAGCACGGAGTAGGGTCAGCCAACAGTTACGTACTACCTCCCGATGAACAGAAGAAGGGTCATGCAAGGCTCTATCATGCAGACATGATGCACGGCTGAAGGTCTGCGATCTGTGGAGATCGCGGGGTAGTGCGAAGTCGGTGCGAGATGCGCGGTACCTTGTGAAGAAGAGCTCTTTTCCATAAGTAGTTCGCACACTGCGAATAGCCAGACAATTTCCGCGGGTCAGGAATTGACTGAATGATGTTGTTTCGATAAGGACTTGCACGGTGTTTAGTGCTAGGAGTGCGAAGGGTGCGGGCGCCCAATGTTAGAGATTGCAGGGCATTGCTTCGGTCTGCCTCTCTGTCACAGTGGCACGATGAGAGTGCTCGATCCCCAAAGTGCAAGGAGAATGATCTGGGAGCCACTTCGAGAAAGAATTAATTCATTAGGTCCTCCGTACTCCATGCCAGCACGACAAGGGAAAAGAGCGAGGAGTCCGCTTATCCCGCATTGCTTCACCGTATATTTACATCTCCGCCTTCCACGTCAGCCATCACTTATTAATTAATCTACACAGTTTACCCATTGCCCCACGCTTGTTCACCACTGTTCAATCTTCAGCTTGACGCGCCCTCGTTCTCGCTGACTACCAAATAGGACTCTCCGCTGTCGCATCCACATTCGCATTCGCACCATGTCGCGCGACTCCTCCGCCACACACATCCACATGCGCTCCTCGCGGCTCGCGGACGTGTTTGAAGAATTCTGCCGGCCCCCCTCCTCCACGGTCTTCGCACCCGCCGGCTCAACCACAGCCCAAGCCCAACAGTCCAGCAGCGGCGCGAACGCCAACGCCAACATTAACAGCAACGGCAGTCGAGGCACGCTCGCGGATGGCAGCGGCATGACCGCTGTGCCGGGCCACTACCTCCCGTTCGAAGAGATCGCGCTCCCCCTGCATTTGATGCCGATCAACCCCGAGGACGAGGATGATGTCGTGCCAGACATGCACGCCGCGTTTGGGATCAATCGCGCGTTGAACCAGACTTCAGCAGCCCCGGGGGTGATGGTGGCCGGTGCGGCGTCCGCGGTCGCGGGCGGGGTTGGCGGGAGCGGTGGGGCGATGGGCAGTGGTGAGCCGACCGGCGAGGCAAGCCACGCGGGAGTCATGCGGGAGCCGATCTGGAGGGATCTGGGCTTGGATCGCTTGATGGCGGATGTGCCGCGGAACCAGAACACCGCTGTTGAGCACGGAGAGATGGGGAGGAGGAGGGAGGGGCGACGAACAGGATTGCTCCTCCTGCGGTGATGAGACGGGAACCGTGAAACGAAAGGCACGAACGAAATGACCAAATGATGAGATGAAGGAAATCGCGCGCCTGACCCGGCGAACTGAAGACGAAGTTATTATGACATGTTTCATTATCTTTACAGCGTGATCGCTACCCAAGACGTGCTTGGGAATTACCAGCCAACGGTACTAGCGAGGAGACTGCCTGTCGGGGCTTGTGACTATATCCTTACGACATCGACTCGAGCGCGCTCGAAAACGTCATGGGTGACGGTCCGGGCTGCCTTCTCCTCCTCGGACAAGACACGCGGACGCAGTGAGATTTGGGAATATGTGCCGGCGGCCTTGCGTTTGGACAGCTGGCCCGGGTTGATCACCATCACGCTGTCGACGACCTGCAACACCATGTCAGCAATCGCCGCAGAAGAGCAATCGGAGTTCAGGCGGATCCAGGCCTCCAAACATACCTTGATGGACGGCGTCAACATACTCGGCAAGATCAGCACATCGGGCTTGACTTGCATCCATTCACCAAGCTTATAAAAGCCGAGATCCAGGCATGCACCTGTGGCTTTCACGATGCCGTTGCTGGACAACTTGCCTCTCGACATCGGTGGGTAAAGGGGGAAGAAATGCCGCTGGTCGATCAGGTAGCCTGGCAATCTCGTCAATAGGTCAGGCGCCGGACCATGTGACAGCTGCTCGCGACTGAGCTCGTATAGAATGTCTTGGGAGGAGACGGCGAATACGACCTCGTTCAGCGAGATGAACGACGGATTGGGAAGCATGGTGACTTGTTTGGGGAGAGCAAGGTCCTTCTTTACAAGTCGTGCTTGTGGCCAGCTGACGTGTTTATTCAAGGCGTCGCGAACGCTAGGGATCATGATGATTGTGACGCTCGGTACAGCTGAGCAGAGCCGTTGGAGAGGTGCGGATATCCATCTCTGGAACAATGCCGCCAACGAGGCTTCGTGGTCCAGGCCCTGCGCATCACCCATCTCAAAATCTCCAGAGGCAACCATTGGATGCTCGATGTCAAGGAACGGGCCATTCAGTATCAAAGCATCGGCTATTGATTCCTCAGCCTTGTCGCACAGCGCCTGGAAAGGCTCGAAGTCCAGGTTGTCTTCGGCGGTAAACGGACCGGAGGCGACAATGATGTTGAGAGGCAACGATGTCGAATCCTCCGAAACCTCCAGTCTCTCATTGATCGTCTCGATGTTGTTCGGCAAGGAAGCGGGCATAGGAAGCTTTGGTATTGAGAGCACTTCCTTGACGGAGAAGTAGAGGCCAGAAGCATTCGTGCCTCGCAACGCAACGATTTGGCCCGGGAAGAATTGGTAGGATGGTAGCGCATCAACTTTCAGCGGCACGCGGAGTCCTGCCCCCATTCGTCTCGACATCTCCAGCACTAGTGATGCTGCATTCAGTTTGCCTTCAGCAGTGTCGCATGCGATCCGGCCTACTGCAACAATCTCGCTGGTACTTTGCGCGGCAGCATTGCCGAAAGAAGAGTCTTCCAGGTTGTAAGCCTTTTGAATGATAGCCAGGAAATTGTCGATGCGCTCATCAAGCATTTCCGATGCCTCCGAAAGGTGCATCGCCATCGGCCTGTATTCGAACTTTTTGTAGTCGGTCCCCGAGACCAGTTTCACGCGTGCTTGCGAGAAAGGCGCAATTGGTGCTTCAGCCGCCGAGAGGTGCTCGTTGAGTGTCTCAATGGTCTGACCTGGATTCTGTCGCTCGGAGAAGGGTATTCCCGCCAGTCCATCTGTCTTCCCAGTTTTGCTTGGAGTCTTCTTCATGTCAGGCCGACTGACCTTCCGGGGCATTGGAGTGTCGAAATCCGATTTTCGCTTGATGCTGCCATTTCGTCGTGGGTGTGCATTGGGCGTGAGTTCATCGAGCCTGTCTCTGTCAGCATTATTTTCGACGACGCCACGAAAGGAGCATGACTGCCACATACATGCCGAAGACGTCCGCTTTCCCATTAGTCCGAGGAGTAGCGTGCACGTTACTTTTCCTTTCTTGCTTGACTGCGGATTTGGGTCCCGATTGTTGTGCCCGTTCTCCTCGCTCGACCGAGTCTTGCACGTCTTTCGCGAACATGCGCGCGGTCTCGAGATCCAACTTCGTCTCCTCGCTGCCCATCTTCAAACAGTAGACCTCCCATTTTATAAACAACTCGTCTGCGGTTAGGGAGTGGACGCGGAGTACTGATTGCAGGACGTCCAGGATGTCTGGAGCGAGTCCATTGCCTGCAGGATCGAAGCGTGCATTGAGGTTTTCTTTCATTTCGGTCATGTTGGCTGATACGTTGCGCTGTTGATGGAGAGTCGGGATGAGGACTGATTGTGGTTCATCATAGACTGCTTTGACGAAATGTGAAGTCGACGCGACTTTCCGACGCGTTAATTGCCAAGATAGGGCGTTACAGGCTAGCCGCTTCAAGTCTGGCGTGTTTACATGTGGGGAGAGATCTCATGTGGGGGCCACAATGGTACGAATGATCACGTCACGGCAGGTATGGCTTCACAGCCTCCACTGGGCTCATCGCTCACGCTTGTAATCTTCAAGACCACGGGCCTGCGTGCGGATATTTTCCATCTGGGTTTTGCAAATCTTCTGCAGGAGGACTGTGGCAATTAGCAGCGAGGAAGTCACTTGCCAGCTCTACATGACCGGTTCAGAGACACTCGTAATTCCAGGGTTGCCCTCGAATCATGTGTGGATGGAGATTCTACTGTGTACGCAGAACATCCACTCCCTTTGCACGTTTTGATATCGAGTCAGTATGCGCCAATTGCGAGTTGGAAGACTCTGGATTTCCGAATTGCTCATAAGATGATGCTCGCTCATTTCGCTCGCTTGACGCCCAAGTCTACCGTCATCCCTCTCCGGCTCGGCTTTCTCTTCGGAGGTTTACCTCGAATTGGTCTCGGTCGATTCCTCTCCTCGTGGTTCCCCATTTCATCACCGTCTCTCTCCATCTACTCCTATTGCCGTCCTTCACCCGTGAAACTGAAGGTCGTCTCGAATGCCGATCACCTGAACACGTGATAAATTCTATACACTCGGTCCAACTGATTGATAGGTAGATACAGAAGTTGCCAAAACCATGCAGCGGAACGCAGGCGGCGGAAGCGAGATAGAGGCCATAGATCGCCTTGTTGGGAGCGGCGATATTGTAGACGCGGTTAACGCTTATAGGGACCTGTGAGCAACGTTCGCATTAATGTCAGAATTCACAGCTCAATTCGTGTCCATCGGTGTCTTCAGGTTCCAAAACGGAGATTTTGGGTAGCATCGGAACTAAGGCTAAGGCAGATCTGGGGTAGACGAGACGTACCCAGGTCACAAACAAAACAAGCGTGCACAGAAGAGCAAATTTTGCGTATTTCCAGTGAATCCTGTCGAAGCGGGAAGACGACCGTCGCGAAGAAATCTGTTCGCTGTTTTGCAGTATTGGTTGATCGGAAGGCGAACGGCCCAGAGTACCAGCAGGGGAGGTCGGGTGCCAAGTGCCGAACGGTGATGAGGAAGTTGTGGTTTGGTATAGTGATTCTTGTGCGTAGGGGCCTCCTTGTAGCTGCCGCTCTAGGTCCAGGAGCTCGCGCGATTGAATCGGTGCGAGTGGCGAAAGGGGCTCGAGTCCTTTGAATTGAGGGGATGGCAGCTGTGAGCTCTGCTCGCCGTTCGTGGCTGTCACTACTGATCCTCCTGATTCTAAACTTACAGTGGGCCCAATAAAAGCTCGCGCGAAACTTGAGAATCGGCGCTCTCGTGGCACAGGAAAGCCGTCGGTGCCTAGAGCAAGCTCTTCCCTGTGTAGAGCGGATTGGGCTTTGGCGGACTTGACGCTATTACGAACACGAAGGATCTGCTTGCCGCTCAGAGCGAGGAAGAAGATGGCGATAGAAACGAAACACCTGACCTAGTTTAGAAACTGTTCCTTGAGAAGGCTTCTTGATAATGAAGCTCACCATATTGGCACGAAGAAGGCCACCAGCCGGATGATCGCGGACTCCTTAGCAATCCAACACCAAAGTGTCGCCGGGCCGTAGACAGTCTTGCCGTTCGGCCTCCAGAACAAGTAGGTGAAAGCTTGAATGAAAGGTAAGATGAATGCTAATAAGACCGCAACAAAATCGATCTTTCTCAATTCTGTCGCATTCCGTTTGGTCCGAACAGTCAGAAAGACATTAAACGCCATTATCATCACCTGTAGTACAAATTAGATCAATTGGTCCAAGTACACCGTATAGACGGGTGCATAGGGCTAAAGCGCACAAGTAAGGGGTCTGTCATCAAGAACCAAGTGAGAAGGAACCCTTGGGTCTGGCACCAAGCGGAATTCCGTCCAGCGTGTATGGGGGCCTGAGCCCAACTGTACGAGAGGCATCCAAAGAAGTTGGCGACAGCAATGGAGAACGCAAGCCGGTTGACGGGTTTCCGTAGCGGCGGATAGCTGAGGAAGCTGGTTATCGTAAAAGACGAGCCCGCCAATGACAGGCATGATGATATTCTAGCGACAATCTGAAAGTCTCGTAACTGCTCAGGGGAGAAAGTCTGGCTTGGTTGTTGGGACATCTCAGTTTCGGCATTGTGGCTTCACGTGGCTCGAGGTTTGAGGACTCTGCACGATTAGGTCCGCGGTCGAATTAGTCTACAAGCTCCAAAAGCAGACTCATTGGCACCTCTCACGCGCTCGCAGCGCTCTCAACGCAGGATGACTGCTACTTTCGTGGTCCAACAACTCTTGAACGTTGCATGGGACGTTGCTGAGGTGCGAAGGTATCGGAAATGCTCGCCTGAAAGGGAAGTGAGGATGGGGAAGAGGAGCCGGCCAGAGCAGCGTGCCTTAAAAGAATGAATGGCTTGAGTGCTTGATGAGTTAATCATGGGGAAACTCGCGGCTGACGCTCGAGCTTGGTGGAAATCGGCAGTGATCACCGGAGGTCTTACGACCTGAAAGTTTGACCGTGCTGACATACTCGACTGGTCAGTGGCCAGAATTGGCAGCATGTTGCTTGCTTCGACTACAGCCCATGGGAGTGAAGAGGTCAGAGCCGGTGAGCGAGCACATGGGCTACTGCAGGAAGCCGCGAGCTTGCCTTTCCCACTTTAGTACATATTCTGAGTTTAGCTGATTAAGAGCTGCAAGGCCGGGATATTTGAGCAGTCATAGGCCGACTTAAACGAGGTCATGAGGGGAGTTGAAAAGAGAATACGGAGTAAAGAGTAAGGGGAAGCGAGATTTGGAGGCTGGCCTTCAGCTTGCTCGATTCGCACGGCAGGATGTCCACATGAAACCGCTTACTGGAGTGGGTAGAGAAGCCGCGTGACAACATGGTGGAGGGGATGTTTTCGTGCTCGCGCAGCAGGACAGCTAGGATGGTTATAATCGTCGACTGCGATGGGTATCGTCGAGGACTAGCACTTCGAGGAATGCGAACAGATGTTGTGGCTGAAGCTCCAGCCTCACAGCGGGGCAGGTCGACTACTGTGGGCTCCACATGGCTGGGCGCCCACGCACCCAGCCACCAGCAGCCACCAGCAGCCACTGGGTGACTGGTGGGTGACTGGACAATCCTCAGCGCTTACATAAGTCAAGCGGTGAAATTGATTTCATCAGGCTGCCCGGCACAGGGGTTTCCGATCGTGGCTTCTCAGTTTCCCCAACAATCTCAAGCCGTAATGTGAGCTTCATCTTTCCACGGTCTGCCGGACCACCTGATTCTTCTGGCGCATCGCTCATTCGACAATCCCACAATATGGCAGTAGATGTGGCAAACAATGCGACATTACGAACTGGGTCTGCCGATCCCGAAAAGGCGGCTGCGGATCTAGCGACACAAGTCGGGCAGGTGAAAATTGAGGACGACACAACCCAGGCGGTAGATATACCTGTGCACGATGTCAAGGGCGCGAATGAGATTGCTGTCGCCGCCAACGGAAACCAAGCAGAGAAACAGCCCGAAAACGCATCATCTGCTCCGAAGCTGAACCTCCCTCGCACCGCCGCTGATGGTCTTATCAAAACACCGTTAGCCGAGCCTCTAGAGACCTCGAAGCCGGCCGTGAGGCCAGCATTGACGGCGGAACAGGAGACAAAATATGCCGCACTCTACAAGAATGTGACTGCATGGACCGAGATACCAGAGACATCAGCCAAGGGATCCAAGTCCACAGCCATGACAGACTCGGAGCGCATGTTCCTGACACGGGAATGTCTGCTTCGCTATCTCAGAGCTACAAACTGGAATGTGGCACAAGCTGAGACCCGACTGAGAAATACGCTGGTATGGCGACGCGAGTATGGCCTCGAGAAACACACAAAGGACTATATCTCTATCGAGAATGCCACTGGCAAGCAACTGATTCTGGGGTGGGACAACGAAGGCCGAACATGCCAGTACATGCGGCCGTCCAAACAGAACACCGAGCGGAGCGACAGGCAGATTCAGCATTTGGTCTTCATGCTTGAGCGATCGATTGATATGATGCCGTGCGGGCAGGAGACTTTGGCATTGCTCATCAACTTTGCAGAGACCAAGTCCGGCCAAGGGGCAACCTTGTCGCAGGGCAAGCAAACGCTCAATATTTTACAGAACCACTATCCGGAGCGGCTCGGAAGGGCTTTGGTGACCAATGTGCCCTTCTACATCTGGGGTTTCTTCAAGCTGATCACTCCATTTATCGACCCTTTGACGCGTGAGAAGATCAAATTCAACGAGGACTCGGGCATCCATGTACCTCGAGAGCAGCTGCTGAAGGAGAGTGGTGGACTGGTGGAATTTGAGTACGACCACGAGATATACTGGCCGGCGCTCAATGACTTGTGCGAGCTGAAGCGGCAACAGTACCGGGCACGATGGGAGAAGGGCGGGAAGAGGATCGGAGAGTACGAAGGGTATCTTAAGGGAGGAGACGAGAAGTCGTTGGCTGAGCGGGAAGCGGAAGCGGGCCAGTCGTCTGCTTAGAAGGAATACTACTAGTGATTGGCGGCGTCCATGGCACTTCAAGCGATTCAATAGACCAGGCACGGGCGTAGGCACAGGCGCAGGCACAGGCACAGGCACCGAAGACCAGATAGATGATAGGAACAGGAATAGGAACAGGAACAGGAACAGGCATCTTGTCTTGTGACCTCCAACCTCTGGTGGACTGCGTTCTCGGCTGATCTTCACATGCTATTTTAGCTTCTGACTATTAATTAAGCCACCGATTCTTGGTGAACCGGTCACCCCTCTCTCCCGGGTTCCCTCCATTTCGAGTCGGATCAAGTCTCCGGGCTGGCAGCCCTGTACAGAGTAACCGTGAACGGGAGCGACGGAGCATGGCAGGCAGCTCGCCAATACGAGACCGACGTAGTACAGTACTTTATGCTTTGCAGAGTAAGGCTCCTTGCATACGTAGTTGTGCTCAACGGCCTCTCGTTGTGTGACCGACGATCACTTCTCCTTCACTTCACTTTCTCGCCTCGACCCGCTCTGCCCTACCCACTTTCCTCTCCCTCCTCCAGCTTTGACTTGAGCAGACTGCCCGCTCTCCCACGTTTTCTCCCCACTCTTCCTCGTCCATCGTCCTTTGTCGAAGCAACAAGAAAATCTACCGTCACGCGCGCCGGAGCAATACACCTGTCAAACACAAAACCATGCAGTGTGGTCGATCGCCATGTCAGAAGATACAGAGGTGACACCGGCGCAGACGCCTACCCCGCCATACGGCCAGCCCAGCGGGCCTCATCAGCAACAGCATCAGCCGACGCGCTCTCAACATAGCACTCCTCCTTCTTCTCACTCTAGCTACGATTCCCAGGCCACATTCGTGCGCCCTGCAGATCTCCTCCGTCCGAAACCAGCGCCGCAACCTTCGGCACCTCCGTCGCGGCCTCAGCCTGAAAGTCAGATAGACCGAGATGAAAGAGCCGGGCTACAAGCGTGCCGGGATTTCCTCCGCGCGCGCAAGTGCTATGACGTGCTGCCACTGAGTTTCCGACTGATAGAGCTGGACGTCGGGCTTACGGTCAAGGAGAGTCTGCAGATTATGGTACAGTGCGGTATGTCTCGAGTCGCAAGACCGGACGGATGAAACGAGGCAGTCGAACTAACTTCCTGGAAGGCATCGTCTCTGCGCCGCTATGGGACTCGAATACCTCCACCTATGCCGGTCTCTTGACGGTGAATGACTACCTCAACGTCGTGCGATACTACAATCTCCACGCCGATAAGCTGAAGGATGTCGACAAACTCCTTCTCAGTGACTTGAAAGGTACGCTCTCTGTCCCTGTCTATGGGCCATGTCCAACCTGACCTAATCCACTCGCTGACTCACTCGTCTTGTGCTAGACGTCGAGAAAGTCCTCAATGTCCGGGCGCCCGAAACTGTCAGCGCCTCTCCAGAAGCGATCCTCTACGACGCGTTACGGAAGCAGCTGGTCTCCCGGGCTCGTCGCATACCTCTCGTGTCCTATGATTCCGACACACAGCGCACCATGGTCACGTCGGTAATAACACAATACCGCATTCTCAAGTTTATTGCCATGAACGTGAAAGAAACCGACATGTTGAAGAAACCACTTGCAGTCATCAAGTTGGGCACCTACACGGAGATTGTGAGGTGTAGTATGGATAGCAGTGTGTTGGACGTGGTCGACATCATGGTCACCAAGAATATCAGTTCCGTGCCTGTAGTGACGACGGAGGGTAAGCACCTCATCCTTTCCTACAAGGCTTCACCGGAACTAAGTCCTGCTAATGTACCTTCTTGATAGGCGTCCTTCTCAATGTTTTTGAAGCCGTCGACGTGATCGAGATCCTCAAATCCGGCGACTACGGCAATCTGACCTGGACTGTTGGGCGTGCGCTCAGTGCTCGCTCTGCCACACATCCGGGCATATACTGCTGCAGCATCGACGACGGCCTAGACACCATCTTTGAAACGATCAAGAAGAGCCGTGTGCACCGCATGATGGTTGTGGATGACAGCAACGTGCTCAAGGGTGTCTTGAGTCTGAGTGACATTTTGCATTATCTGCTCGTGGACGGAGAGGAGCACGGCCATGTCGAAGGGAGAATGACTCTTGGCGCGTGAGTCTCGCAATTAGCGGTAGTTATAAACATCGAGGTTCGAGAGAGGAGAAGCAAGAGCGACAGCGAGAGGTGGTGTGCTCAGAGTCCAGCCGGCAATAGAAGGCGTTAAAAAAGGTCGAGTATTGAATGACGGACTTGAGCAATCCGCAGGCTTCGTCGGAATACGGAGGATACCAGCACTGGATCCAACAGGAGCATAGCCCGGCGTTACCAATCAATGGCGCGGGTCACGGACTGGCTTAAGAATGGGTGGATGGATGAATGGCTAAAACTAGATGGACGACCTGAATGTGCTTTATGAAGATTTGAGAACACGATGCAGAATACCGTCAGATTCAAATGATGCATGCTGTTGAGGCTGATAGAGACAGACTCCGGAACCCTCTTGCTCGGATACGATGACATGTAATACATTCCATCACTCCATGGGTTGGTCCTTACTCCACGGGCGTAGTGAAGGGGAATCATGTTCGCCAGCTGGGATCGCATTATGACTGTCGTTGCAAGTAATTAATTAGCAACTAGACAAGGCACTATCCGATGTTTCTGACCGAGTAGGGATCCCTCTACGACTCCGAGTCACTCCAGTCTTTCTTGGTATGACGGAGTAAGGACTACCGGTTCCCCTTCAGTTCGTTCGCAAGCCACAAACCAACGATGAGCCACAGCTGTAGTTCTCGCATAATTGGCAGAATGCCGTGCTTGCTCACAGGTCGGCTCTGTCTCAGATATTTGTGGAATTACTGCACGAAGAGCCTCGTGTGTGCGAATTTGTTGTGATCCGTTTGGCACCTTGCTTTTCTGGCCAACCTCCATCCCTTCACAGCTTCAACTCTCTAGCATCGTGGGGGGCCTTCGTCGCATTGTTCTGAGATCGCTTCCGCCACTTGAGGCGCAGAAGGCGTTGGGTTCCCTCCCACTCAGTCGGAGATTCAGGTCCCAAAATGAGGCACTCGCGGCCGTCTTCCTGGATGAGCTCCGCCTGGCGGACTTGCAAGGTATTGATCAAGTTCGGATGCATGCTGATTTGGGCGTGGTGGACGATCGTCTGGGGCTTGCCGGGGTCCTCGTCAAGGTAGAATGGACCGCCGTACGCCATGGTCTTCTTCGCGGCAGTAGCCAGTTCTTCGGTGTTGCCGTGTTTCCAGTGGTGCTCGAAGGGTTTCAGGTTCCCCTCTTGTAGCAGAGCCGCCATGTACCCGTCGCTACTGTACATGATTTGTCCTTTGGCCTCATTGCCCATGGGGTAGACAATGTCGTCTGGATCCTCGGGATTGATGGCGATGTAGTAGACGAGATCCCAGGTGCCGATGATCTGCGATCGAAAAGATGTCATTGCTGCAGGCGTGGAGGTCTGATCTTGGGGTACAGGAGTGGAGGCGGACATTTTGGTATTTCAAGCTTGGGAATGATGCAGGTTTGCACGAAAAGGAGACTGAGAGCAGAGATAGGATTGTCAAGTGCGGCAAACAAGCAAATGGTTCTGCGTCCGGGTGATGTTTGTGCTATGCGGAGGGGTGGTCAAATGGCATGGAAAGGCAACAGAGTCGCAGCTTGATATTGGGAGGGCAGGAGCCGCAGACGAGCCAGCATCACTTGCGTCCTTCCTGCACGGCATCTGTGACTCCTTTACCTTGACTTCGTGAAGTCCGGTTGACAAACCGTGAAACTTCTCACGGCATGCGAGCTTGTCTCCACTTGATGAGGTAAAGCATGCTCACTTGATTTCAGATGGGCGTATGTTGCGTTTGAATATCCCTGCACAGATGGCTGCGCCCTGAAGCAATGTTCAGCTGATGGGGATTAAGTGTGAAGTGACATGAGATTGAGACGAGTTTCAAACAGACTGTCGTTGGAGCTTCAAAACCATTCGGCTGTAAATTGGTTGAGCACGGACTGTCTGCTGTGACGTAGTACTCGATGTGCTGCATACTCCGCCGTATCTGCAACCGATGGCAAACGGCCTACGGAGTACAGACTCTACGATTGCTGTGACTGGTAGAGTCAACACCACACATTTCTGAAGTCTAGTCCGCCTGCTGGTTGCAGGGCATTCTCAGCATGCCACCGCCTATGCCCAATCCCGCGAAGCGGTTCACTGCAAATCCCGCAAGACCCGTTGGAAGGTATCGTCCGGGCAAGCCAGTTGCGGAGCAAGAATCCTCTGACGAAGAAGAATCAGAGGAGGAGCAGCCAAGTCAGAAACCACCGCAGAGAAGACCGCAGCCGTCCCGACCGCAGCCCGCAAAGCCCCAGGCACAGAGACAGGAAGAGAGCGAGGATGAGGATGAGGAAGGATTTGTTACAGACGACGAGGATGGCACCACTGCCACGGCGCCCAAAGTGGGAACACCACAGAACAAGGCTCCAGCTATAGGCTCGCGGTCGGACACTGCAAGGCAAACAGACATCAAACAGGAGTCTGAAGACGAGGAAGACGAATCCGAAGACGAATCCGAAGAAGAGGACGAAGAAGAGGACGAAGAAGAGGACGAAGAAGAGGAAAGTTCCGAAGACGACGCCCCTCGGCGGAAGTTCCAACGTCCTACGTTTATCAAGAAATCAGACCGAAACCTATCAGCTACCCCACAAGCCTCCAATGCTACACCCGAAGCGATCACAAATGGCACGCCTGCTCCCGACTCCGAAATGGACACACAAGCACGGCGGCTTGCACAAGCAGAACTTCTTATAAAAGATAAACTCGAACGAGATGCAATTGCTCGCGCGCAAGGGAAGAAGGCATGGGACGATGACGACGACGTCCTCCCCGAATCGATGGTAGATGACACAGACGGCCTCGACCCTGAAGGCGAGTATCAAGCCTGGAAACTCCGCGAGTTGAAGCGTCTGAAGCGAGATCGCGAGGCCCTGATCGCACGAGAGAAGGAAATCGAAGAAATCGAACGGCGGCGGAATCTTACTGCGGAAGAACGTGAAAAAGAAGATAAAGAATATCTCGAGAAACAAAAGGCCGAGCGCGAGGAGAATCGCCATGAAGCTTCATACCTAGCTCGGTACCACCACAAAGGTGCATTCTTCCAAGGCGACGAAGCAGCGGAAATCCTGAAGAGACGAGACGTCATGGGCGCACGCTTCGAAGACCAAGTATCTGACAAGTCCGCGCTACCAGAATACATGCGCATACGTGACATGACTAAACTAGGCAAGAAAGGAAGAACGAGGTACACGGATATGAAGAACGAAGACACGGGCCGATTTGGTGAGGACGTAAAGAGATGGCGAGGAAGTGGCGGTGGATCTGGCGTTGGTAGGAACGGTGATTCCGTCATGAGAGGCGTCGACGAGCGGTTCTTACCTGATGATCACCGAAGCGGAGGGACGCCTGGCCCAACGGGTGCAAATGCGAGTGTTGTTGCATCACGACGCGAGAGAGGTCCAGACTATGATAGGGACAGGGAGGGCGACAGAGATGAGTATCGAGACTCATATCGTTCCCGAGACAGAAGCCGGGATCGGAGAGATGAAGGCCGCAGGCGAGATCCGGATAAAGACAGGCGGAAACGCTCATACTCTCGATCACGATCTCGTTCCCGGTCGCCTCGAAGACGGAAGAGAGACCATTCATACGAGCGAGACCCGAGAGAACGCGACGACTACCGCCACAGAGACGGTGTCAGAGCTTGAGGATCCAGAGCAAAACAGAAATCAGTTGATGATCAAGGAAGCCTGGACATAAGAGGTAGCTACCTCCCGAGCAGGTTCCTCATTCGCAGACAGCATGGCAGCCCATGTGTCTGTTTCAACAAGGCTGTCGCAATCGATGTGATATGGCAGTCAATTGAAGGTACTCATGTCATGTTTGAGCTGTGCCGCTACTCGAAGACAATATCATTCTATGCGGAGTCCTATGTGACTGCGAGAACACTGGAATTGATCTCGTCCCGAACGAATGGCGACCCGACGAAAGACCCCAGTATGTGTTTCGAGGCTGATATCAATCTGCCCCAACCATTCTCGAAAAGAGTGGCCCGCAAAGGTAAGTGGATAGCCGCAGGAGTCGGACATTGTTTTATATCAACCTCATTCCGCATCATGGCGTACACTCCCAGTTCGTCTGTGGTTACGCTCTCAAAGCTGAGAGTTCTGAGAAGATCGAACACATTGCCAGGAGCTGGTGTTGGTCTATCCGCTTCTGACCGTTGGACGCTCGATTCGCACGCTCGGAACTCGTCTCGACTCATCTCGTGGGTGAGACGCTTCTATCCGCAAGTCCCTCATGTCACACTCTTCGTCGCTGCCTACATACCGTCACTCCGTCCCTGGCACCCTGCCTCACTATCTGTTATTGATATGGCCACTCGTGTTGTCACAACGGTACATCTTTGCTTGTCCCTGATTCCCAAAAACATCAGCATCACTATCGACGACCTGCACCTAAATGCCATTTGTTTGAAGCCTTGAATTGAAGTATAACCAAAGGCTGCTGCTTCAGCAATTCGTATTCTCGCATCTGCGCCATGCTAGACTCTACCACGATTACCCCAATAGTCCACAGACACAGAAGATAGAGTAAAGCCTTGCACACACACCTCACCGCACACACCAAATACAATCAAATATATTATACCCGACTTCAGCTTCCGCCTCCACACGACACGAAATGACTTCTAGAGGTATACCTCGACCCCCTTGTCCATGAGTATCAGAAACTGCGCTGACCTTTGTTCAACGTACAGGATCCAGCTATCAAACTCGCCCGGTCAAAGCAGCAGTCGCAGCCACAGCCGCAACCGCAACCGTCGACCGTCGTCCCGAGAAAAGGAAGCATAGATGTAAAGTCGTCCACTTCAGCCTGGGGCCAGTCTCTCCTCCGCTGCCGTCTCCGCAACCGCGTAACAAGCGACGTCCTCGACGCAAGCATACCAAGGCTGTCGATCCGGACGCCCGACGCCACGCTCTAGCCCCGAGCGGAGGCAGCATCCACGGCGAAGGTCGCAGGAAAGGACTGCCCAGAGACGAGGCCACCACCACCACGGTGGTGACGGCGGTAGCCGATCATGTGGATGATAATATTGCTCCTTCTCGTCCCTCTCCTTCTCTTGCTCAAGTCGAGTCCGATACACGCTGCCTACCCACTTGTCCTCGTCCTTTCCCCCAGAAATCCATATCCACGAACGACCCCTCTGGCTGCGGATCTCGACCTTTGCGTACAACCACGGGTAGTCACGTATGGATACGGTAAGTTGCTCCTCTCTCCCTTGATGCCATCTGCGATACGCGATACGCGATTGCGATATGCGATACTAATGCCACGACTATCTTCACCAGGCGTGAGTGGCCACGGTCCCGTCTCGGGCATAGATATGGGTATGGATATGGAAATCGCCCTGTGTGATCCGCTTTGTCCGGCGAAGCCACAGACGCAGACGCAGACGAAGCCACAGACGCAGACACCTCCTCGCCCTCAACCTCGACTGTACGAGTACGAGTACGAGGACGGAGCAATCCATGGGAACAGGAATGGGAACCCTTCTCCTGATCTCGGTACCAAGACCAAGACCAAGACCAAGACCGCCTTGGGGGTTTGTGCCGTCGAGATGGTTTCTGTGGCGGCGTAGCACTACAGCACAGTAGCGCTATGGTTCGAATTCGATTACCCACTGCTCTGCACTGCTCTGCACTGCACTGTAATTCTGGCTTGGGTGTATTACTGGTGCTGGTGCTGGAGTGGTCGTGGTAAAGATACTGTACTGGCCTTTATGCCTATACTGCGCATGTAAGCATCGAGCATTCTATATTCCACATCGCATGTATTCCATATCGCATGTATTTCATACTGTATGTTGTATATTGTATATCCTCAACCGAGGAGTTCTAACTCGGACATGAATTCTGGTGTCTGCGGGGTAAAACCAACGACCAAGCTCCCTATATACGCCTTTTCCGCTGTAGAGAACCAGAGAGTAGACGTTCACTACTGTGGCAAAGAGCGACGGTGAGGGTATAAATGGGCATAGATATGGTATGGTACGTACGTATACACATCTAATCTATAGTTCGAGCAAGGAGCTGTGCGAAATGGTAAGAGGGTCAGATGGTCAGTTTCACCAGGAGAGCCTCGGATGGGATACATGATGTGATTCATAAACAGAGGACTTTGCGCCATGTGCATGAGAAGAGCGTGCTCGCGGTCGCGGTCATGATGGCACTCGAGCAGATAGCTAATTAGCCAAGCAGATAGCTGGATAGACATACGGAGTACATATCGACAGACAGCTAAAATGTTGCAACCACGCTGTGACCAGACCGTATTCTACCGTCCAGTCTACGTGGATGACCGGCCTAGGGGCTGATACATGGTTGCTTCTGCATTCGTGGCTGCTTCTACGATCGTCCCATCCCAGGCGTGTCGGTGGGTACAGAGTACTCCGTACAGTTGCTGTAAATATCGTCGCTGACAAAGTACAGTAGTGGACGGTGACGAGCGTGGATTGTCCAATGGGTAGGTTTCTCAACTGAGACCGTGGATTCGAGTTCGTCATAGCATAACTCGTAGCTATAGCCGTAGCCACACGAATGGACATAGCGCTCGAATACAGTAACTACAAATAAGACTAAACCCCTGGAAGGGTGCAACCTCTTGTACACAAGCATCATTATGCTACTACCACTACTAGTGCCATTGTCTTGGCCAGGCTTTCCTTCGCCGTCCCTGATTATAATTGACTTATGTCCTCGTCTTACACCTTCACTCGAGGATCGGGCTCAAATGCAAGGACCCCAGCCTCGAAAACTCCCAGACGACCGGCCGAGGCCGGCTAGTACAATGTTTCATGTGCCGGGATCAAGGTTACCAAGGTTGCACCGAATCCGTGTTCATCTTTGACTGCCAATCTGCTCTTCAGTCTTGGTGTTCAATATACTGAACCATCCGGGATAGCCGCATAAAAAAAAACCGCCCCAACCTGGCGAGTGACGCCTAAACTCTAGCCTTGTCGAGCTTGAAATGGACTGATTTCTAGAGCGATTTATCTGGAGCACTAGCACTCCTGGCTCTGTGATCCACTGCATCTGACGTAGTCCAATGCCCATGCCTTGTCCCATGACATCTGTCAAGACCGGTCCGAATGTGGTGGCTGCAAAGCCAGTCTTGGTTGAGACTTGATGCTTCGGCAGACTCATAATGAGTCGATCCTGAACACGGATACATGACCGGATCCGAAAGGTGCGCTAGGGGCCAAAGTTTGAGAGACCAGCCGAGGCGGGAAGGATTGTGCGCCGTTGTCTGGATCGTATAGCGGATGGAGCCAGACACGGGATGTGTGGTATAGCGGATGGAGCCTTATCCGAAGCGAGTTGACATTCTTCCCTGCGCACAGATGCTGGATTTCCGGCGCTGGGCAGCTGAGGGGACTGCTGCATGTACCGCCGTGCTGAGATGCGAGAACAACATGCCCGATCCAATTGGTAGAGCTTGTGACCAAGGTGATTAGTGTACCGCGTCGTCTGTCAAGTCAACGCACATGTGCACCATTCCTCGGACAGTCTATTTTGGGCGCAGTTGATCAACCGGCTCACTGCATCGCCACTGCATCATCTGGTCGTCGGTGCTCACTTGTCTGTTTTCTCCCTCGGGCCTGCGTCTCACTTGACACCCTGCCTTTCCAGTTCCCTCTCCCTCTCGAGCACAGATTCCTCGAATTTGATGAGAAACACGGTCCGATTAGGCCACACGTCCGTGCTGGTGTTATGCGCGCTGGCCTTACAGGCGAAGCCCGCCGCATCGCAAACCCCCTCGATGATCCCGGCAATGTACGCCGCAACCGCCAGTTGATTCATCTCCTTCGGTACCGAGATATACTGATTCGTCAACGGCGTGTTGTCGATGATCATATACTCTCCGGGGTTCGTCGTGCTTTGCTCTAGACTATCCGCCGGCCGCGAGAACAACAACGGATACAACTTCGTCGTCAGCAGGTTCAGCAGCGGCAACAGCCTCAATGGTCGATTGGAATCCGCTCGACCACTCCCGCTGCTCCCTCCTCCACTGGTACTGGACCCGCCCATTGGAGTCGCCCTGTAAAGCAGGAGATCCAACAACTTGACACCCAGGGGATAGCCCTGCTCGTTCAATCTTTTCTCAAAGTCCTGGATGCCCTTAACTCTCTTGTGCGCATAAGAGACCATCTCCATGAACAGATACGCGAAGCTGGATCTTGACAATTCGGCATTGCGCGAGCGGTTGAGGTTGCGGTCGTAGATGGTCTTCCTGGTGGACGGATAGCGCAGTGTGGAAGTGGAGGTTATGGAGGTCGGTGTGCCTGAGGAAGGGCGGTCGCTACGATCAGGTGCGATTGTCGTGGCCGATGAGGAGGCGGAGTACTGGGAGAGATGCCTGGAGGGGGACGAGGTGTGACTGGGGGGATAGTTCGTCAGGGAGGAGGGAATGGCGGCCATTGATCTCTACGGGCGGAAGCAGTAGAGCAAGCACTGAGTTCTATATCATCTTAGCGACATTGCGTGGAAAAGCGAGGTGTGTGGTGTTCACGAGCATGGCTTGGTAGACGAGGTACGGAGTACTGTACTTTATGTACGGAGTACGGAGTACTCCCCCGTAATTATGTTCAAGGTACGAATTGCGATTCACTGATCTCAGAACGAGAAAGGAATGTTTTCCGAGTTCGCTCTGCGGGGAAATGCCTCGCTCCACCTTCCCCATCAGCTTTCTATACCCCTCGCTAGCGACATCGTCAACTTGATGATACTGGATGCTTCGCTGACCGGGACGGCAAGGGTTCGTGTATGCAGCAGACAGGCAGGAAATCTTCGCATACCACAGCTATCAAGTTGGGAGATTCCAGCTGCCCACAAGCTAGGAATATGGATGACTACATATTTCCGATTGAGGCCATTTGAAGTGCGGTATGAAGTGAGCCGGCAGGTACAGCACCATTCACATACTTTGGTCAAGGTGGCTAAGCTGGCTTCTGTGCTGGTAGTAGCAGATCTCCCCTGAACATCTCAGCCCTGACCACCGTTCTCGACCAGCATGGACACTGCCTCCATCATTTTTGGACCGTCTCAACGATCCATGTCTAGGAAGTGCATGTCCATTGCAAGGCAAACCCCGCCTGGGTCGGGGTCACCCTGTCAAATCCGCTTCTTTCTTGTTTATGTGTCGATCATTGTGTATAGTCTTCTCCTCCCATTCGTGGAACGCCTTCTGTCGCTGTCTAGAATTCCATTGTAATGTTCGGGATATACTGTTGACCCAATCTTCACTTCGACGCCCCGGAGGCATGACGTTTGCAAAGGGGTATCTCGAGGCCGAGATTGTCACATAGTCGCCGGGGAAGAGTTCGATTCTGTCATTCCTGTCAGTTTCGGTCCCGCTACAGAACCAGGCCTTTGCATTATACCTTTCTCTTCCATCGAAGCTTGCCCAGGAATTCGACCTTGCGTCATACGGCACGCCCAATCGAAGCACGATGGTGTCTGGGAGAATGATCGGGCGAAACGACAGCGTATGAGCACAGATAGCCGTTACAAGGATCACCGGATTCTCCGGGTGACACAGCGATCCACCAGCAGCAAGATTGTACGCGGTCGAACCGGTGGGAGTGGCCACACAGATTCCGTCCGCTTGTACCGTCGTCAGGTGTTCTTCATCTCCAAAGAGCTCGATCGTAGACATGGTCGGGTTAGGTCCCCTGTCCACGACAATATCGTTGAGGATCTCGAACGTCCGGTCGGGTTTGTGCGTGTTTCGATCATCGGCCTCTTCACCGATCAACTCTTCCACAATGTCGCGGTGCTCGGCGTCGTCGTCGCGTTTGTGGGACCGCATGACCGTGCCTTCGAATCGTAATCGCAGGCTGATCGACACGCCGTCTTTGAGCGCTTGTGAGAGAATGTGCTGGTAGTTTTCAAAGTCGAACTTCGTGAGGAAGCCCAACGAGCCCAGCGCGAACGACAAGACGGGCGGCACCACCCTTTGAAACAGCCAGCTCGCGTACAGAACGGTGCCGTCGCCGCCGAGGGTAATGACAAAGTCGAAGGTGTGCGGATGTCTCCGAGCCAGCTCCGTGTCCCAGTATTTGAGGCGGTCTCCAAAGCTGGGGTCTTCAGCGACAAGGCCTTCGGCATCGAAGGTCGGGTTCTCTTTCAAATTATCCTCGACGTAGACGATATAGGGCACAGACCTATCCTTGGACAACAGCCATCGCGTCACCTCCCGCGTCTTGACGATCAACGTCTTGTCATAGATCTTTGTGAGCAGGAAAATCGCCCGCACTTTCAGCTTGACCTTGAGATTGCCCAGTCTCTTCGCAAGGGTGCGTACACTGATAGCCATGTCGCTCAACTGCTTCTTCGTGAGCAGGCGAGATTGCGTCGTGCGCACGAGGTCTTTGCTCGAATCCCAGTCATTCTGGCCCGATTTAGCCTCCGGTTCGACCTCGTCGATCTGTTCCAGTTGGGACTCGACTTTCGGTTGTTGACCGAGGGAGCTCTTCTCGACAAGCTTGTGGACGAGGCATTGTGACATTGAGCGGCCAGGTGTGTGTCTCTTGGGCCTTTCCACCGTGGGGGTTTCAAGGAGGACGGTGGACGACTTGCGGCGGCGCGCTCCTTCGGTGTCGAAGACAACCTGTGTAGAGGATTCTTCAGCCATCTGGTGAGGTCTGATGACACGGGAAAACTCACCTCGATCTTTCGATTGTATTCGTCTTCACTACTGGAGCCGCTATGGTGAAACTGCCACAACGACTCGTGTTAGATTGTTGGCCCAACATCTGTGGTGGGACATACATCATCGTGGATGCGGTCGCCAATACTGTGGCTCAATTGAGGGGCAGCATTCGGGTTCGACATGTCGTCGCGAGTGAGGAAGGGAGACGGATGGCTCACTCAGGGATCCATGGTCAATAAAATGGGCGCCGATGCATTGTATCTGCCTCTACCGGGCTTCATCTGAGAAGAGTCTTGATGAACTATGTCCAATGACGAAAGACTCGCATGAACCACGGCGTCGATGGCCCGCTACGGCTGCTTATGTAAATCTTTCTGAGGTTATTTACTGACTAACAGCCCTTTTCTGGAAAATACATCAACCCGATGGCATCGGCATAGGGAGAGGCACCCTGTACTGGTGTAGTGAATGTGCAAGGCCCATCGTCCAAGCCGATCGAGGCCCGGAAAAGGACGTGGGATGCCCGATGCTATTCGAAATGTGGTCCTATCTATGCAAGAATCAAATGCTTCGCTCATTGGGTATCATGCTGTTTGTTCTCTGTCATAATCATAATATCGTCACGACCTGCTCAGGTCAAAGTACTGACACGACCGGTGATCCTGTGGCATGCGCGTCTTGCGCATGATCCGGTACATCAGTTGCCGTCTTCATGGCGGGGAATATCAACCCGTGTTGCGTGTCATGGACTTGAGCCGGAGTCTTGAAAGGCGAGCTGCTCTCAGACGACGCAGGTGTCGTGTCTGGCGAAGCGTCGCTGTCGATGGCGGTTTCAGAAGATGACCCAAGTATATCATCATCGGAAAGTTTGCCCATTATATCTTCCGGTGCGTTCATCTGGTCCTGGACTGACCCTCGGAGAGTCCGCGGAAATCCAGCCTCAACCTCCTCCATGTCAAGCTCGGTACGGATGGGAGACGCCATCTCCTGGACCGCGACCTCCTTGTGTGGTCCTAGTGTAGGCAGGGAGGATGCGGCTTCGTAGAATAGCATGAAAGCATTCCCACGGGCCAGCACTTCGTCCTCGGAGATCTTGGTCACTCTCTCGTCGTTGAAGGAAAACCAGTCCTTATTTCGCTTTCCCAGTGCAATGTAGTGGCCATCATGGTGGCTACCGTAATGTGTGACAACACATTTCAGCTCGTAAACGGCCTCAACCGCATTATCTTTGGCGTCAAGTGGAGCACACCATCTACTCAAAAAGTCTAATCTTGCCGGAAAGCTGACCGGTGCCGTGTTCTTCAGTTGATTCCCGTAGTTATCGAAAATGCTTCGGTTGATGTGCAAAACCAGATCCTTGGGTAGACGTCCGACAGTGATCTGTTTTGCTTTGGTGCGCAGGACGGACTGGATCTTCTTTTCCGCGTCGTTACTTGATTCCACGGCTTCCTTGTTGGAAACCTCTGTGGCTTTGGTGCCTGTCTCAGCTCGCGCTAGTCGTGTACAGTTTTCACACTCGACTCCCTCAATATCCTCTGGTGCGGTGAATTCATCGAGCAAGGCCTCGACATTGCTTTCAAGTTGCAGCCCAAGATTCAATGTCAGACAATTGAACTGGGTGAGGGAGAGACCTTCGGTGAAACCGCAAGTCTCACATACGAGGCACTGTGCGGTCATTCCTTCAATGGGATTGCGCAATTCGTGCCGTGGTAGGTTTGAGGATGAACCGGCGCGACCGACACTGCGCCCTTGTCGTACTGCAGTCTGCCCTTCCAGGACCACCCGGGTGGTGGCGTCCGATGGTTCCACGGTCTCTAGACACTGCAGACCAGCGGTGATAGAACGTCTCAGGCGCTGTGAATACTGTTTCGCCTCCTTCTCAACCGCTTCAAGAACCCGCGAGAAATATTCTTGCGCATCCTGCTGCTGCCAACTATCCATGGATTTCAGCACTCTGGGGGTCCAAAGAACGGTCGTCCGACAACTCGAATCCGCCAGTTGCTCAAGAAAAGCGACCAGGGCTCGGTGGGTGGGCGCAGATATGTCATATGTGTCGCACAACTTCTCACTCTCCACCATGTACTCGAAAAATGCTGGCAGAGAGGCGAACCCTTGGAGGACACTGTTCTGATAGCAGGAATTGTCCCAGTTGCCCAGACCGGGAGGCCCGATATCACTGCCCAAGGACATCAAGGGACCCGACAGAGTCCTCACCTTCCGCAGTGCCAGGGGTAATTGTGGCTGTCCAAATATCCTCCGCACTGCCTCTTGTTTTGCAAGCATGTCCCCGAAGTTGGCCGGCTTGAATTTTGCTTCTTCCGGAGCTAGGTGCCCAAGGCGGACCAAACCATATTGCATGGCGTAAAGCAGAGGAGACGGGATAAGATATAAAACCACTTCGTAGATGGATCGCTTGATTGTGGACGGCCAGGCGTCGAAGAAGGATAGGGCATAGTATCCCAATATCAGCAAGGCGACGGTAGATATGATCTTGGTCTGCGTAGGGTACGAGGTGATCTGAGCCTGAGACCCAAAGTCGTAGGATGGGCTTTCGTTTGCCCTAGCCGGGAGGTTGCTCATGTCGATCTGAAGGACGCGAATCGGGGGCTTTCGAGAAGGCGCACGCTATTCGAAAGGCGGGTGGAGGAGTTTCTCCCATGGGTACCGGTTCGAATGGAGGGATGGGGGAAGGAGAGAGCGTTCCGTGTAGCTATGGCGATGGATATTTCAGTTCGATCGCGTTCTGCAGTCATCACCAGGCTGCTTTGATGACGAGCAAACAGTGTAGTGCATCAAGAGGCAAATGCGGAGGTGACATGGCAATTATCCAACTGCGGCCATTGTGAGCAGCCTTGGCAACATGGCACGAAGTGGCCGTCGCTCCAGGTTCAGGACTGGCCATAGGCAAACAGAGCCTCTTGGTTGTGAGTGGCGATCTTTCTTGTTATGTGTCTTCTATTACGGTAGATTTACGTTTGCGCGATGTCGCGCCAGCCGCTACAGACGAAGCTGCATCCAATCCTCCTTCCATCAATACATGTTGACTCGTGCCACTGCTTGGGCCATCCTCGAACGGCACGGCAGAGGTGCCATTCGCCAATTCTCTGGCCTCCCTTGAGACCCGTTGTCTCTCTTCCAGCTCCCTCAACGCTCGCTCCGGATTTCCAGACGCATGCTTGACCCACCACCGCTCCCACAACCATTCCAGGGCTTGCTCCGTCATCTTCTTCAAAAGTGGCACGCCAGGGATGTCACCGTGCGAAACTTGATGTCGGATATCAACAAATTTTTGCGGCATGCCAATGGTAGCTGCGTGAGCGTACATGGAGCTCTCGCCTTTGCCTGAGACGGTTGTCACCTCCTCTTCGCTTTCAACTGCACTGTCCTCCTTGGCCATCCCGGCAATATGTGAGCGAGCCACGTCACGATCGACGAATGCGTTGACAAACCTCGCGAAAGCCATAGCGTAGATGCTCTGCATTGCCGACTCAGAGATGAATGTAGCCGACGAACATCTTCTCGCTTCATCGTGCAGTAAGGCCTCGGTCAGGCTCGCGGTAGCTTCCATGGCCGGGGGTAGCTGGCCGGCTTTGAACATCCACAGATTGACCTTGTCAATGGCCCGCTGTCTCATGTCTTGTGATGAATCTGATACCGTCGCGGAAAACACATCCTGTTTCGTGTGGTTGGGGAAGAACCAGTCTCGGACCAAAGCGAGGTAGGACTGGTGCCTCCATGGTGGAAATTGCAGAACCATGGTTCTAGAGTTGGCCTTGGCGAGAACGGCGGTTTGGTAAGGGTAAGGGTAAGGGTTGCGCTCGGAGCTGGCCGCCCTTTCATCGGATGTGTCGCCGGAAATATACAAGGCGCAAAGGCGCGAAAGGTGCTGCCCAGAGCCGAAATTGAGCAACCTGGGACGAGGTGTCCGAGTCCGCACGAGTCCGCGTGTCAGGCTCGATCAACTATCCAGACGCTTCATAGCCGCTGCTCCCGGATGATTGAGATTTCTCTCACAAGAGAGTGTTTCGTGGAGACTGCTAATTAGAGATCTCCGTTCCGGTCGCTGAGGGCGAAAGTCCACATCCGAGATTCGTCGTCGTAAGCGCGCACAGGCCAAGCGCACGGGCTGCTCGACCTGTGGTATCGAATGGGGAAGTGGCTTGGAAGGTGTTAGAGCGGGGCCGCGGTGGGGTGCTCCCTTCACTCGTGCTGATTGGCCTGCAATTAAGCGCATCCCTCCGCGTAACCTACCCAGAAGACGCTAGGGACGACCGCTTCGAAAACCTAGAACATGCATCGAGACTTCTGTACGAGGTACGGAGTCCCGTATTCAGCACGGCTGCGCGAGTAGCATGCGCAGAGGAATGAGGGCTGTGTCAATAATACATCTTTGTGGAATGTTCTAATCTAGCTTCGCCATCTAACGAGCTTCTGGAGGCCGTCACAGAAGGGGTATCATCGCTCAAAGAACAAGTCCTGGACCCTGCTGTCGAGGTCAGGCATGCTATACAAGAAATTCACTGGTCGTTATGCTCGTCAATCGTGCATCAAATCCACCCATAACCAGGCTCATGACTGGTATATTCTGCTGGATAGTAGGCGCTGTTCATCTGCCTCAAAGTCGCCAAATACTGGGTAGCCAGAGGCTCCGGTCGTGGCTGCATGCCATACGTCAGATGGCTCGCAATGGACTGTGAGTCGTAGTCAGTGGCAGCAGGTATATGCCACTTCTCATCCGCTTCTTCCTGCTTGATGTCTTTCTGGTCGTCGTCGTCGTCGTCGTCGTCGTCGTCGGTCTGGTCGACTTCTTCTTCCTCATCGTCACATTCCTGCTCTGTCGGCTCAAAGGACTCTGCGAGTTTCAACGACTTTCCCACTGAGCCTGGAACTCCACCGAACAAGAGGGACGATGACTGAACCTCGGCGGGAGAGTCATAGAGACCCATGGCAACCAGTTCCTCCGAGCTATCCTTCGACTTCGTCTCAATATTGCCAAGCGACAGGGTGTCGAGCCCAATGTTCTGCACCGGCAGGCAATCCGGAGAGGACGGCGCTGTTTGGACATTTGGGTCCATCGCCATATGGTTGACTTGCCATGATGGTTGCGTTGAAGATACATGGGCATACAGAGGAAGAGAGTAAGGATCGGGCTTGCTTTGGCCGGTCCATGTCTGTCGGCAATACTCTCGGCCGTCGTACGACAGGCTCGGATCCATGCCTGGAAGATCGTCCAGGGGTGTGAAGAGTTCCTGGATCTGGGGCTCGTTCATCGGAGTGTAGGCGACCGGGGTGATGAGACCGTTCACCTGAGCCGTCGAGAAACCCCAGCACGACGACTCTCCTCCATTGACGGTAGGACTTGGATTGAAATTTGATGCCTCGAAATAGTCTGGATGCCAACTAACCGGCCGGGATCGTGCCGCTGTTGAGTTCTGCCACTGAGAGTTTGAGCGAAGATGGTCGACAACAGATCTTGTTCTCGATGAAGAGGGAGCAGCGGATGTCGTTTTCCTTCTACCCAAATTGCGCGGGCTGCTGTTTCGACTGTTGGGTTTGACGATTTTGCTGGGACGGGCGAAATAAGAAGAGTCGTTTGCAGAGACGCCGGTGTTGGAGGTCATGTCGGGAAGAGGGTAGCTCCATTGCTGGGAGGCAGCCATGGTCAAGGAGGTGGTGTTGGCGGGTTGATGAAGGTCGGAGTATTGAGTGGCAGTTGCGAGCCCATATCTATTCCCCAAACAGGAGTGGACGGATAATGGTCAGACCCGAGCTCGTAGTGGATGTTGTCCCAAGGGGAACAGGCGAGATTAAATTGGTACATCAGTCACGCCCGACAACAGCTGGTCAGAGTTAGTGAACACAAACCGAGCAAAGAACAAGGGTGGAGCAGTCCGACCCAGCACAAGGGTGAGGAACGTGAAGTGTAAAAGTCAAAGCATGACGAGCATTGATAGGCAGAACATCCATGGCGTCCAGATGATCTGATTGGCGGCTGTTGGCGATTTCGCCAGTTGGGAAAGAAGGAGGAAGCAGGCTGGCGAGGGGCGTCCAGGAAAAGGGCGGTAGCGGTAGCGTCGACGTGCGGACAACAGGCCAACTTTCAAAGGGTCCCGTCGCTAGCCAAGTTGCGACCAGCACCGGCACGCATATTTCCGCTGGGGCCTCATGGCAAATGGACCGACTAGGACACAATAAGAAACAACCAGGTGTGTGGAGGGGTCAAGCGGGAATCCGAAGTCAAAGTGTCTCGTCCGGCGAGAGACACGAGAGGCAGGAGTGGCACGAGGGAGTGAGTGGCGTTGTACGAAGTGTGCCAGGCGGACCATGACTCAGTGGGTAGCGAAATGAATTATCCAAGGCAGCCTGGAACTGGTGGAACGCAGGCGGTCGCTGTCGCTGTCAGAGTCGCCAAAGCGGCCCACAGGCCAGATGCGGATGTCAGAATCAAGTCAAGGGCGATCGAAAGCGCATGGGGCTCAGAGACGCTATTCTGTGAGCTCCAGGTGACCCAAGAACACAGGTTTAGCGATGCCCGAGCCCGCCGATCAGGGAGCATGCGAGCAAATCGAGCGTGAGAAGTGGCTCAGCCGAACATGGTCAGACGCCGGAGTGGAGGAGCACGCTAGAGGCCAAGAGAAGGATGATGGGATGATGGGGTGATGCAGGGCCACATTCACCACCTTGGGGTCCTTGATTAGCAAGGCGAATGTCGGTGGCGGACACGGGATGACGCGGTTGCATTTCTTGATGTTTGGGTGCTTCCGGCAAGCTAGTGTCAAGGCTTGAGCAGGGTTCAACGGCACCTGGATCACACGAACGGGGTTATCACACCCTGAGCTAGAGTTTACTCTCTTCGCCCAGTCACTCGTTGCATCCGAGTTGGAGCCATATCTGTACCCCGAACGGAACAGGACACAAAGAACGGTCCATAGCAATACCACGGTAGAAGTGACGCGCCGCTGTGTCGTACTCGGATCCATCGAGCAAGAACTTCGTAAAGATCTCCGAGATCGAAAGGATATTCACACGACTTTCGTGGGTCGAGTGTCGAAACGAGGTACGTAGATTGTTCGTTCACGTTAATAGAACCCCGGATGCGGTATAGTGGCATTCCAGGGTAGGCGCCACTCGAAAAGTTATCACTGGAAGTGGAGAGCAAACGTAAAGGGAGCGCGAGACGCTGGAAGCGACAGGCTAGGAATGCGGGCTGTGCGAAACGGGAAAGGGGATGGTGAGAGGGAAAACGCAACGGCTGGGGCTGCCATGTGGAGTGCACGGAGTGGATCCGGAGAGAAGCGTCCCAAAATGTCAGGGATGAGGCACGTCAAGGGTATGAGAGATTGCATATCTGTCGGTGATGGACACGGTAAGGTTCCAAATATGCTTGATATAGCCAATCCACCGAAAAGTCTACAAATTCCCAATCCAGTCGTAGAGAATTTTGAAATGTGCCGATGAAGGGATATTGGTCCTGCATACTGGATACGAGTAGCTATTAGGGGTGAGAGTACCCAGAATGCGGGACGAGAGATTCTCGTTCTGACCAGAACCTGGATCCGGCTCAAGCCACAAAGGAGAAAAGATGAGCAACCCGGAAGCTGCCAACGAAAGGAATCTACCCGGTCGGCTGGAGGGACATGTGTTAGGCGCTTGATGGGAGCCACAGCCTCGATGAAAACTGATGGACAGCCATCAGCCAAAAGCAAAGCCACGGTTGGGCCTCGGGGGCGTGGATCGTGATGCGGCAGACTTACGAATCCGACCCTTGCAAGGACAAAGATGGGGAGGCTCCAGAGGGTGAGAGGCAGCACCAGCTTGAAAGCCCCCTGAGCCCTGGCTGACGCCCGCATGGATCCTGGAAGGCCTGCATGGGCGTGCCGAGGGCATGCTGCGGAAGGCGGAAGTCCACCACCGACTAATTGGTTGGCAGTCACCACCGACTCACCACAGGTTCTGCCAAGACATGCTCGTTTCTCATCGAAGGTCGAGGAAGTTACTCGACTTAGTTAGCTTTGCGTTGCAGCGGGTTGAATTCCCAGCATGCAAATTCTACTCAGTAGTTGCAGCCTGGGCAGCCTGCTTCAAGTCGCTACCTTGCAAGTCCATGCACTACTGAAGTGGTAATAGCGAATCGCGCTGTGAGCAGATGCGACTTTCATGGTTTGGCGAGTGATGAAAAATCATTGATGTGGGTGCATCCCCTCGATCCACCAGCGTACCCAGTACACAGTACTAAATATTCTCCCCATTTGGACCTGGATCATGGTTCCATGCTCGGTCGAGGTCAGCCTCTTGACCCTGAACCCTGTTGAAGCTCCTACGCCCCTCGACAATCGGTCGAGGCACACTGCGACAACCCGACTATTCCCCATAACACCACTGCTCTGTCACCTCGGCCTCGAATTCGTATTACCGGGTACTGTGTCCATCTTAGTCCGTGTCCGCGTACACAGTACACGGATTCGCTCGCGATTGCAGGGACACCAGTTCATTCTTGGGCTTCACAGATCCATGCCGGTCGCGGATTGCATAATTAGAAGTCTCTCGAATATCAGTCAGGAAGGATATGGGTCCATACCGTCAGAGCACTGGCCGATAGCACCTGTTTGTCATCGATCCAGTTCACTACCTGACTTTCATCGGTCGATCAGACCGTCGCTAAAATCGTTCTACAATCCACGGTAGTCTTTACTTTGTAGACATTGGGACCAAAACTTGCCGTGTGCTTCCAGCGAACATGTTGATCAACGTGAAGACATATTGGTTGAATACCTCCTGCGGCGGCGTGGCGCTTGCAACCCGCAGTCCTCGAGTGTCCGCAGGATCCATCAGTCCGAGCTTGACACGACACTACAAATTACACGGCGAGTTCCCAATACGTTATGGTCCTGATAGCTATGAGTACGGAGTACCCATTCCGATAAAGCGCCCTTGGCTGCCAACTCACCCGAGATCAGCAATGTTGAGCGTGATCGGGGACCACTTGCCTCGCGACTGCTGTGTAAGGTTAAGCTTCAGGCCACAGGAGCAAAAGCCTCCTGGAATTTTAAAACACCCTCCGGATGAGTTAGACAATGATCCGACGAAGTGACAAGTCTTACAAGGGCGGCCTGCAACACAGTGCTTCGCTATGAAGGAATGTGTCAGTTTACCCGGTATGCAAAGCACCCCGTTATCGCCGTAGAAAGGACACAGTACGCTTCCAATGACCAAGTCTGCAACCCGGGATGCTCGGAGTTACACGGGCAACAGTCCTGGATCAACACGAGAAAATATCACAGATTCGATTATTTGCAGCCCGGGGCATCCTCCGGCATCTGCCCATGGCCTCTTGAGGTCACACTGGGTGGCTCAATATCGGATAGGCCTTGCAGAGAATGGACGTGTCGAGCAACACCTGACAACCAAGCGAGCGGGGCGCTTTCCGTCCTCGAAAAAGCATGGTGATAATCCTGGCCGGCGTCATCAACAGTGATCACCGCCTTCGCTTGAAACTTTGCTTCTCGTACCTGTGCGGTAAGTCATGATATGCGGCTGCAAAGCCCAAGCTAGCAAGTGTGCAGCCGAGGACTATCCTTGCAATCAGCGCCAGCAACTGTCACAGTCCTCCTAGGGCATCTGACGACTGTGTCCGTGCAAGGGGTATTCAGCAGCACAGTATGGTGGCATTTCGTACCACCTCAACAGCGAGGCTAGTACTCGTCGAATCTGTACCGCAGGATCAAATAGAAGAGAACTACTAATGCCCCTGCGCAATGGGTGACTGCCGACAAGAAAGCACGCACAGCAAGCAGAGCACGTTTTCCAGGCCCTTCTTGTGGGTCGCTGGTCAAGAAGTTCCACGAATCAAGGCTATGCAGGGTGATGGAATGTCGGCTCCGCCCCAGCATGAGGATCACATCGGGATCCAACCCTGGCTTGATCTGACGGGCTCGAAAGTTTTGAACTCCAAATGCGCACATCCAGCGAGTCGCTTATGCTCGAAACCCTCCTGTCACTCGGGGTGTCACAAGCGCTATCGCCCCAGCTTTCAGGCGCTTGTATCCCAGGAGTGGACCATACCAGGGTGCGACGCACGGCATCGTACGGATCTCTCGCGGCCCATACCCTGACACCTGCGTTGAAGCGATGTTGAGTTTGCCAATCAAAGCCACCTATTGTTCCCAGAGGCCCGTTCTAGGTTGGCATGGCAGGTCCCCAAAGATCTCACTCAGTTGGCTTCTGAGTCTGCATACGATACGCATCAAACTCGCATTATCCAACCTGCTTCAGTAGCATGGGTTGCAAGACCATCCCGTTGTAGAAATGCCCTTACGGTATTGGGCTGACCATGGTAGAATACCACTCGTGTGCTATTTACACGGCTGATACCAACCATCGCCAATGCTGCGCACGATCTTTCGCCCTTCTCTTCGTCGCAGCTAGGCTTGCGGGCGCGGTGCCATCTCGGTGGTAGACAGTCAGACAGTGAATGGGAGCTAGCATGCATGCATGTACTGGGTATGAGACGTGGATTAGACGTGTTAAACAGCGGCTTTCTCTCACAGCCATTGTCTCGTACCAGAAATTACTTGGTGTGGCAAGGTGGTGCCCGTAGTCCCGCCTTGCTGCGGCGTGAAGTCAAGGTTTCGCAAATTGGTTCGATGGGATTCCACTGGCC